AATTTTTTCCTTTAAAAATTAAGTGCGTTAAACAGTAAACAGCTTCATTTAGGAAAATCCTTCTGACCTTTAGCCTCTGCAGGAGATTGAAATTTTTCTGAGCACAATAAAGCCTTTGAGTCTCCAATATTTGCAACTAAGATTTGACCGTCAGCAAGTAGTATAATCGTAGCTGTAGATCCGGAAACCAGATTTTTTCTAGATGCTTCCTTCACAAGTCAATATGAGGAACATCAATAGAAGGCTAAAATATAGAACATTATGCAATACAATTTGAACCAAGCAGAGAAACATCAAATAGAACATACCATCGAAAATTTTGCATCTATATCATGTATTGCCCTCAACAATGCTTCTTTCAAAATTTCAAAGTGAAAAGAATCATCAAAATTTGCTTGGAATGAATGCTTAAACCTGAGAAATCATAACAAACTAGAGATAAGTGCCAAAATGGGTATCCAAAAAGGCCCCTAGAAAACAAAACTATACAGGAACAAATGAGATTAGTTTTTCCATGTACCAATTTTACATTCCGAGATAACCAAACCAGTAAAACCTACAACTCAAAATTCTAGACCAGTAAAAGTTGAACAATGTTAAGTTTCAAGTTCATATTGTTTGACTGGTTTTTGTAAATTATTCATGTAAAACGACGGAAAGCATTTCAGTAGTTTACATAGAAAGGAGATAATTATAAAGAAATGTACCTTCCAAGATCCAATTCATGCCGATCGAGTAGGCCATCCCAATTATACTGTTGAAAAATAGAATGATGGTCTGCACTAGTTTGCAAACTTCCCGAGCCTTTCTTCAAGATAGCAGAGTATGATGCATCGATGAGAAAGTAGGTATGCAAAACGAAATACTCTAATAAAAGCTTCGAAGCCATCTCACTAGCTTCAGCCCCATTATGACCATCGAAAACAGCAACAATTCCAACTGTAACCTCCTTAACACCTGCTTTACCTGCTCCAATATCACATTCATAGTATGAACGGTCAATAATACCAATATAAAACGCAGAGTCCAATTCAATTACAACAATGCCCTAACACCAATTCAAAATTAACAATTCAGATGTTAGAGAGAGAGAGAGAGAGATTAGGGCACCAGGGAAGGGGATGCGAAGGTCGAGAGCGCAGAGGGTGCGATCCTCGAGGGACTTCCGGCGACCTTGAAGCATGGCGGTTTGACAGCGCGAGGTGCTTCGAGAGTAGGAAGCGTAATCGGAGTGCGTCCAGCGAGGGCATTTTGGGGATTGAAAGACCGCCGGAGCACCGCCTTCTTTGTAGACCGTCAAGCACGTCGACGATTCTCCGTGAGAGAGAGTCGCAACGGCTAGCATTATCAGAAACCCTAATGGGAACAGGAGACCTCTGTAAGCCTCCATCTACTGCCAGTTTGTTACTATCCGTTGTAAAATTCAATTTCTAACATAACGATTTCACAGTGAGCGGAAATTGGAAACCCGCAACCCCATCGCTTATTTATACGCTTTATTTGGCGGCTTTTTCCGCTTCAATTTTTTTGTGTTTTATTGATTAAAAAAAAAGGAGACCGTTCTCTCAAAAAAAAATAACTAACGCCCAATATTGGTGATGGAAAGGGGTTTTCAAAATGTTGTCTTTGAAAGTGGTGATGTCCTGATCGTTACAATACTTTGATCTAACTTCATAGATAGGTCTGTCATTGGACCAGTGGTGGAGGATATCAAGAATTTGTTGACACAAGTCACTGGAGAAGGTTTTATTTATATTTGTCGTACTTCTGATGATGTGGCTCATCGTATAACGTACTTTACTTTGCATATCAGGGTTTCTCTGTATTGATTCAAGGAATCTCCTTATTTTATATATGATGTACTGTATGAGGATTTTAATTTGTGATCTGTAAAGGTTAACCAATATCCTTGCTTTTGGCCATTGCAATACCATGTAAAGGTTTATGAAAGAAAAAAAAGTTTAAAATGTCCTTTTATAGCCTATATTGATAAAATGAACTCTAATTTGTCCAAAATAATTGAAAAACAAAAAAAATACTTTTCACCTTCTCGTTCTTTTTCCTCCCCCAATATTAATATCCCTTGAGTGGTGTTTGATTGGTGAAACGAAACGGAGTATAAACAAGAAGGGAATTATATTCCATTAAGCTTGATTCAAAATAAGAATCGACAATCAATTATGATTAGTGAACTTTGGTATTGGAACAAAACATGAAATTTACCGACAAAAAAGTAATCATTAGCAATACCTCATGCTTGGTACCCAGACCCTTGGAATTCAATCACAAACCCTAAGTTTAGGGTCCAAGTTTGAGGCTATGAATCAAAAACATTGAAACGGTTCAAACGTATATAGAGATAATTTCATTCAATTAATCCACCACCAAACCCAACACCACCTCAGTGATAACCCTTACCTTTCATCCCTTCTTATAACGCCCCAGCCTGCCTAGCTGAGTACTTCATGCATCTTGTGTCACATCTTGATTGTGAACTGGATGTGAATGAAATGAGCTAACTGTAACTTCATACTGGTGGGGACAAAAGACCAAAGGAGAAAAACTTATCAGAATAAATTGTATACAGTTTTTTTTAAAGTTTCTCCTATTACTTGACTGTCACGTGATAAAAGTGACGTAAAGAGAAATTACATACAACAAGAGTAGCTAAATTTTTCCGTCACCCAAAACCAAATTAAGAGTTAAAAGGGTAGGCTGGTCAACTCATGACTTCCAAATGGCAATATCCTGAAAGGGGACACTTTACACTTAAGGTAATCACATTTGGATGGTACGACAATGTTAGGACCAAATCCTTGGTACTTGTCCACTAAGGTAGGTCAAATGCAATCACAAAACCGGACTGGTCAAATCCTAAACTCTTCAAAGGCAAGCGTGTCAAGGACACCTGTGTCTTTACATTTCGATGAAATCCTGGGTTCTTGACACGTGCCCAGAACTCCTTGACCTAAATGAAGAAACCACAAGTCATGATCTTCTCTTTATAACACGTGCAAACCAAAAATACAAAGTCCAACACATTAGGCAGGCCTAATCCTTGCTTTAATATTCAACCCGAAACTCAACCCGTAATTTTGGTTTACGGTTCAATCTTAAACCTAAAACCCAATCCTTGTTGGATTACCCTAATTATCATAGATAAACAAAAATTTATATAAAAAAAATTCTAGTAGCTTCTAGAAAAATGAAGTTTAGATATTTTGTTCTACAGTTGTGGTCCTATAATTTGAACAGGAGAGAGTGAGAATCTTACCCAAAAATAACATATAATATTAGTGATGCTCAACTTTTATTTGATTAAAAAATTGCAACTTGTCCGAATAGGCGCGGTGCGTGATTTGTGATTGTAAATATTATATTGTGGGTAGGGAGCACCGATGGCTCTGTGCTGACCAATCCACTTTCTTACACCTGTACCGATAAGGTAGCGTGTCCACATCTGAGGGCACCACGTATGCCCATTTTCTTTATTTCTAGATTTAAATACGTTACATTAACGTAATGAACGAAGATAAGCATATAATAACAGCCCTTGGACGTACGTGTCCGGCGGTGATTGGGCCACGTATGCCTTTGTGGTGATTTTGTGCAGAGACCCGAGGGGGTATATTTTTCTTTGCCTAGACTCAACCTGCTAATTTGGTCTTGCAGTGTTTGATTAAGAAGGATTCCCTTTGGATTTAAATGATTACTCTAATGGCCACTAGATTAAAAAATTGCATGCAACTTTGAACCAAACCCTAATATGGGAAAGGTGGGATCTTTTACCCATGTGAGCCTTTGGAGACTTGTAGAGGTAGAGTCTTGATGTTTTTTGTTGGATAACCATAGAGCTCTTGTTTTTATCTTTTTAGTTAATTAAGTATATAGTTTTCAGCTTTGTGGTAAGTCAGTTGATTAAGACAATGTTTTCGGCTTATGCACTCGAGTTTGATCTCTCTTTATATATGAGAATAATTTATAATATCGCTTTGTTTAAAATAAAACTACCATATAGTTTTACTCGTTTAAAACTGATATTAAAGACCCAAGGCAAAGTTGATTTAATCTTTTTGGAAAAAGGAAAACAAGACAAAGAAAATGCCATCATAAAGCGGATAAGAAAGCAAAACATTCTCAACGCAATGACACATTGACACCTCACTTATTGTACCGGAAATGATTTAATATTTCCTCGTCCCTACCAAACGCGTTTTTCAACTCCAAAATCCCTTTGCATAAATTTTTTATTTTTTATTTTTTAAATATTTAGCTCTACCAAATAGTGATTTTTCATGTGATGTCACCCAATTATAACTTATAAGTGGGGTCCATACATCGTCCAATCAGAGTTTAGAAATTCAGAAAACCAATCTTGTAAGACCCCCCCATGCCTCCACCATACCATGGAATGGAACTTCCAGAACTTTCCTAAGGACCACACTCTCTATTCTCAAATGCTTGCAAGTGAGAGAAAGAGTTAGTTTCTCAATAGAAAAATTGAAATTAAACTTAACCCCCAAGAGATCTAGAACTTTCCCAAAATATTTTAGAAAAATGATTAAGAAGACTAAACTCTATTTAAACCCTTGTGCTCTTAATGAAGCAGCTTCTTCTTCTATGTGCGTGTAACAAAAAACTGCCAACTATATAACGGCTTAAACGACTTTCCCGAAGAAGAAAGCGCCCAAATCCAAAGGCTTTATCTTGCAGTTTCCCCCTCTCTCTTTCCATTGAAGAGCTCGTTCTTAGTAAGATTCAGCTCAAATTTCCCTTTCCTTGATCAGTAAATCTCAAAAGTTTGTGCCTTTGAGTTCGTACTTAGCAGCTTTTTGACAACTTCGTCTTCTTTCTTGCATTTCAACGACAACCCATATCAGTTTTTTCCTTTTTTTGTGTTGAACAATCTGACCCAGAATTTGATTTGGAAGCAAAGTAGTAAAATTGGTAAGAGAACCAAAACCCATCTGGAATTTGTTCATCTTTCTGCAATTATTGCCATGAACTATCTGTACCCAGTGAAGGAAGAGTTCCCGGGTTCAAGTTCATCACAATCGGGTCCTGGTGACCCGGTGGTGATGATACCGCCACAGCCAATGGAGGGTCTGAATGACACAGGCCCTCCTCCATTTCTGACCAAGACCTTTGACATGGTGGATGACCCGAGTACCAATCGGATAGTTTCTTGGAGCAGAGGAGGTGGAAGCTTTGTTGTTTGGGATCCTCATACCTTTGTTATGAATCTCCTTCCTAGATACTTCAAGCACAATAATTTCTCAAGCTTTGTCAGGCAGCTCAACACTTACGTAAGTGTTTTCACCCCCAAGCTGAAATCTTTAATTGGTTAGTGAAACCTTCAATCCTCTCATCAAGTTTTAGATCTTCAGTTTAAATGTATATGGAAATAATCCAGTTCATGTGGATGATCCTTCATTGATCTCTGGTATGTTGTTTGTCTGAGTCCCTTTCAATTTTCTTACCTATTTATTTTCAGCTAATTTATCAAACAAATAGAAATTTTTAAAAAAAATCTTCCCATTGACCTAAATGTTCTTTCGTCATGTTGAATTATTTCTCTTGAATCTGCTTAGAATTCATTTGGGTTGCTGAAGTTTCAATGTACTGGTGGTTTTCTGTAAATTATGAATGCTTTTTTCTTTTCTTTTTTCTTTGGTGAAAATAAAAGTTTACATATCTTTTGTTTGTGTATGGATGTTGTTGTAGGTTCTGGAATTTCATATGATTGTACTGTGTGCTCATGGAAATAAATTATTCTGTGTTTATCATCTGCTGTGTTTTCCCCTCCACCCTCCATTTTTTTTCAAATTTATGTTACTTTCCACAGTGCTTTCTTTATTTAATACCCTTGATTCTTTAATATCTCCTCCCAATGGCTCACCTTGCTCAATTTCTACTGGTGTCAAATCTCAAAAGTTAGTAATACAATATTCAGCACTATCTGACCTCCTTTGTCAGGTGCAGGCTAATTGATTCCCTTAATTTCATTCCACCAATAATGATAGATATATTTATTTTTTGTGTCTATCAGTTACTTGATGGGTATTGGGTGAAAGCGTTAATGGAGAAGCTTTAATAGATTTCTGAATCTGATTGGGCAGTTAGGTTTGTAAAGTCATTGTTTCTTGGGAATTTAGTCCTAAATGTAATTGAACTTCTGCAGGGCTTTAATTGATTCCCTTAATTTCATTCCGCCAATAATGATAGATATATATATTTTTTGTGTCTATCACTTACTTGACGGGTATTGGGTGAAAGCGGTAATGGAGAAGCTTTAATAGATTTCTGAATCTGATTGGGCAATTAGGTTTGTAAAGTCATTGGTTCTTGGGAATTTAGTCCTAAATGTAATTGAACTTCTGCAGGGCTTTAGAAAGGTTGATCCTGACAGATGGGAGTTTGCCAATGAGGGGTTTGTAAGGGGTCAGAAGCATCTCCTTAAGAACATTAAAAGAAGGAAGACACCTTCTCAGCCTCTTCCTGCACAACAAGCTCTAGGCCCTTGTGTGGAAGTAGGCCGGTTTGGGCTAGATGGAGAAATTGATCGTTTGCGGCGCGACAAGCAGGTCCTAATGATGGAGTTGGTGAAGCTTAGACAGCAGCAGCAGAATACTAGAGCTTACCTTCAAGCAATGGAACAAAGGCTACAAGGGATCGAAATGAAGCAGCAACAAATGATGGCTTTCTTGGCAAGGGCAATGCAAAACCCAGCTTTTATGCAGCAGCTAGTCCAACAGAAGGATAAAAGGAAGGAGCTTGAGGAAGCCATGACTAAGAAAAGGAGGAGGCCAATTGATCAAGGACCTAGTGCTGTTGGTGGTGGCAAATCGAGCCTAAAGGGCAAGGGAACAAACCTCATTAAATGTGAGCCTCTTGAATTTGGAGATTGTGATTATGAAATGTCAGAGCTAGAAGCACTTGCATTGGAAATGCAAGGATTTGGAAAGGCAAGAAAGGAACAGGATGAAGAGCTAGAGCCACAAGAGAGTGGGAAAGAGTTCGATGAGGGATTTTGGGAAGAACTATTTAGTGAGAGATTTGAGGGAGACTTCAGCATTCCAAGTGCAATAGTAGGGGAAGATGAAGATGTGATTATCTTGGCTGATCGCTTAGGTTACTTAGGTTCATGCCCAAAGTAGAGCTAGCTAGCTGCACTTCTTCTGCATTTCTATCTCTGTCCTCTTCAGTTCACTGCCTCGTTGACCATTTCTTTTTGGGTAGGAGGCTAAGGCCTCCAACAGTTGTTTCCATAGTCTCTCATTTTGCATCTCTACAGTCTCGTCAAGTGCCATTAGGCCATAACTTTCATTCTGGATTTCTTGGTATTGACAGGATAGGGGGATTAGCAAGCTGATATCCGTTGAAACCATCTTTGTTTCTGGTGTTTCTAACCCTGCACTTGTTTATTAATTGCCTCCTTTTCTCATCTAATAATGCCCTCTCTTGTTTCTTTATCTTGGTTAGGTTGCAGGCATTGCTTGGACAGAATCTGTGCTAGTTTTTATCATGATTTATCTCAAGGTTCTTGTTTAATTTTCATATCTGAAAAACTGTTCCATGTATCATACATGAAATTAATTATGTTTCTCTCTCCCTCTCTCTCTCCCTCTCTCCCTCTCTCTCTCTCTGCCTGTTGTAATCTATTTTGGCCTCTTAAATGAATGTAGATATGTTGAGAAGCTGTTGAACTTGAAAAGGAGTAGCTGCAAGCTCCAAGAACCATAAACAAAATGTTGTTTTTGGATCCAAGTGACTATTGGCTGATAACTTTGTCAGTATGATACTTTCTGTTACTGAGTACTGTCCTATGTTGTTTGAGTAAAGATATAAACAGAGGTAGTTGGGTAATATGAACTTCATAATGTTACATTTGTACCATGTAGATTTGTTCATGTCGGGCAAATACGGTTCTCATCGGTCACTTCATCAGCCGTGGACTCTCAAACTGGTACAGTATCACTCTTTAAAACATCACCATAAAAAATGTGTTCCTTACCCAATTGATGTCTTACTTACAGTACAGATGAAGAAAGACAGGATCCGAGTATCAAAGTAGATTGACTGGGTTGAACTTGAAGAGCATAATATGATTCTAACTCTACAAGTAGGGTTAGAATGTGTTTAATTTGTGTGAGTAATCATTGAAACTTGGGTCTGCAAGATTCTGTAATTAAGCTGAGATTTTTAGTGAGGTGGATTATAGAAAGTTATGTGCCTAGCGGATGATAGAAAGTTAATACTTTACTGGGAAAGTTTCAATAGAAGATGGACTGTTCCACCCTTAAAAGCTTAGGCAAACCAATTCAAGAAATCACAACCCTTTAATTTTTGCTTAGTCTAGTGTTGTGCACTTATTAGGCTGCCATGTGTTTTAACATTCCCCATGACTCTGTGTGATTGGCTCGGGATATTGTCTGGTGACATCCCCATTTTATAAAAGTTTTTCTCGTATTCGGATATCGGTCGGTCCAATCTTCTCAGCCTCCTCGACCAAACCCAGTTTCCCATTTCATCAATCTCCCAAAACCCACATCAGTTCCTGCACCAGAAGGAACCCTCAAACCCCACACCATGAGCTCTGTTTCTTCTCTTCTTGGAAATATTTCTTCCTGATTGATACATGGCCAACGTGTAATATTCACAACAATGACCATCACTTGAGCCCGTGTTGATCAAATTGGGTCTGTAGTTGTGCCCACTAACTTCCCGTGGCTCATTGCAGCCGCCGATGATGTTTTTTTAAGCCCATAGTTTGAGAGGCCCGGAAATACTCAGCTTTCATGGGATCAAGAATTCTACGGTGAGGGCCTGATATATGGTCCTTAAGTAAGGCATATTTCTAAACTTTTGGATCAAATTGATTAGTCATTATATTAAATTGGTTCGCTTGATCCAACGGTTAAGAGATATGACATTACCTAAGAGCCATATATAAGGTCCTCACTAAAAAATGACTTAGGGTTTGAAGGCTTGGGAACCTCCCTTAAAAATCAACCTCTGCACCTGAGGTTCTAGGTTCGATTCTTTTCTCTCCAGTATTGCTTGAATTTAAAAAAAAATCAAATATATAATAAATCTTTGTATTTTTCAGAGGGTTGGAAGCCAGCACTTTTCAGCTTTCATGCTCTGTGTCGGTGGAATTTTAGGCAGAGCATGCAGGGCAAGGCATTAGCAATAGGAACATGTCAGAAAGTCAAAATATGAGATACTTGTAAGTCTGGACAAGATTATTGAGTGTGTAAAGGATGCAATGCAAGAGGGTTTCTTCTTGGTAGATTAATATATTGATTAAGATATTTTAAGCCATGTCATAAATGAGTAGTTTAGGCGCCTAAACAAGTTTATCTACTAATTAAGCTTGGAGAGGTGAGCAGAGAAAGTGAAGTGTCATGGAAGGTCCTCCTCTGTATTTTTTTGCCTTTTCATTTGCCTCCAAAGCCAAAACTTGCATGTGAGAATCTGGCAATAGAAAGAACCCGTGAAGAAGGCATGGCCCGCATTTGTATTTTCTTTCCAGTTCATGAAAAAAATATGAAATGTGCCTCTCTCTCTCTCTCTCTCTCATCATGCACAACAGAGCATAAGAAGAGAAGAGAGTTATAATAAGGTAGCTTCAAATTAGAATCAGCAAAGAACAAACAAACAATATGAGATGGCTGTCATTAACTTCATGTACGCTTCAATTACTTGAAAGGGTAAAACTTTCACATCTCCATGCTACTTGGGTTTCTCAGCTTGGCCAAATCTTGTGGACCTACTTTGTTTACTATTAAACAATAGTTAGTTGTTTTACACCATCTTTGTAGATGATTGTGTTTAATTAGCAAAATCCCATTTTTAATTGAGGGGTTGCTCATAGTTTCTTGATCAAATGAAACCATTATAGTCATGATAATGTAAATACTTTCCTATCAATCGAACAATTGTTTGCTTAATTAAGTTTAGTGCAATTTAATTGATTAAGTTGTTTTATAAACCCTTGTGGGTTCGACTTCCTACTTGCATATCTATACTATTGTTGATTCGTGCACTTGTGAATATTGTCCATTGCCTTAACAATATTATCAAACTAAGACTATAATAAGCCAGTCCCATTGAACATTTTGGTCAATTTGTAAAGCCACTAACTTCCAGTTCCAGGAGCCTGGCTGGATCCAAATATATGGTTCTGAAGGACAAATTTTGACCTCTGTCTGTCCTTGAAAGGATCTCCCCTGTTTGTCAAATGTCCTTTAATCTTCTCCTTTTCAGCTAAAAACCAAATTAATGTGTTGAACAAGGAAAAAAAAGGTAACAAAACATACTCAACCAAACACTAAACAACAAACAAGAGCCCCAAAAAACCAAAACACATTCAAAGGCAAGGGATTGCTCTATTTCTCAAGTTTCAATTAATAAAGCAAAATGATCCAGTTTCTGTTTGCCCCCTTACAATTTCACAATAAAATTTTGGTTAACTTGGTGAAGAGCCAAAATGGTGGGTGGAAAATGTTTTGGGCAGTGATTTTACAGAGAATATTGCCTTGTTCAGTTCAGTTCTAAATATGGACTATGATGTTATAGTTAGAGTGCTCTACCCAAATTAAATTGAGGAGGGGAATTCGAGGTCGAGTGCAAAGTGGTGAGCACGTCCGTTCCAGCCAAGTTGACTAAAGTCCATTGATGCTTTATTTATCTTTTGTTAATTTCATGAGCCATTGTGCATTGCACTGTTTGCCTTAAAGGTGATGATCAGTGAAGCATAAATATCATCTTATCCCAAAAGAAAAGAAGATGAATCTCACTAAAAAGCCCTGCATATTCAAAAGATTTAGATCAAAAGAAACCACATAGGATTCCAAAAGGATTTATAAGAGCAAAATATAAAATATAAAAAATGGATGAACTGTGATGGGTCCTATGCCCAACACGCCTAAGGCTCAAGGGATTGGTTTGCATGGTTGCTGCCATGTTATATTAGGCCACGCATGGCTTCAAAAGGAGGAGAATCCCTTGCCAAGGACACTTCTAACCATCTTATGATATAAAAGTAGAGGGCAAAGGGCTTGCTAATTTTGGCAACTCATGGGGACAAAGTGGACAATTCGCTTATGGCTTTAGATTTGGGTTTGGAATAAAGAAAGTTAAGAGAAAAGAGAAAAGAGGGTAGGAGGAGGGCCTTTCAAATTCCCTCCTTGGTGGGGTTTGCTTGGAGCACTTTCACTGTACACTGGGATCTGAGAGAATAATAATAACAAAAGAAAGAGAGACAGAAAGGGAAAAGAAATCCTCAAATATATTATGGCAACCAAGAAAATGAATTAATTCTAACCCTCCATAATAATTCAATGACAACTTGATGAAAATAATTGCAGATAGAGAAGCTTGGAATAATATTTAAAATCACCCTAAAAATCATTATGTGTTTTTCAATAATTATAGGTTGAGATAGAAATAAGCTGGAATGGAACTCACAATAAGCAAGCAAGGCTTCAAATCAGAAAATTCAACATCACCCAAATGATTCATTTTTCACTTGTGAATATAATGGCTCGTTTGGGAATGCTTCTTTAGGAAGCACTTCTGCTTATAAGTGCTTTTATTATAAAGTTGGTGAGAATTTCATAAAAAATCGAAGTGCTTTCTGAAAAAACACCTGGGAGTGCTTTCTGAAGAAGCATATAATAGGTGCTTCTCCAGAAAGTGCTTCTATAGCTCACAAGCACTTCTAAAATTTTATGCTAAACATTGTCAGAAGCGTTTTTAGTTGTCATAAAGTGCTTTTAACCCTTCTAGAAGCACTTCCAAACGAACCCTAAGTTAAGTTGGCTACAACATATGTGCTTCCAACTCTGCATCCGAATTTGAATCCATTTTCCTGTAATTTAGATTTTTTATTTATAAACATAATAGGAAAAATTAAGATGGGTTTTAGGAGGAATTAATGATTGAATAAAGGTAGACAAATTTTCTTAGTGTTTTATATAATTGCACATTAAAAAAATATTAAATATAAAATAGTCAATCAATGGATCAATCATGTTAATAGTGGGGTACAATATATTATAGAAAAAGGTTGAGTTGAGAAGGGTCGGTCCATCTATCTATCTATATTGCCTTTTGCCACCACCACCCTTTGCCTTGAGACAAAGCTTTTTAAGCTCCTCATTTTCCCAAGTCTCCTTCATGTAAGAAATCGCTCCTTTTAATATTCATTCCATTCAAAATCAATCAAGACCCTTTTAGGGTTTGGGTATTTTATTACAGCAACAAAGGAAAAGACAGAAAGTGCCAACGTCACACTTCAAAAATGAAAACGAACACAAAAAAATAATTGATTTTTTTTTAATTAAAAAAAAAGGAAAAAAGAAAAGAAAAGAAAAAGAAATCTAGTGATGAATTGGGTGGATATTGGGCTTCTTCCTCGTCTTTGCTTTAGCTGACCTCCTTTGCAGAATTTCTAGCTTTTTCTTGGGTTCCCTAGCTTGGCCTTTTTCCTCTACTTGTGTGTTATTTCTTTTTTATTTCCTTTTGTTTCAAGAAATTTCCAATTTGCCTCGCTTAGTCTGCCACTATAATCATCACACTACCTGTACACTACAAGCCTACAAAATAACACACCAGGCTGCTACTGAGTACTGAAATATCCTCTTCATAATTTACCCTGTCGCTCTCTAACTTCAAAGAGAGAGAGAGAGAGAGAGAGAGAGAGAGAGAGAGAGAGAGAGAGAGAGAATCATATAGAAAGGAGAGGCTTATTGGATAGTGATGAGGTCCTGAGAAAAAAAAAAAAAAAAAACTTATTGTCTGTTCTTTCCATGTTGGATTTGCATGGACAACAGCTCTTGATAATGGTCTGAGAGAGAGAGAGGGACATCTGTATTGTATAGGTTTTGCAGAGTTGCTCAGACAAGCAATCCATGACCCATGGCCTAGCTAAGATAGTGACATGGAGATCGAATAACCCATCATCATCATCATCATCATCATCACTACTTCACGAGATTGAATATATAGTTTTTGCTTTTTATTTTTTGCCACTCAAAAATGAATATATATTTATGTGTTTCTGTGCTTCTGCCACCTGTTGTTTCTGCTTATTAGTTTGTGTCCAAAAGCAGCTAGCTGGGATTCTCTCTATTTCTGCTTAGGTTTAAGTCTTTCATTTCTCCTGCTAATTGTTCAAAGGTGCAAAAGTGAACAAGCAGTAAGGAGGGAGAGAAGATCTCCCTATTCTCAAATATCTAAGGAGATCTCTCATCAGCTTCCTTTCATATTTAATTTGTTTTTCTCTGTTTTGGAGTTTTCCTCTCAGTCCAAGAAGCAACAATGTTTCCTGCTATGTCCAATTCCACTTCTTTGTCTGAGGAAGCTAATAGTCTTTCTTCTGACTTTGGCCCCTTAAACCCACTCCTTCTCTCCACCAATATTTCTCCTCATCAATCTGATCACCAGCACCCGCACCCAACCAACAAAATCAAAAAGAAAAGAAGTCTCCCTGGAAACCCAGGTACTAATTAATCACACTTTAAAGCCTACCCTTTACTTTCAATTAGATTCGATGTAGTTTAGACTATCGCTTGTACTAAAAAATATTGTGTTTGATTATATTATGGATGTGTTTGTTGCAGACCCAGATGCTGAAGTGATTGCATTATCCCCAAAGACTCTACTGGCCACAAACAGATTTGTGTGTGAGATTTGCAACAAGGGGTTTCAGAGAGATCAGAATCTTCAGCTTCACAGGAGAGGCCACAACCTTCCATGGAAGCTGAAGCAAAGGAACAACAAGGATCAGATCAGAAAGAGAGCCTATGTCTGCCCTGAGCCCTCATGTGTTCATCACCACCCTTCAAGAGCACTGGGTGACCTCACTGGGATCAAGAAGCACTTTTGCAGGAAGCATGGGGAGAAGAAGTGGAAGTGTGACAAGTGCTCCAAGATCTATGCTGTTCAATCTGATTGGAAGGCTCACTCCAAAACCTGTGGTACAAGAGAATATAGATGCGACTGTGGAACCCTTTTCTCCAGGTGATTTAATTTCTTCTCATTATTATTTTTTTAAAACTTTAAAAAAAAGTTGCACCAAAATGAACACCATAAATACAAGTGACTGTCATCTGAACTTGCCTGCCGTGCTCATGTGTGTGTTTGAAACTTTGAAATTAAAGAAAGAAAGAAAGAAAGTAGCACTCAATTATAACCTTTTGGTTTTATATATGTTGTGTCCTCAAGTCCTTGTAGTTGATGCTTCATCGAGTTCTTTTGCTCACAAGTTTTTTTATATAAAAACAATTCGAATTGGTTTTCTTTGTTGGTATTTTGCAATGGAGTGTGTCTGTTGCTGCTGCATATGGTCTAGAACAATGATGGGGAAGCTAAGAAAAAGTTAAAGAAGTTTGAAGAACTTTTGGGGATATATATATTTCATGGTTGGGGAAAACCCGTGACCAGTTTATATATATATATATATATATATATATATTGTCTTGGACATGAAGCATGTGGCATTAATTAGTTGCAGAAGACAGAGAGACTCTGATGAGATGAGCTTGGTCATTATGAAAAAAACTGATAAATCTGCAAGAATATCTGCTGCTGCTGCTATTCTGAACCTCAGTTGCTTTCTTTTTTCCCTCATCAATGTAAATCTCTCATTTCTTGAGCTTGTTTTCATGCACGACTTCTTTTTTCAACCAAATCGTATTTCTTTTCCATTTCAATTTATCCATTCATCCATTCCCATCTTTTTGCATGCATTATATAATATTAAGCTTCAATCATGGCATTGGCATGCATCCATATTCATGTAATTTAATGAATATATATATATATATATATATATCATTTTTCTTTGACGTTTATGTCCCTCACTTCTCTAATAATTTCTGCTCCATTGTTACATTATTTTTCAGTTTGTTCAAGTTCTGAATTATGACTTATATATTGTGTTGGCTTGTGAATAATGTGCATATATATAATATATATAGGAAGGACAGCTTCATAACTCACAGGGCATTTTGTGATGCTTTGGCTGAAGAAAGTGCAAAACTGTCAGCAAGCCAGTTAACCGCCACCAACACCACCACAAACCCAAATATTATGACACCTCAAATCTCTCTCTTCCCTTTCCAAAACCCACCCCCACCCTTCACCACCATCTCCCTCACTCCCTGGGACCCACCTCATCATCAAAACCCTAACCCTAACCTTAATCACCATCTCATCAAGACTGAATCTCATCACCACAACCATTTCCCAACAACACAATCCCACAAGGGTTTGTTGACCTCACCCTTCCAGAACCTCCATCTCAGCACACATCCCAGCTCAAAACCCTCCACGTCATCCGCCCACCTGTCAGCCACTGCGCTCCTCCAAAAGGCTGCAACCGTTGGTTCTGCATCATCAGCAGCAGCCTCCGCTGGCCAACAGGCTCAGTCCGTTGGCTTGACCGTGGGCGAGTTTGGAACAGCGAGCCACATGAATATGATCTCGACCGACTATCTAGGCGAGTTCACGTCCGGGGATCTCGCCACGTGGCAGAAGACTGACCACCTGACAAGGGATTTTCTTGGTCTGACCGGGGATGGCACGGGGAATCATAATGTTGGTGCTGTTAACGTCGTCAAGGACATGCTAACGTACGCCGGGGGCGTAGAGTTCCATCAACAGCAGCAACAGCCGTACGATCAGGCCCTGCGTGGTCATAATAATTCGCTGCTGCTGAAGCCCCAAGGTTTTGGGTTCGCTGAGACCACTGCTGCTGCCTCGGAAACGTGGGGAGACTGTTGACTGCGTTGAGCCTCAAGTTTGACCCCGAGGGTAAAAGAGTAATATGGAGCTTTTTGAAATGACAAAAAGACCCTTGCGTCCCATGACCCTCCTCCAAACTCCAGACATAAATATGGCAAAAAATGGGTGAAATTAAACTCTTTTTGGATTGTGATAGTTGTTTTTATATTTCGTACGTGAGTAAGTCTTTAGCCATCGGTCACGAAAAAAATTCCATATTTTACTAGCTAGCTTAATTATCTATTAATCTTTTTGTTTACATTTTATGAAGCAATTTACCTGGAAAGTCTTTTAAGTTTTTAGGAAATCACATGAAGGACTTGATTGTGTTATAAGACCCCCTTTAATTCACGGAAAAGATTTAGTTGTGTTATGAGTACATTCTGGTCGTAGACCAACAACGAATACGTATCAAAGAATGCACTCTGCCTCCCAGTACTAATAACATGCACGGTTTGCATCATTGCATGCACTGGAATTCCAATAACACCCTCCTCCTCCATTTACAGCTTAATTACAAATAGATTAACGCCTAAAACGATAATTATAATTGAATGGAAACAAAATAATAAGAGATGGAAGTAAAGCATGTTGGTAGAGAGGCTAGAGGGCCATAACAAAATGACTGGAATAATAGCTTCGACTGAACATTTATAGCCATAGCCTATAGTCAAGCAATGAATTTCATGGATATAATTTCACGTATAATATAATAAGATTTTACTATAATGAATTAAATAAACTTTTATGGAGATAATTTCATGGTGTCAAATCAAAATAATTAACCATTTGTTTGCATGATGATATCTTATATTCAAAAGTGAATCATTACCGTTCTTCCATTGTATGTGATGATTATCATGTGGTATTTGGAATTTGAGAATTTGAAGAACTTTTTTAATGTCACTTTTTTTTTGGGCAGAGAAAAACTTCCTTACTCCCGTTTTGCATTGACCCCCTTTTTCCTATATTCTCCTAATGTCACTTATTAAAAGAGAATAAAGAAAGGACGAATGGGGCAATGCAACGAAAATAGGGAAGTAGTTCTCGAGAGAGAGGATGACTGACTGGGTAGTGTGGAAAATTGTAAAAATTTCCAAGGGAAGATGGCCTTTTCTAAAGAGAGACAGAGAAGACTAAGCCGTAGACTGTAAAACTTGCTGTGAGCGTGAGTAGAAAGGCAAACTAATAAGTTGATGGTGTGTGAATCTGTGCTGGGTGTGATGGTGGTGGTCCGGGGACATGCATAGTGGTACTACTAAACCCAGCAAAAGAGAAAAAGAAAAGAAAAGAGAAGTAGAGGAAAAATAAAAATGAAAGCTCGTAAAATGTCAACGGTTTTATGAAAAAGATGGTAGCTTGCTCGCTAGATAGATAGATAGATAGATGCAACTTTGAAAAATAATTCTGTCTTCTCTTTACTTGATGGATGGACTGCTCTTTATCAATTTCTGTGCACTTCCCCACATCACTGGCTCACAGCCTTTGGCTTGGTTGGCAGCTCCTCCCATAATTGGAGTAATGTCGTCGTCTTTGTTTTTTTTAACATGGACCCGGCTATTGATCACCAAATCCCAACCCTTGATAAACTATATATGCTTAGAAATGTTTGCATGTTCAGGTCTTGATTAACTAATTGGTTTGATTTGCTTAAATTGATGATAGAGAGATTGTCAAATTGCCTCGTACCATAATCCCCATTCCATAAGAAAGTTGTTCAATCAGATTTGAATGTCCTAATCTAATTCGATACATAATGGATCATTAGGTTGCAATTATCATTTGTATTTAACTAATCCATTTGTGCATGTCAATTGTTGAACATTTCTTTTTTCAAACACATGATGTAAGCGTTCTTTTAAAAAATCTTTGACCTAATTAAAGGAATGGATCTTGTTGCTACAACCCAGTATATCCACCAAGAGAGAGAGAGAGAGAGAGAGAGAGAGAGAGAGAGAGAACCTAGGGATTAATGAAAGGAAGGGTTGGGTGGTTATGGTATATCCAAGCTTTTAGAAAGTTTATGTATAAGTTGCAGGGTTAAGGTACCATATATGCCATTTGCCTAGTAAAAGGGGCTGCATCTTTTTATCTGCACAACCAGACAAACCAAAAGCTTCTCCTCCCTCTTCTATTCCCTCTCTTTCTTTCTTTCACAGCATCCTTATTCCCTTGCATATGTCATCTTCCACCAGGGAATCTCTCCTCAACAAAACCTCCTTTTCCCCTTTTTTAATTTGTCCTTCCAATTCTAATAATTACCCAAACCCCCTTTTCCATGCTTTTCCATCCTTTTTTCCCCTTGTGCTGCAAATTCCCATACAACTCCTCCTTTTCCACAACCCTCTCACTCCTACTAATTCAACAAAGCATGTAGAACTTAATACACATTTATACGTTTTGCTTTGAGAAAATGGGATCAAGAATTATTTACCCAAGAAAAAGTTGGATTAAGATTTAAAATTCCATGACAAGAATCCACCCTCCAACTTAAGTTCATGCTTGATTTTGCTCAATTGTACCCATTTCATTGAAGAAAACAAGTCGAAAAATGCTACTTATCCGAATTAGATAATGCTGTGTAAGTCTGAAGAAAAAATTTAGAGAAATAGTTGGCATTGTATAAGCCTCTGACCATTTGCTTCTGGGTACTAGACATGGACTGTTTGTTCATGTTCCCAGCACGCCTGTGGTCCTTAACTGATTCTACTTTCTCAGTTACAACTAAGAATACTTTAATTGACCCTCTCCCATCAATTCCATCGACACATAAAATACAATGTTTTCAAATCAAATTAAGGAAAAGGTCCCCTATTTCTTTTCACCAACAATTTTTCGCTACTCTCTCTGTGAAGTAACGCAACATATAACTCAAAAACTATAATCCACATAGCGCATCAGGAACCTAAAAGTTGCAGAGCATATGCAATCACATAGAATGTACAACCAATGATACAACAATATGCTTAAAGCTAGTGATGACTTGAATTCTAGGAGCCTGTGGATGAACACTTGTAAAGTACTCTTGAGAATTCAAGGGGGGGAAAAAGTTTCTGTAATGAATATGCATCGATTTGCTCCGTCAAGATACTACGGGACCAATTTCTTTAAGAAGTTTCGTCAGACCCCGGGTTTTGGCCCACCCCAATCCACTCCCAAATACTTATCTAACACATTCTTGTATGCCTGCAACAAAGAATACAGTAAATGAGAATTTACATCAATCTACTCTGTATGCATCATTGGGCAACTAGCAACATTTTATACTGTACCGACAAATTTTCAATTTTGCTCATTTACGAAGGGGAAATCAATAGTTGCATGGAGAGTTAAACAAATTCACCAACCCCCCATCTAGGTGATGATTGGGAAATGTAAAGAACTAGGGCAAGAACAAAGGCCTTTCAAACGAAAAGTCTAAGAAGGCTGTTTAATTGGGGGAAAATAAGGTTGTCAATAGGTTGAAAAAGATCAGAAAATTCACGAGTAGAATGCAAAGTTCTCAAATGAAGTGGATTCCAGCTGTACAACTGTAAATAAAGGAAAACATATACATCCAAAACTATCCAGAAGAATTACATACATAAGGCGGCCATGCAGCACGGCATTATTCACATGACAAGAAGGACCCACAGCCCATCAGAAAACTTCCAGTAAAATTAGATATGCTAAGGTCATGCAAGCAAACAAAATCAAATGATGAAGTTAAAATAATTAACTTTTTTCTTATCTCTGATCATGGAAAAGACAAGAGATTGAACCCTGGTTCCATATTAACAACTAACTTGTGACCCTGTTCCCTGCCCAGCTCTAGTCAAGACTAGGTAAACTCAACAACATAATGGACAACAGCAGAGTGGCTTTCTCCACTCTAGGGACAACCAACAAAGAGTGCTTCAAATTTTGATATTTTTAAACATTTAAAATGACAAGAATATCAAACGGGACAATGTACTTAACTATGGTAGTCCGTGACATCAATTTTAACTAATTTCCAACCATTTAAGAATCGGCATTGACTATTCCAGAACAAACTGGTCTGCTTAGGTTAATCATGTTTTCATACCAGAGATGGTCATCATACAGAAGGTGAGCCAGTGAACATCTTACGCTCCAAATCATCCCCTACCCAATTTTTTCTTACAAACATTATTGAGTACCCACCTACCTAACACGAAAATATGGGAACAAATCAAGAATAATCCATATGTGCACATTATACTCCACTATTTTATGACAGAAATAGATGTTATCATTAGTGTCAAAAGACATGTTTCAACATGCACAGCATTACCTGGAGTGCAAATAATTCTTTCCCGTTTAGAATTGCATCCATCGCAGCGAATTGGTCGTCAAATGCCCCATAGAAAACTTGGTAGAATCTGTTCCTGAAATGATGAATAAGAATAGCAGATTGAAGCTGAATACAGATCTTCACCTTTTCACAAAAGATTTAATGACAAATTAACAATTACCGATCTTCCTCAGTGATCTGTTGATCCATTTCTTCAAATTTACATGTAAACACTTCCGCTCCCACTGGTGAAAGCAAGTGCAGTATTAAAGCCTCCAGAGTTCTTGGGAAATTTTTCTGCAAAAGATAATATAAACGTTGCTTGGTCGCTAGCTCGTAAACTAAGTTACCAATATATAGTTATCATAATGTGGCTGAGAATACAAAGAGATCTTTGATCAGAAACAATAATCTCTTTAATCAGAGCAGCTGCATTAGTCCCCTCACCACTTTGCCATGACAGCGTTACCAAAGGGTATAGCTTATGAAAGTCACTAAAAATCAAGGGTTAAAATGAGAAAAAGGGGGGAGGAGGGGTGTCCTGCCCAGCTGCATTCTTGCACACCCTTTAGAAAGAAAAAAAACATACAGAAACAAGAGAAAAAGCAGTCAAGCAAGCCTCTTCAAAGGATAAACTACCAAAGCTCACTTTTCTGTTAGATGGGACAATTTTCACTAGCAAAAGCATGGAGACATCATCATAAGGGACGAGCATCCAGAATAATAGACAAAATAGGGAATAAAGATGACCCATAAAATTGAAGGTCCTATATGAAAATTTTCCCCTATCCAAGTAAGAAGACCTGCTCTTTGCTTCAGCTGTTACTATATCGCATGCAACACACGCCTACTTAATGGAAAATGCCTTGCTTTATCACACTTTTTTATATTAACGAAGAACATCTCACATGAAACGAAAGTCTAGTAACCTATTACAATTTACTAGTTTAAGCTAATAGTGAAAGTAAAACTGTTCAAACTCACCACCATGGCCAGAAATACATTTCTAAAAGTGCACGGTTGAAGAGCCCAAATAATTTTAGCAACTGGGTCATCTTCCAAACTAAATGAATTTGCTCTCACAACTTTGGTGAATTCATCTTTCACACTAGCTGCAGAATCAGTTGTTGAAGTGGATTGCACTGGTCGTCTTAGCTCAGCAGCATTAACACAATGGTGAACTAAAGAAACAAGTTCATGAAGAGCATGGATAGCGAGGGGTTCCAGTTCATGCGACATGGTTCTTTGCTCTAGTTCCTTCCCTTTAAGATCCTTTCTCTCACATGCCTGATCCAAATCATTGTCATTCTGATCTGGGTGGGTATCATATCAAGTTATGGATGTCAGCAGAAAGAATTTCCAAGGCCATAGAGATTCATTACAAATTTCCTTTCTTTTCTATGATAATAATTGGAATGAAGCAATACCTAGTAATCTTAATATATGATGATCTATCAGTGAGCTTATAGATACTGACCTACTCCTCCATTATTAAGCACCACACATGTATGCTTTTTCTTGTTCTCCATTTCAGCTAAAGAAGATTTAGGCAGCACTCGGTTCTGTCCTAAAAATTAAATATACTTATAGTGCTCAATTATAAACTTCTGATTCAAAGATTTAAAAGGGAGGTGGGGGAGAAGAAAATACAGAAAATATGACCACCATATTAAATAAACAGACAAATATATATCTAGCTCTGTGTGTTTGAGTGTGTGTTTGTGTGTGTGTGTGTGTGAGAGAGAGAGAGAGAGAGAGGTATGTACCATTTCTTTATCTGTCAATCTTTCGATGCGGATTTGACAAGTAAATGAATCACGAGAGAGAAACAGAATCAAGTTAGCTGTTCTGGAAATGCTTTGCCTACTAGCTAAAATAGAAACTCTATGACAAACCTTCTTAATATTATGCGCAGATAATATGCATCCATGTGTTCTGACATGTTTGACACTATGTTGGACTGCCACCAAAAGTTGACAGCAATGGTCAGATCATCACTGTCTACCTGGTGGAACCTGTGGCAAACAGAAATAGCCATTAAGAATATTTCATTCAAGTTATAAATTACAAAAGGAGGGGGGGAAGGAAGAAAAGAGAGAAGACTCCTAATGAACACTGATGTATAATAAACCTTACCAGCCTTCAGGAATGAAAAGCGCGTCACCTGCGTGAAGAATAACCTTCTGCGAGTACTCCATTAAACATTGTGCTCTTGGATAATTTGAAAAGTCTGGGTTCTCTAAAGGAACGGAACTGCCAAGAGGCCACAAGAGGGAAAAATAAAAACACTGACAGGCTGCATATAGATCTCTTTATTGATAGAAAGATAGATAAATGAGTAAATAAATAGAAGCATTGAATTTTCATAATTAAATAATTAGAGAAGACATTAATTTGAATTCATATAATTAATACAGAAAGTGCCATACCTATGATTTGATGCCTCCCCATATATTGGCATAGGGTATAACATAGCACTTGCTGAAGGAGGCCATAAAACCACTGCGAAGCATACAAGTTTCTCATTGAAAATTATTAAATAAGAAGAAAAAAAACTCTATTTTAGACAAAAATTGCGTGCAACTTCAAACCAAGTTTTCAGTATAGAAATAATCCTTAAATTTGCGGCCCTACAAGAATCAGGCTAAACAATCACTTTTCTAGGCATGCAAGTAAACTATAAAAGCAAAGATCACTTCTCTTTCTTTGCATCTAATCATTCCGTGAACAAAGAGCACCGGTAATATACAAAACCTAGTGAACCTGAAGTTGAAAAAGACCCTATGCACTAAGAGGGCCATAGAAAGTGATTTGACCTTGTTTGCAGCCAGAAACTATGCAGAGAAGGTTATGGTGTGGATCATAGTGAGTGCTTGATCTAGCTTGAGCATTGTTCATCCACAGGTTTGTAGAAGCTAGTACTTTATCCTCCAAAAATACAGGCTACAGAAAACAACTGGTGTTCATTAGAAATCAAGGATGTAGAAAAGGATTCTTTAGTGGTAGCCTGTAGAGTAAACAGTAAGGACTAGTACAGGAAATTCACAAACCATTTGGATATCCTCCCGCAAAGATTCTAACTGAACCCTCTCTTCATTTTCAGTATTGATTATTGGTACCTGAATCACACATGACAAAAGTTACATCCCAAAGATGTGAGACCATTACCCTTCAAACAAGCCTAAAAAGTCTAACATACTACATAAAGTACATCCTAAAAAATATTCATCCAAATAAGGAACAAAAGTATCCTAAAATGACAAATCATAGGCATGGCATTAACAACATTAATGAAAAGAAAACAGATTATACTTAAACACAAAGATATCCATCATCTTAAAGCCATTGAATGTTAAACCTGTGCTAAATATATTTGTTGAGTAGCATCCTCATAGGGCTTACGGTCATACTCAGATACAGGCTCCAATAGTGCACGCTGTTCTGATTCAAAACAAACACCAGAACCATCCTCTGAATGACGCATGCGTTGCTTACACAGACCAATGAAGGCAGAAAATGGCAGCGGTACCTACAAAAGGAAGGGGTAGTAAACTAGTTAGGCCCAATGAGATCCAGAAGAGACAAAAATTCAAAGCTCCAGACCATTAGCAAACACCATATAGATTACCCTCTCATGGCTTCTAAGATCACCGTAGAAGACAGGTGCAGAACTAGATAGCATAGCCTCCACAACACACAATCCGACTCGTTCCTAGTTTTCCATTCATCAGAATGATATCAAGCACAAAATTCAATTCAGTTAAAGGAAAGAAGTCAATAGTACATGCAATGAGCACATGACTAAAAACCGAAACAAAAATAACAGCTGATCCCAGAAAATATTATGCAGCAGCAGCTAGCTCCTTGAAGCATAATTCAGGAGAAAGAACTGGTTACTGGTTTAGTACATCATTATATGTATTTCAAATAATACATACAATGATGTATTGGTGGTCTGTCGTTAGAGAGAGAGAGAGAGAGAAGGAGACGACGGCTCAGAGGAGAGAGAGGCAGCGTGAGGTACTTTAAAGTCAGGAAAAAAAAAGGACCCGACCCGCCTAGCGCCTAGGCGCCGCCTAGGCCGATTTTTCGAACAAAGCTATTTTAACTACACAGTTCCTAATTTACTAAAATTTAGAAAACGAAGCAGACCTGAAGAAGAAAAATAAACTGAAAAAAAACAGAGAAACCTGCAAATAGTCGAGGCCGCCATTCGATGGATTCCATTTGGAGAAAGCTTTCCAATCCTTAACGCAGCCATTGAAAACCTATTGAGAAGAATAAAGCAAGAACACGCAGAGCAAGTGAGAGCCAGCAATGCTTGTGAATAAGCAGGGCGCGAAGAAATTTGCAGTTTATTATGTGAAATAATAAGAAAATTACAGCGGGAAAGTTCGTGGATTCGATCCGAGACTCGAAGTTTCTGGCCGAAGGAGCTTCCTCCAACCTCTGAATTTGCAGAGATTCCTCCATTGCTATTCTCACTGAGATTCGGTTACTGACCATAGCAGAGAGACATAGCAAATAAATTTATTTTAAAAAAATAAAAAATAATGAAAAATAATGTTAATGAGGTAGGAAGCTAAGCCCAAGTTCCAGGCCCAAAAGAAAGCCCAATAGGTCAACCAAAATATGAAGCGAACCCACGGATCATAACGAGTTAACCGAAATTTGAGCCTTTTTTATTTCACATTTTAGGAAGCGCACACACACACTCTATCTCTCTCTTCCAAGATTCAGTGCAATGGTGAATTGAATTTCAGGGCAAAGATCAAAATGGAGACAAGAAAGAGATTTTCGTACGGGAAGATTTACGTAGCATATGGTTTTCTTATGAGCCTCATTGGCAATGGGAATTTTGCTACTGCTCTTTCAATCACTGTGACAGACTTGGAATGTGTCTCGGAGCAAGTTTTGTATGAGGGAGATACCGTCTCCGGAAACTTTGTTGCTATCGACCATGACATCTTCTGGAGCTCCGATCATCCCGGTATCGATTTCACCGTAAGTTTCCTGTCATCCATTTCTATCAATTTGCATGTACTTTATATTGGAAAATCACAATATTTTAATTGCTAAATAATCTAATGTTATGTTGTCAAATTGTGAATCAAATCAAAACCGTTGGTTAATAATTGAGTGTATATAAAAAAAAATATGCACGATTTGTTTTCAAATGGATGTGCAACTTTTGCGTGGTTTATGCAGGCGATGACTCCAAGAGGTACCATAGTGTTCTCTCTAAAAGGAACATCGGGGGATAAGTTTGAATTCAAGGCGCCGCAGAGCGGAATCTACAAGTTCTGTTTTCGCAATCCGGTTTCAACTCCGGAGACTGTATCTTTCTACATTCATGTTGGCCACATCCCAAATGAACATGACTTGGCTAGAGACGGTCAGTTAGTTCAACGTGCTTTTTGTACCATGGTAGCAAAAATATGAACACTAGGAGAACATATGATCTTTGTCTTTTCTATTTTGGTGCAGAACATATGGACCCTCTTAATATTAAGATTGCTGAGCTGAGGGAGGCATTGGAGTCTATAACAACAGAGCAAAAGTACCTTAAAGCACGAGATGCCAGGCATAGATATAGTAAGCCTCATCTGCCCCTTTGCTCTCTCTCTCTCTCTCTCTCTCTCTCTCTCTCTCTCTTAATCACAAATTAAACAACCCTAAATTTTCTAATTATCCTGGTTTCTTTCTTAACAGCAAATGTTAGCACGAAAAAACGTGTGATCTACTTCACACTTGCAGAGTACATTGTGTTTGCTGCTGCAAGTGCTCTTCAAGTGGTGTACATCCGCAATCTGTTCAGCAAGACGGTTGGCTACAACAGAGTTTAAGCTTCCTCATTTTCCTTGATTAATTTAATTTTCTTCTTATAAATTCATAATAACTATCTTGTTCTCTCTTTTTCTCGGTAAATTTTGAAACTTCAGCTAAATAAGGCAAACTTTACTAGCACATTTCAAACACTTCAATACACAAATTTTCCTTTCCGTTTCAATTTCAACTATTAGAATATGGTTGTATCAGATAAAAACTTACATGAAACGGGTGTATGTTGTTTAAGAGAGATGCACATATATAATACATATATATACGAGTGGCGGTGATAACTAAGTTTTTCTCGTCATTCCAATCAAAATTCAACTAAGAGACCTTGTATTGAATGTAACACAAATGAGTAAATGTTTTTAAGTTTGTAACGTTTCAGTCCAACTACCACTAGTACTACATTGGACACAAAGAAAATGCCATAATAACAATCCTTGCATGTGTTGCCCTACTGGGACTGTATATGAGAATATATACAACAGGCCTGCTTGAGAAAAAGGCAGAAAGCTGCTTTGCACTATGATTGAGCATGATTTGAATGTACTAGCCCAGTAGGCATGAATTATTTCTCAAATTGACCTGACCATAAGCAAAGCAAAAACGAATTAATTTTATCTCAGGCACAAGAGATAATGATGCCTCAAATATTAATTTGTTGAATGCTCAATTAAGTTGTCGTGGGTTTATGCAATTTTCTCTTTTGTTTACCATTCTATTGAGATCATTTTAGCACTTCAATTGGGAGAGGCCCCAACAACGAAAACTTTAAACCCAGTTATTTCTTACCGATCACTCAACTGGCTTGGTAAGATCTGTAGGTTGAACTTTGGCAAAGCCTTCAAGGAGCTAATCACTACTTCAATTAGTAATTATATTTCAATTATTATTTATTTAGTAAATAATAAGTATTTTTAAAAAGATAAGATATTACTTAATTACTTGGGTTTTCCTTTTTTAATAAATAGTATAGCCGCGCGACTATACTCGGTTTTACCTTATTTTGTAAAATAGACAGTATAGCCGCACAGCTATCCTCCTGTTTTCCTTTTCCTTTTTTAATAATTAGTATAGCCGCGCCCATACTCGGTTTTACTTTATTTTGTAAAATAGATCGAATAGCCTTTATTTTGGAAAATAGATCGTATAGCCGGGCGGCTATACTCGGGTTTTCCTTTTTTAATAAATAATATAGCCGCTCGGCTATACTCGATTTTACCTTATTTTGTAAGATAGATAGTATAGCCGCGCGGCGATACCTGGTTTTTCCTTTTGTAAATTAATAGTACCGCCGCTCGGCTCCTTTTTTTAATAATGAGTGTAGCCGAGCGGCTATACTCGGGTTCTCCTTATTTAATAATTATTATAGCCGCGCGGCTATACCAGGTTTTCTATAGTATAGCCGCCCGGCTATACCCGGGTTTTCCTTTTTTAAATGAATAGTATAGCCGCGCGGCTATACGCGTACACCATCAGACAGATTGGCTGATGAAGTTTGGGAAAAGGACAATCATAAAGTTGAAGACCTTGAAGCAGTTCAGATGTTGCAGGACATTTTCCTCAAAGCAGATAACAGGGAGTTGCAAGCAGAAGTTCTAAACAGAATGTTCAAAATATTTTCAAGTCATCTTGAAAACTACAAGTCGTGCCAGCAGTTACGGACTGTTCCACTTTTCATCCTAAATATGGCCGGTTTTCCTCCATCTTTGCAGGTCATACTTTTAAAAATTCTCGAGTATGCTGTGACTGTTGTGAATTGCGTTCCGGAGCAAGAATTACTTTCACTTTGTTGCTTGTTGCAGCAACCAATATCATCAGAATTAAAGCACGCCATACTTTCTTTCTTTGTTAAACTTTTATCCTTCGACCAGCAGTGCAAAAACGTCCTCCGAGAAGTTGGTGTCCTGGAAGTTTTGTTGGATGAGCTGAAGCAGCACAAGTTACTTTTGGGTTCAGACCATCAAAGTGGAAATTCTAATCAGTTGGAGAGAAAGTCCAACTCAAGCAGCTTTAAAAAGCACTTGGACAATAAGGATGTCATTATTTCATCACCCAGACTTATGGAATCTGGTTCAGGGAAGCTTCCTATATTTGAAGTTGCTATTGCGTGGGATTGTATGGTCTCATTATTAAAGAAAGCGGAAACTAATGAATCGTCTTTCCGTTTGGCTAATGGTGTAACTGCGGTTCTCCCTTTTCTTGTGTCTGATCTACCGGTGCTGTTAGAGTTCTTATTCGTTCATTACTGATATATACGACAGGCCTGCTTGAGAAAAAGGCAGAAAGCTGCTTTGAATACTCAGTAGGCATGAATTATTTCTCAAATTGACCTGACCATAAGCAAAGCAAAAACGAATCAATTAAGTTGTCGTGGGTTTATGCAATTTTCTCTTTTGTTTACCACTCTATTGAGATCATTTTAGCACTTCAATTGGGAGAGGCGCCCCAACAACGAAAAATTTAAACACCAGTTAATTTTTACCGATCAGTCAACTGGCTTGGTCAGATCTGTAGTGTTGAACTTTGGCAAAGCCTTCAAGGAGCTAATCACTACTTTAATTAGCAATTATATTGTAATTATTATTTATTTAGTGAATAATTAGTTTTTTTATTTTTAAGAGAATATATTACTTAATTACAAAAAAGAAAACAATATTGTGCTGTATAGCCAGACGGCTATATTTTTAAAATATTCGAATATAAAGCGTATAGCCGGTCGGCTATACCATTTAAATATTCCGTCATATTTTGACAGTCTAGCCGCGCGGCTATGTTAAAATATTCGAATATATTTCAAGAGTATCGCCGTCCGGCTATACTTTAAAAAAATTCTGATATATTTGAACACTATAGCCGGTCGGCTATACTCTTTAAATCGTTAACAGTACAGCCGCGCGGCGATACTATTAAAATACTCGAATACATTTAACTAGTATCGCCGCACGGCTATACGGTTTAAATCTTAATATATTTGATGCAGTATAGCCGTGCGGCTAGACACGGTTTTTACTATTTGTATAGCTGTGCGGCTATACACGGGTTTACCTTTTTTTAAATAAAAAAATCGCATTGCCGCACGGCTGTACTTTATTTTTTCTAATTTTTAAAAAATGTGGAGTCTGCGGATGTCATAGTAGAAGCTGTTGGGCTTACCACACACTCCATAGTTTCCGAAGTGATGGAGAGCATTCAGATCGATCTTCTTTAGTGGTCTACATTAAGGTGTTTACGTATTTGTTGCGTGTTGTGACTGCTGGAGTGTGTGATAATGCTGGTTAATAGGACAAAGTTGCACACAATTATATCATCCCAAACTTTCTAAGATCTTCTATTGGAGTCTGGCTTACTTAGTGTGGACTGTGAAAAGCAAGTCATACAATTATTGTTTGAACTAGCTCTTGAAAGGCTTGCTCGTTCTAGCCCCTTCAATCAGGAAAACCTCACCTTTGTAGGTGCGATCAAATAATTCAATGCTTAGGTTTCTAAATTAATGTCTAGTGTTCTCACTTTCTACTTTCTAATTTTTTTAGGTTGCATAGAACTGCTGTTGGAAACCATTCAACCCTTTCTTTTGAGCTCATCCCCAATACTTAAATATGCTCTGGAGATTGTGGAAGTTCTTGGGGCATACAGGTAGGAATTGCGTCATGTATTGGAATTGTTTACTTTCTCTTTCCAATTCTCATTCTGGGAATTGAGTTTTAGCAATTAAGGGTGGTGGGATTTTGTTAATTTTGTATAAAAAGGTTTGTTATATATGTGGTGGCAGGTTATCTGCGTCAGAACTTCGAATGCTTATTCGTTATCTGTTGCAAATGAGGCTGATGAAGTCAGGTTGTATACTTGTTGAAATGATGGAAAGGTTAATTCTCATGGAGGATTCAGAAAATATTTCTCGGCACCATTTGTAGCAATGGACATGAGCAAGATTGGTCACGCTTCAATTCAGGTCTCTCTGGGAGAAAGATCATGGCCTCCAGCTGCTGGTTACTCATTTGTCTGCTGGTTTCAGTTTCGAAATCTCTTGAAGTTGCCGGTTAAAGAACCAGAGTCCAAAGCTGGTCCTTCTAAGAGGCGGAGCAGTTCTGCTGGGCAACATCACGAGCGGCATGTTCTACGGATATTTTCTGTTGGTGCAGCAAATGATGAAAATACATTCTATGCAGAACTTTATCTTCATGAGGATGGTGTTCTAACCCTTGCAACCAGCAACTCTTGTTCCTTATCATTTTCAGGATTAGAACTTGAGGAAGGCAGGTGGCATCACCTTGCAGTTGTACATAGCAAACCAAATGCTCTTGCTGGACTGTTCCAAGCCAGTGTTGCTTATGTGTATCTTGATGGAAAGCTGAGACACACTAGGAAACTAGGATATTCTCCATCTCCGGTTGGAAAACCTTTGCAGGTAACGGTGGGGACCCCGGTTACTTGTGCAAGAGTTAGTGACTTGACCTGGAAGGTCCGTTACCTTTTTGAGGAGGTGCTCACCTCAGGTTGTATTTGTTTCATGTACATTCTTGGTCGAGGGTATCGAGGGCTCTTCCAAGACACAAGTTCTCATTGTGGGAATTAAAGGTTTGTTATATATGTTGTGGCAGGTTATCTGCATCAGAACTTCGAATGCTTATTCGTTATGAGGCTGATGAAGTCAGGTCGTATACTTGTTGACATGATGGAAAGGTTAATTCTCATGGAGGATTCAGAAAATATTTCTCTGGTACCATTTGTGCAATGGACATGACCAAGATTGGTCATGCTTCAATTCATGTCTCTCTGGGAGAAAGATCGTGGCCGTCAGGCGGGTCATCTTTTTTTTTGGGCTTGTCCAATATAGATCCATACATTTTCTATTTCCTAGACATATACCCATCACTCTATAAATCTATGTGTAAAACCCAATTTCAAATTTAAATGACCAGTAGGATATAAGAGGTCGTAGTATTTTTATGTTTTTACATCGTTGCCACTAAACTTCATATTTTATTTATAATTTATTTCAAGCATTTCATTAACTGCCATAATTGTAATTAATATACTCCCTATTAATAGCATATCAATCACCCCATTTCTTTTAGTTGTCATTCCCTCTCACATCTCGCCCCCTAAAATTGCAAACAAACAAAAAAAATCTGTAAATTACATATCCAATAATGTACCTATGAAAAATATAATATAAATATATACATATAAAATATAGGTATATTATTTACCCAAAAAAAAAATGTCAGTTACTTTGTAATTGCGTATATTTTTCATAATTAAAAATAGGTACACAATAATTTATATAAAATATAGGTACATTATTTGGAGAGGAAAGATAGGTAAATTATTAGAGGAAAAAAATTGGTAAGTTATTTGGAGAGAGAAAATAGGTTCATTTAAAAAAATTACGTTTAATAAAACAAATAATAGGAACTTTATTCAGAGAAAAAAGGCTATATTATTTATAGAAAAAAATAGGTACATTATTTAGATAAATAATAGGTACTTTATTCGTAGTAGGTATATTATTCAAATGGTAGGTACATTGGATGACATATAATACCTAAATCCTAATTGTAAGTACATTAAAATTAAGGCTTAAATATTAAAATGGTCCTTGTGTTTTAGTCAATTGGCAAATTTAGTCCTTATGTTTTTAATTTGACCAATTTAGTCCCTGTGTTTTACTCCGTTAGCCAATGTTGTCCATTTCGTTAAATTACTGTTAAAAAATTCATCTAAAATTTTAAAAATTATTAAGTTCTATTTACAAAGCAAACAAATATGAATTAAAATAACAAAATGTTAAAATACACAATCTGGAAACCCGACAGCCTCTATGTTCTCATGCCACCACAACCACCATGAGGAGTCCCAGCCACCACCCTATTCTCTCTCTCTCTCTCTCTCTCTCTCTCTCTCTCTCTCTCTCTCTCTCTCTCTCTCTCTCTCTCTCTCAATTGTCGAATCCCAACATGGCAACCAAGTTCTTCAGTTCTTTTCGCTGATTCTTTTGCTCTGCTCCACATTCATTGCAATAAAGTGCCTCACCTTTTCAATATCATGAGTACAACAATTGGAGGTTTCCTTGATGGGTTATCTCTTGGAGCCATCAAAGAATCGGGCCCTAGCCCAGGTGAGGGCCACAAATTTACGAACCAACAAACCCTTGGAGGGATAAAGAAACCTAGCCCGAGCCCTCCCTTCCCTCCCCACAACTCCTCCATCTCTCTCTCTCTACCTTTTTCCATCCCACCCACCCCCACAAAATATGAGTGAAATAAAGATTCAACATCAGTATTGGCAGGCAACTGATGGTTGTGGTGTTGGGTTGGGTGGCGACAACAGCATGAGAGAAGGACATAGTCTGTTGGTTTTTCAGAATTTCTTTTTTATTTTTTTATTTTGTTATTTGTATTAATATTATAAACTGAACTTAACAATGTGTTTATATTAATTTTTAAATTTTATTGAATTTTTTAAAGGTAATTTAACATAATTGACAATATTGGCTAACAGAGTAAAACACGGGGACTAAATTGACCAAATTGAAAACACAGGGATTAAATTTGCCAAACGTATAAAACACATGGACCATTTTAACATTTAAGCCTAAAATTAATGTAGGTATATTGGAATAGATAATTATGTACACTTTTCATACTAGGTAAATTATATTTTTCATAAAACAAATAGGTACATTAATTTTTCAACATAATTAGTATGTACAGTTTTATTCATAAACAATTATAAAGTGGATTATTAGTCATGTATAATTCATAAAAAGAAAATAACATAAACATTTTATTAAACAAACCAATTACCCAAATTTGAATTTATTATTATTATTTTTTTAAAATGTTCCAAAATTAATTCCTACATCCATTACAACCATTTGGAGATCTTTCCAAATTCAACATCTGTCATTATATACAATCCAATTAAAAACTGTTTCCATATTGATTCCTACATTAATATACAAAATGCAATAATGGCTTCGTTGGGGGTATTTTTGGAATCTGAAAAGTACAATAAATCAGATTTTATGCTTAATTAGGTAATTTGCTGAGTTGGATCCTAGTCATGGGTTTTTACTTATACAAATTGGGTATTATTTATAGGAACAAAAAGTGAAGGGTTTTAGGTATGGCAAATTGAATTTGAAGGGTGTAAGCCAAATTTACTTTTTTTTTTTCATAAATCGTATAGCCAAACGGCTATACTCTGTTTTTACTTTTTTTTTTAAATGGTATAGCCGAACGGCTATACTTATTTTGACACGTGTACGCCCAATAGCTAGGCCGTTTTTTTATTTAAAAATAGTATAGCCGACCGGCTATACAAGACTTTTCTATTTTTAAAAAAATATTATAGCCGCCCAGCTATACCATTTTTCCCCGTGGACGCCTCTTTGCCCGGCGGATCCCCCTTTTTGTTTTTTTTAAATAGTATAGCAGCATGGCTATACATGGTTTTTATCTTTTTTTTTAAATGGAAGAGCCGCCCGGCTATACGCATGTTATTAATACAAATTTATAAATAAACCAAATTCTAGACATGTATTTATAAAAAAACTCAAGCACAATTTAAACATAGAAACACACCCAAAATCAACAATTGTATATTTTTTGGGTGTGTTTATAAATGGGTTTTGAGTGTGTGTAATGACAGGTTTTGGGTGTGTTTATAAAGTGTTTTGGGTGTTGGGTTTTTTTTATAATTTCAGCCCCCATTTTGGGTGTTTTAGTGAAACTCCCTTTTATTAATGTGTCTTTAAAAATAGTATAGCCAAGTGGGTATACTCAATTTTTTCTATTTTTTTTAAAAAATAGTATAGCTGGTCGACTATACTCTTCATATATATTTTGAGGATCCTTTTCTTCTTTTAAAATTTTTCCCCGATTTTTGTTTATCGATAAGAGTAGTTTAGAGCATTAATATTCAAGTATATTTAAAGAGTATAGTTGCGCAACTAAACTTTTTCAATAAGAGGATCTAGCAATTAGGAAATGCATTAACTCACATTAGAAAAGTTGTGAAAAATATGCATCAATAGATTTTTATATAATTCAAGTTGGAAGAAAAATGTGACATTTTGTTAGAACACTACATCAATAGATTTGGAAATGTCATCCCGACAAACTTTGCCGGAATGTCATCTGGATAGGTCTTTCCCATCAAAAGTCATCAAGATAGCTCTTGACTGACGACTTCTACTCAGAAAGGTCACTAAATTATTATTAAAAATTAGTTTGTTTAGTTCCATATTTGTAATCAAGTAATATCTTAGCTTTATTTAATTACTTCATTTATTATTTATTTAGTGAATAATGAGTATTTAAATATTTTAATTAGTTTCATAAATTACTTAATAAATAATAACTAATCATTTGATATTATTTTATGGACTTTTTTATTATAAAAAATATGTTTGTTTAGTTTAATATTTGTAATTAAGTAATATCTTAGCATTAATTAATTACTTTAATTAGTAATTATATTTTTATTATTATTTATTTGGTTAAATACCTTTTTGGTCACTAGGTTTTACACGAAAATTCAATTTGGTCACTGAGAAAAAAATGTAGCCAAATTTATCACTGTGTTTTCCAAAGTTTATAATTTACAGACATTCCATTATCTTTTTTTAAGTGAAGTTTTTATTTTTAGTTTTATAGGAAGCATGTTCAATCTTGTTCCTCTATTATATTTTGGTGTGATCAAATTTCTATATTTTAGTGCTCTATATTGAAGTCTGAATAGATTAAGTGAGAACTGTATTGCGACTTTGGATGATAAGGAGACGTAATCTAGGTGACAGAGCACCAAAATATATTGATGATAAGTTGTTGATTTCATTTTAATTTAGTTTAACTTTTTTATTTTCCTTAGGAAGAAGATTGAAGGCGCTTTCTAAAAAAATAAAAATAAAAACTGAACTTAACGGAAGATAGCATAATATCTATAAATTGTAAACTTTAGGAAACACAAAAACTAATTTGACTAAATTTTTTTTCTTAATGACCAAATTGAATTTTCTTGTAAAACCCAGTGACAAAAAAAGTATTTAAACTTATTTAGTGAATAATTTGCATTTAATACTTTAATTAATTTCATAAAGTACTTAATAAATAGTAATTAATTATATTAAATTATCTCAAATAACTTTTTGGACTTTAAAATTATTTAAAATTCATAGAAAATTATTTTAGTATTCCAAATCCTAAATCCAAGTCTCGAACCAAAATCCATCACTTCCAAACTTATTCCAAAACCGTTCACAAGCCTCGAAACCTAACCTTAAATCTAAGCATTTGAGAAAAAGGCAGAAAGCTACTTGGCATTATGATTGGGCATGATTTAAATGTACCAGGTCAGTAGGCATGTGGGGCGTATAGCTAGCTTGGCATTATTTCTCAAATTGACCTGACCATAAGCAAAGCAAAAAGGGAGAGGCCCAGTTGTCGTGTTCCTACTGTTCTGTTTATTTGTCGTGGGGTTATGCAATTTTCTCTTTGTTAGCACTTCAATTGGGAGAGGCCCCAACAACTAAAAATTTAAGCCCAATTATTTCTTACCAATCAGTCAATCGGCTTGGTCAGATGACGGCCCAGATCTGTCGTGTTGAAATTTCCCAAAGCCTTCAAGGAGCAAATAAGAAAGTTTGGGATGCATTTTGTCCAGGCAAAACACCGAGAATTGAACCTTATCCACTTATCAGCTCGGATAACTTAGGCTTCAAGTATTATGCATCATACAAAAGTCAAAAAAATAAAAGCAATTGAAAGATGAGTAACACAGATTCTTTCTTATTGAAAAATAAAAGTTACCCAAAAATAAAAGTTTCAGTCCACCTTAAAATTGATGGCTCTGTCAAAGGTTTTTTGGTATATACTTTGAATAAAAGTGAATTTGAAATCCAATATTTTATGCGGTAAGAATTTATAACTTCAATAGTAACAACAATAACCTTAAGAATGGTGAAAAAATAAATTAGTATTTGTTCTTCTTTCTTAAGTAGGATCTCATAAATATAAGATGTGAAAGACTAGATGCTCGGACACATTTGGGTCTATTGTGCTTTCACATTGAAATCCCGTCTAAATACGAGGATACCTTCTCCTAAAATAGAAATCAACATATTTCAAATGTCAAATAACATAATATTGTTACCTGCTAATTAAATGTCATGACCCTACTAGAAAAAGTGAAAAAGGAGGCATGAGATGTGATGGAAGAAGACGATGCAAATTTTTTTTTTTTTTTTTTTTTTTTGGAAATTTAAAGTGTACATATCATATTTTCTTTTTTAAAAAAAAAAAAAAAAAAAAAAAAAAAAAAAAGAAAAAGTCAGCAATTGGGAAAAAGCAAGGGGACCCGTACTACTACTACTACTAATATCATAATAATCGCCAAGTCCGCAACTCTCTCGCGTTTTCTCGCGTTTGATTGAGATATCAAAATGTGGGAGCCACTTTCACGCGGTCTACGAGATGGTGGAGCCCACCACAATATCTGACTTTCGTTTTTGCCTTCTCCTCTTATCCGCAGCCTACACGCGTGTCTTCAGTCGCAGCTTGTAGGCTCTTCTTCTTTTTGAAGTTTCAATTTTTAGAGAAACTTTCATATTTAGAGGGGCGATAATATACTAAATTTATACACTTAGACCTAATATTTATGTCGTGTTTATAGTGTTTGTGTCGTGTTCATGTCAACTCGATTTTTTTTAATAGATTGACACCACATGACCATTTAAGAAAATGGGTAGAAAATATTAAACACGAACACTACCCATTACAATTCGCAAATCATAAGACACGGGTTGACACAAACCATTTCACCTGTTAAAAAATTAAAAAATTAAAAAATTAAAAAATTAAAAAATTAAAAAATTAAAGCTGAAATAAATAAAATGAAACCAAGCACAGAACCAACCACTGCGCAACCCCCTCTCCTATTTCTCTCCTCCTCCCCCAATCCTAATTACTCAATCAATCAAGAAGAAGAAGATATGGCAACTGAATCAATGAAAAATGCCCAACCCACACCATTAATCCTGACCACCCTCCAACCATCACCAACCCCACCCCCAAACTTAGTAGCTCCGCCCCCATCCCAACCTTGTTCACCAACCACACCCTCTCTCTCTCTCTCTCTCTCTCTCTCTCTCTCTCTCTCTCTCTCTCTCTCTCTCTCTCCCCAAAACCTATCATAAGTATAACTAATGTTCATCGTAATTTCAAAGTTCCATATTCGAATCCCAAGCTGCAAATTTATTTTAAAAATTCAATTAAAAATATAAAAAGAAGAATAGTATGACGGGGATTTTCAAATTTGAGTTGGTGACGGGGTGGTGATGTGATTGGGTTTGGCGACGAGTGTGTTGCTATCCCAAGCTTGAATACTAAATTTTTTTTGCGAATTAATATCGTGTTAACAGGTCGTGCATCATATTGTCACGTCTACACACACTTTGCACGGATACTATGACTCGAACCCTAAATTTTACTTAAAAAAGCAATTGCTCTGAATTACTACATTAGTGGGTCTTTTACTTTCAAATTTCAACTTAAAAACAAAAAAAACAGTAAAATATGATAAAATGGTAGGAGATTAGTCTCGAATTTGATTGGATGCCGTTTCGGCCAATATTCCTATCCTTTCTAACTGGCGAGTAGGTTTGACCAAAAAAAAAACAGGCGAGTAGAATGAGGACAGTTTAATTTTATTGTCTAAGCATTGGACCAAATCACGGGATTGGCGGGAAAAGATTATAGCTCAAGCATTGTGCAGTTCTCGACCAATATTTTATTTTTAATTTTTAATTAATTAAGGTGTTAAAAATCTATTTGTATCAGGGAAATTATTACCTATAATAATTTTTGTAATGATTTTGGACGGTGAAAATGAAAATGACACAAATCGTAGGTTCATTTCCACTTGCGTCTTATTTCGACTGCTTCCAAGCTATCATTAAAAGACTTATTCTACTCTCACCTAACTACAATTATTATTAATTTAATCACTTCGATAATCGATTGAACAAAAATATAATGTCAATCACGGTGCTGTAAATTGACCCAATCCTTTCAGCATAAAATTCTTGCACCATCGAGAAGAAAAATAATAATAAATAAATAAATAAATGTGTGTATATATATATATTGTCTCAAAATTAAAATTAAAATTATTAAAATAAAGGAATTTACTCCCCAATTTATTTATTCTTTGTCTTGCTTTTACCTAAGATTAGTTGCTGTGTCAGAGTCCAGTTCACCTATAATATTCATTCGGTTTTAATTCTGGATGACACAATTGTAGCTGGTGTATAATGCAAGCAAGACTGCTTCTAAAATAATTCTGATGTTTCCAAGTCCAGAAGAATCAAAGGGCATGAAAGCCTCCAACATGTGCCAATTGAGACATAAATATATTCAAAAGTAGACCAAATCAACAAATAATTATTTGGTTCATGTGCACAGTGTATATCTAGTTAGAGGAGGTTGTTATGTATTTAAATCGTATGAATAAAGATTTATTATAACGCTGATTCGAAATATAAAAATAGAGAACAGGCAATTATAATAATGGAGATTTCGGTAGTCCTAAATGTTAGTCGCACACAAATTCGAATTTCCACTCCGTCAATAAAAACAATACTTCTAGAATAACAATTCCCTAATTTTACAATTTCCACTAATTATTTGGTCAAGGTGACATGAGCCAACATGCAAATTCTTTTCAGTGACGCACAATTTAAAAGTGGCAACTCATTGAGCATGTTGTCATGGTGACGCGGTCCCCTTATTAGTATATATTTGGTAAACACATTAATCTCCCCATACATACAAACCATATTAGAATGGTCAAATTAAGTTCCATTTGAATGTGAACATGAAACATGTCGGTTCTGCGTTCCTACCATGTCATAATTTGTTAAGATACACCATCAAAATGTTCCTTGCAATCTAATTGTTGTATGGTGATTTTATCACTATTTTTATTTTAAAAAAGAAATAACTTTATATTAAATTCAAGCACACGCTAATTACAATTTATTTTTAGAATTATTATAACCTCGCGATTAAAAGATATATGGTCTCTCTTTTTGTTAGTTCAATATATATGGTTCAAATCTAACAAACCATAGTCATGTTCTCTTATTATATTGTTTGAGATTATACTACTAGACTGTCAATATCAAATATTTCGTCGTTCTTTTGAAAAATTCTATATTTCTCATGTTTACTATGAAACAAACTTAGTTTAATTCGTATCCTCCGCGAGTGTGGATTCTTTCTTCGGCCATGAAGTAGTATTATAAGAGCAAGAGCGCGCTTCAAATCGTAAGGGTAAAGATCATAAAGCTAGAAAAGAAAATCAGAAAAAAGAAAAGAAAAGGTACACCATGAACATTTAAAAAAGGCTTACCAAGCTATACCTTTGCCATTAAGGCACAAACAAAAGCTACATCAATAATTAAATGCTTGCAACAATAAACATAAAAAAATATAACAACCAACCTCTCAAAAGCAACTATTATTTGCAAAGCAAAGCTCGCATTTGTTTTGCTTTGTTGCACTCTCTGAGAGAGAGAGGAGAGGCAGTCACGTCTTGCACGTTCATCTCAAGACGCCACGTGGAAGGCTGGGAGACGTGGATCCCACGCTGACGTGGTCGAGGAGTGTATAAAATATACTGTTGTTTTTTTAATTTGTTTGAATATTTTAGAGAGAGAGAGACAGAGAGAGGGTGAAGGATATAGAAAGGAGCGACGAACAAGGCGCGGAGAGGCCGTCCGAAAACAAGCACAGCACAGACAGAAAAAGAGGAGAGAGAGATATTCATTTTTTCTTGCCTTCGTTTCTCAACCAAAGTCCGCGATTCCGCGTTTTTCGTCTCTCAAACCCAAAAACCAAAAAAAACGAAAAAACAAAAAAATCCCGAAAAAGAATTGAACGAAATCCGGAAAAAAAAATCCATTGCAGAACAGAAAGAAACGCGCAAGAAACCAAGAAGAGCAGCGAACACAGGATCATCAAGCTCAGAACCGAAATAACACGAAATCAAATTCGAGTTTCCGGATCTTGCTGCTCCGATTCCCGACCCGACTTCGATCGCTCCATTTGAATACATTTATTATTAGCTTCCTAATTATTTCATTTTCCGGGAAAATCTTTTCCTGGAATTTGGGGTTGGATTATTTGGTGTTTTTGTGGAGGGAGGAATTATAGAGGGACGGGGAGGTTTTTGGCTGGATCAGATCCTTCTAGAGGAGCTTGGATCTGGTGCGGCGGATGAGAGAGGAGGTGCATGTTTCAGGGATCGAAAGGGAAAACAATGAAATGGGGAACATTGCTTAAGGACTTAAGAGAGAAGGTCGGTCTCACTCAATCGCCGTCGTCTTCTTTTTCTGCTTCTGCCACTGCTTCTTCTTCTTCTTCGTCGTCGGCGGCGGCTCTCTCTTCCAATAACAATGCTAATTCAGCTCTTCACGGCTCGTATTCTCCTTCAAGGTCTACTCATTTTCCCGTTTTTCAATTATTAATTATTTGAATTGCGGGTTTTGTTGGTTAATAATAATAAACTGGTTGGTTTTCAGTACGGCATTGGCTTTTATTTATTTACTTATTTGTTGTTAATGTGGGGGTTTAATGGGTTTTAGGTGTTAGATTGAGTGATTTTTAATTTTATATTCTTTATTTTGAAGTTCAGAATCAACTATGATTATACTAAAATGATATTGTGCACTGTAAGGAAGCTTTTAATTTATATATATTTTTGAGTAAGTGAGCGGCGATGAGGATTTGCTGAATTAAGGATTGCAGCTTGGTGTTTGATCAATTGCTAGACTGTTAGATTTGCCTCCTCTACCCTCACCCTTTGGCTGGTCTGCCGCTGCTGTCCATACAAATTTTTTTTTTTTTTTTTTTTTTTTTTTTTTTTAACTTAATTAATGTGCAGGAGTGGTTTAGAGTATAGCCTCTGGTTGCATTGCCTTGGCTATTGTTATATTGATGTCATTTTCATCACATTCATGGCACTATGTTGGGAAGTCCTAAGTCATTATAGGTTTTCCTCGTCTTGATATATGATCAGCCAATGTACCCGTCCTTGGACGTGTAGAACATAGCAGATAGCTTGTGTGCTAACAACTGGGGATTTGGTGGGTAGAGAAGCGAGTCTACACACACACATAGAGAACATATATATACACATAAGCTCATACATAGTTCCTACAAAACAATAGGGGTGAAGTCCTATAAAAAACAGTATGGATGAAGGATGCCACTGTCAATTTCTGCTTTCCACAACGTGGTTAGATTGGAATAAGAAGTAACAAAAAGTTACTGCCAGCTTCTTGGACCAAAGAAAAGAAGTTAATGATATCTTTTTTAGCATATATATAACAGGGATTTTTAAGGGTCAGCACTAACTTTTTCTGACTTGCATGCTTTTATAAATCTTAGAACAAGGATGCCATGGTATCAGTTGTTTGTAGATTATATTTCAATTTGATACTGGAACATTAAATGATAATTAACATCCATGCCTGTGAAAGCAGAGACAAACATGAATTGGAATTGGACTTCAAGAGATTTTGGGAAGAGTTCCGGTCATCCAGCTCTGAAAAGGTTTGCTCTTCATTATTTACTCCTTGTGTTATCTTCTGTTTTACTGTGATGCACAACCAATAGTGAGAGAATGAGGGGAGAGAGAGAGAGTGTGTGTGAAATAGAAGAGGGAGGAAAGGAGAGAGAAGAGAAAGAGCAAGAGGGAGTCTGGGGTTTGAAATTATATATGATAGTTAAGTCTGTCCTCAAATAGTTACATCATGATCTAGTTATAGGGCTGCTCCAAAAATAAAATGTATAATGAACTCCCTAATCAGCTTAATCACAATTCAAATACCTAACTAGTATCTAACTTAGGACAAAAATATCAGAAAAGTAATTTTTTTTTCTTTCGTAGAATCTACACTATACTGTTTGTTGCTTTTATACTTGGATACAATTATTTTTTTCTAACTGAAAGTTATGGGCTCTAATGTTTTTTCTTAATTGTACATGCAGGAGAAAGAAGCGGCCTTGAATTTAACTGTAGATGTTTTTTGTAGATTAGTAAAGCAGCATGCAAATGTAACTCAATTAGTTACCATGTATGTATTCTCTTCTCCTTTTCTTATCTGCTGCATTGATTAGTAGATAATTTCTCGGAAAAAATAACAAAAAAGATGTAATTTTATGATTCATATAGTTGCGATAACATCACCTCTGCTGTGGGTCAATTTTCCTCTGTAATAGTGATGCAAATTATGTACAAAATAGCTCCTTTAATAAGAATCAATTCTTGTTGATTACTTGTTAATCTCATTTATTGTTTATGTGTGTACTGAATTTGCTTCCTGATGCCACTGCAAATAAAAAAGATCAGTTCCAGCATTTACCAGCAACTTTGTGTTGTTGAAGTTGGGATGGAAAAGTATTGGCTGTTTACTCCCCTTTATTTTCCTTGTATCACCGGTGCCATTTTACATTTGTTTTTCTCAATTCATTTCTTGGATTCCCTTTACCAAAATCTCTTTATGTCTAGTTGGAAACCTCTATTTTATTTTAATTTTAATTTCATGGAGATGCATGGTTTTGTTTGAATTTTTTAAGTAGTTTCTAACCTTAGATAATGAATTCCTGTTTTAGTAAAAATGAAATTCTGCCACTTATATAACTGTAAGTTGCAATTTATCTTATTTTGAGTTTATTGAGCTTGTATCCTGGAAAAAAGAAACACAATTTTTGTTATAGACTAACGTTACAAGTTTTGATGACTCACAGGTTAGTTGAAACACATATATTCTCATTTGTCCTTGGAAGAGCATTTGTAACAGATATTGAGAAGCTAAAAATTAGCAGCAGAACAAGATATTTGGATGTAGAAAAAGTACTGAAGTTTTTTTCAGAAGTCACAAAGGTTGGTTTTTAGATGTTTTAGTGTGTGCTGGCATTGTTTTTCCGATCTGTTTCGTGAAGTCATATTCTTACTTCTGTGCAGGATGACATCAGTCCTGGTTCAAATTTGTTAACTGCTTTACAAGTCCTTGCTTCTGGGGTAAATTTTCTTAATTTTCACTAGATTGAGATATAAATCTTCGGTTGTGACGGTCTTAAATGATTTTTTTGTCTTTTCATGAACCCTGTCCTCAGGATGTCATTGTATTCTTGGAGATTTTGAATACTTGTTAAATCGTTATTGTAAATTTGTCATAAAAATTTGTATGTGTTGGCTATTTAAAGGTTTGGGATCTGTTCATGCTTGTTTCCTTTTATTCACCACTGTACTCTATCTTTGGTGCTTTCAGCCTATTGATAAGCAATCTCTCCTGGATTCGGGGATATTGTGCTGTCTCATTCATATTCTCAATGCCCTTCTGAATCCTGATGAAGCCAATCAAAATCAAAGGGCTACTGATCGTGAAGAACCAAATTTAGCTGAGAAAAAATATGATGGTGATGCCAGTCAAGTCCGTCGGCTTGAGGTAGCTTTTACTTAATGGTACACTAAACCATGCATGTTTATGGGTATAAGTATATGCATGGATGTATGCGAATGCGAAGTTCAATTTTGAAAACACAATATAATAGGCTTGATTGCTGTTGTGCTGCGTTTGGTAGAAGTAGAACCTTGTAGCAATTTCAAGCATCCTGTTTTCTTGAACCTGCCCTGGTTTGTTGATGTTACTGAAAATTTTATTTTCCCTGTTTGAGGTGTATATTACACATATTTGAACTACAACCAGTATTTTCCCCCAAAAAAAAAAAAAAAAAAAAAAAAAAAAAAAAAACAACAATAGTAGTTTTGCTTTACAATAAGCATAAATGCATCATTAGATTAGAAGAAGAAAAAGAAAGGAGATTTTCATTCATCCTGATTAGAGGGTGTTATTTAGCTGTTGTGTTATTATCTTTGGTATATGAAATAATAGTAGTGGCTTAATTTTCATCATCCTAACTAGATGTGAGACATCTGATTTGGTTTGGGCGTCCGACATTGTGTTCTAACAACTGAACTAAACCTCACCTGTGAGTTTCGAGAAATTGTTGTCTTGTTACTTAATGTTGGACCTTTGGCTTGTGTAATGTCCCGATGCATCAAATAGTGCTTCGGAGTTCTGGGCAACTGTTTTGTCCTAGGCATCCCAAAGCAAGAAATTGTGATTATTAAGGAGCAAACTTTGGACATGTTCTGTCTTAATATGGTATTCTCTTGAGGTTTACCCCTATTTATATTGAGACCATAATTTATTACTCTTGCTAGCATCTGCTTCATTTGTGAGAAATTAAATAGTCAAGAACTTGTTATCAATCTGGTGTATAGTACAGCTTTTTCTGAAAGGGCTAAAGTTGTGACTTTCTTGGTCTTGTTCTTGAAGCAATGTTTCCTTGGTAGATCTTACAAAAAATATATGTCCACGTTCTAGTCTTACTTTCTTTATTGTTTTGTCAAATCTGATCTTTGGACATCTTTGGTCTGCTTAATATCGTACCCTTTTCCCTTGAATTCTGAACTTTCAGTTCTCCTACTGAACTTACAGTAGTCTTGCTTGCTTGTTATTGTGTTGTTCATTATAAGTTACCTTATTAGCCCAAACCTTTTATTACGTTATCAGAACAAATGTTGGACTTTTTAATTGCGTTGCACCGTATATATATTTATGTTGTTTTAGTTTTGAAGTTTTTCATGTAAGTTTGACTTGGGGTTTCAACCCTGTTGTATTTGTTTTGCTATCGATCCATGTTACATTTTGAACATCCATTTTTTGTTTCTAACCTATAATTATGCAGGTAGAGGGGAGTGTTGTGCATATTATGAAAGCACTGGCAAACCATCCTTTGGCAGCACAAAGTTTGATTGAGGACGATTCACTTCAGTTGCTCTTTCAGATGGTTGCGAATGGCTCTTTGACAGTCTTCTCTCGATATAAGGAGGGCCTGGTTCTGGTGCACATCATACAGCTTCATAGACATGCTATGCAGGTAAGTGCATTGCATATATTTCCTGTTCTATTTGTAGAGACATGGTTGCATAACAACATTTTCTACTAACAGAATATTTAATTAGCTTTGGAACCTGGTATTTGGATTTTAATGTTGTTAACTTCTGGTTATTGTTCTAGATTCTTGGTCTTCTTTTGGTCAATGACAATGGGAGCACAGCAAAATATATTCGCAAACATCATCTGGTATGGTAATTCTTAATTTACATGTATTGTCTTGGTACATGGTTACATATGCTGAACATGCCTTGTCAACTGACCATGCATGCGTCCCACATACCACTAATGTTGAATGAACATATAGTTTAATATATTTATCGGTGACATAAGCTATTGGAGGACAACTAGGGAGGTCATCCTGACTTTTGTTTATTAATAATCACAGCTTGATCCATAGTTTCTTGTTATCCTTTTAAAATTATTCTGACCTTATGATTCTCTGTTCCCCCTGTGCAGATAAAAGTTCTTTTAATGGCCGTTAAAGATTTCAATCCTGATTGTGGTGATTCTACATACACTATGGGCATTGTGGATTTGTTGCTTGAATGTGTGGAATTGTCATATAGGCCTGGTAATTGGCTTATTAGTATTCCTTCTTTGGTTGAATTAGATTAATTAGATTAGCAGGGGGAATTGTTATTAGTCCTGGGAGTTGAACTAAATATTTCTTCCTTATTCTGTATTTCTTTTATTATAATTTCCTGTAGCTTAAATATTGTGTTGGTTCTGATTTGATACAATTTTGGCCTGTAGAGGCTGGTGGTGTCAGGCTTAGGGAGGATATACATAATGCCCATGGTTATCAGTTCCTCGTTCAGTTTGCTTTAAAACTTTCCTCGATTGCTAAGAGTCAGGGGTTCCATTCTGTTCAATTTAGATCTTCAGACCAAAATTCTGCTTCAGCTGGTTCCCATGCACTGGATGCTGTAGACATGCAGGATGCCATGGGAGAAAAGGACCCCTTAACGCAACAACTTTCTCCCACTCTGTCTCGATTGCTTGATGTTCTTGTTAATCTAGCGCAAACTGGCCCAACTGAATCTCCAGGATATTCTGGCAAAGGTTCGAAATCTTCTCATACCAGGTCTAGTGGCCATAGCAGAAGTCGTACACCATCTTCAGACAGATTGGCTGATGAAGTTTGGGAAAAGGACAATCATAAAGTTAAAGACCTTGAAGCAGTTCAGATGTTGCAGGACATTTTCCTCAAAGCAGATAACAGGGAGTTGCAAGCAGAAGTTCTAAACAGAATGTTCAAAATATTTTCAAGTCATCTTGAAAACTACAAGTTGTGCCAGCAGTTACGGACTGTTCCACTTTTCATCCTAAATATGGCCGGTTTTCCTCCATCTTTGCAAGACATACTTTTAAAAATTCTCGAGTATGCTGTGACTGTTGTGAATTGCGTTCCGGAGCAAGAATTACTTTCACTTTGTTGCTTGTTGCAGCAACCAATATCATCAGAATTAAAGCACACCATACTTTCTTTCTTTGTTAAACTTTTATCCTTTGACCAGCAGTACAAAAAGGTCCTCCGAGAAGTTGGTGTCCTGGAAGTTTTGTTGGATGAGCTGAAGCAGCACAAGTTACTTTTGGGTTCAGACCATCAAAGTGGAAATTCTAATCAGTTGGAGAGAAAGTCCAGCTCAAGCAGCTTTAAAAAGCACTTGGACAATAAGGATGTCATTATTTCATCACCCAGACTTGTGGAATCTGGTTCAGGGAAGCTTCCTATATTTGAAGTTGATGGTACAGTTGCTATTGCGTGGGATTGTATGGTCTCATTATTAAAGAAAGCGGAAACTAATCAGTCGTCTTTCCGTTTGGCTAATGGTGTAACTGTGGTTCTCCCTTTTCTTGTGTCTGATATACACCGTTCAGGGGTGCTTAGGGTGCTGTCATGTTTGATCATTGAAGATAGTACCCAGGTTTGTGAACTTAGTTAATCTTGGGTAACTCTGGTACAATTTTGGATTTCTGTGATTTTGCATTCAATTCTTGTTCCTTCATATCCCTGATTAACTTTTTATTCACATTTTTCCCTAATTGTTTGTGCTCATTATTGTCCAAATAACTATGTTTCTCATTTTCCACCAGGCACATCCTGAAGAATTAGGTGTGATTGTTGAAATTCTAAAAAGTGAAATGGTGACCAGTGTTTCGGGATCTCAATACAGGCTTCAAAGTGATGCAAAATGTGACACTATGGGGGCCTTGTGGCGTATTCTGGGAGTTAATAACTCAGCTCAGAGAGTGTTTGGTGAAGCCACTGGGTTTTCTCTTCTGCTTACCACACTCCATAGTTTCCAAAGTGATGGAGAGCATTCAGATCGATCTTCTTTAGTGGTCTACATTAAGGTGTTTACTTATTTGTTGCGTGTTGTGACTGCTGGAGTGTGTGATAATGCTGTTAATAGGACAAAGTTGCACACAATTATATCATCCCAAACTTTCTATGATCTTCTATTGGAGTCTGGCTTACTTAGTGTGGACTGTGAAAAGCAAGTCATACAATTATTGTTTGAACTAGCTCTTGAAATCGTGCTTCCACCATTCTTGACATCAGAAAGTATTACATCCTCTGATGTTCTTGATAATGAGTCATCAAGTTTTTCAATAATGACTACATCAGGTTCATTTCACCCTGACAAGGAACGAGTGTTCAATGCTGGTGCTGTTAGAGTTCTTATTCGTTCATTACTGCTCTTTACTCCAAAGATGCAGCTTGAAGTGCTGAGCCTTATTGGAAGGCTTGCTCGTTCTGGCCCCTTCAATCAGGAAAACCTCACCTCTGTAGGTGCGAATCGAATAATTCAATGCTTAGTTTTCTAAATTAATGTCTAGTGTTCTCACTTTCTACTTTCTAAATTTTTTAGGTTGCATAGAACTGCTGTTGGAAACCATTCAACCCTTTCTTTTGAGCTCATCCCCAATACTTAAATATGCTCTGGAGATTGTGGAAGTTCTTGGGGCATACAGGTAGGAATTGTGTCATGTATTGGAATTGTTTACTTTCTCTTTCCAATTCTCATTGTGGGAATTGAGTTTTAGCAATTAAGGGTGGTGGGATTTTGTTAATTTTGTATAAAAAGGTTTGTTATATATGTGGTGGCAGGTTATCTGCGTCAGAACTTCGAATGCTTATTCGTTATGTGTTGCAAATGAGGCTGATGAAGTCAGGTTGTATACTTGTTGACATGATGGAAAGGTTAATTCTCATGGAGGATTCAGAAAATATTTCTCTGGCACCATTTGTAGCAATGGACATGAGCAAGATGGGTCACGCTTCAATTCAGGTCTCTCTGGGAGAAAGATCATGGCCTCCAGCTGCTGGTTACTCATTTGTCTGCTGGTTTCAGTTTCGAAATCTCTTGAAGTTGCCGGTTAAAGAACCAGAGTCCAAAGCTGGTCCTTCTAAGAGGCGGAGCAGTTCTGCTGGGCAACATCACGAGCGGCATGTTCTACGGATATTTTCTGTTGGTGCAGCAAATGATGAAAATACATTCTATGCAGAACTTTATCTTCATGAGGATGGTGTTCTAACCCTTGCAACCAGCAACTCTTGTTCCTTATCATTTTCAGGATTAGAACTTGAGGAAGGCAGGTGGCATCACCTTGCAGTTGTACATAGCAAACCAAATGCTCTTGCTGGACTGTTCCAAGCCAGTGTTGCTTATGTGTATCTTGATGGAAAGCTGAGACACACTGGGAAACTAGGATATTCTCCATCTCCGGTTGGAAAACCTTTGCAGGTAACAGTGGGGACCCCGGTTACTTGTGCAAGAGTTAGTGACTTGACCTGGAAGGTCCGTTACCTTTTTGAGGAGGTGCTCACCTCAGGTTGTATTTGTTTCATGTACATTCTTGGTCGAGGGTATCGAGGGCTCTTCCAAGACACAGATCTTCTTCGCTTTGTCCCGAACACGGCATGCGGCGGCGGTAGCATGGCTATCTTAGATACATTAGATGCAGACTTGACCTTGGCTTCTCATACACAGAAAATTGACGTAGCTAGTAAGCAAGGAGATTCCAAGGCAGATGGCAGTGGAATTGTTTGGGATTTGGAGAGACTAGGTAATCTCTCTTTACAGCTCTCTGGAAAGAAGCTTATATTTGCATTTGATGGAACCTGTGCAGAAGCTATTCGAGCATCAGGGGATTTATACATGCTCAATTTAGTTGATCCAATGTCAGCCGCTGCTTCTCCTATTGGGGGTATGTTTAAGACAGCCTTGCATATTGCATCTAAATTTGTACATCAATCTGATTGTATCTATGAAAAGACAGAACTCGGATTTTAGAATTCTTTTGTCTATTTTGTTTTTTCTTATTTTTAGTTTTCTGCAGGTATACCCCGTTTTGGGCGTCTTCATGGGGATATTTACCTATGTAGGCAATGTGTAATTGGTGATACTATTTGCCCAGTTGGTGGGATGACAGTTATCCTGGCCTTAGTTGAGGCTGCTGAGACTAGGGACATGCTGCACATGGCCCTTACTTTACTGGCTTGTGCTCTTCATCAGAATCCTCAGAATGTGAGAGACATGCAGAAATGCCGGGGATACCATTTATTGGCTCTGTTTTTGCGTCGGCGAATGTCACTATTTGACATGCAATCTCTTGAGATATTTTTCCAGATTGCTGCCTGTGAAGCATCTTTTTCGGAACCAAGGAAGTTGAAATATAATCGTACTAATTTGTTGCCAGCTACAACTATGCAGGAAACCAGTTTTGAGGAACTTCATTTGTCCAGGTTCCGTGAAGAATTTTCTTCAGCTGGATCTCAAGGAGACATGGATGATTTTTCTGCACAAAAAGATTCATTCAGTCATATTTCGGAGCTTGAAAGTGCTGATATGCCGGCTGAAACCTCAAATTGCATCGTCTTGTCAAATGAAGACATGGTTGAACATGTCCTGTTGGATTGGACATTGTGGGTGACGGCTCCGGTTTCAATTCAAATTGCACTCCTTGGTTTTCTAGAGCATCTAGTGTCCATGCACTGGTACAGAAATCATAACCTTACTGTTCTGCGCCGAATAAACCTTGTTCAACATTTACTAGTTACTCTACAGCGGGGTGATGTTGAAGTTCCTGTTTTGGAGAAATTAGTTGTATTGCTTGGTGTCATTTTAGAAGATGGGTTTCTGTCATCTGAACTAGAACATGTGGTTAGGTTTGTGATTATGACATTTGATCCACCTGAACTGACACCCCGACATCCAATAACGCGCGAGGCCATGGGAAAGCATGTAATTGTGAGAAACATGCTGCTTGAGATGCTTATTGATCTGCAAGTAACTATTAAATCAGAAGATTTGCTTGAGCAGTGGCATAAGATTGTTTCGTCTAAATTGATTACGTATTTTCTAGACGAATCTGTTCACCCAACAAGTATGAGATGGATCATGACTCTTCTTGGTGTCTGTCTTACTTCATCGCCGACATTTGCATTAAAATTTCGCACCAGTGGAGGTTACCAAGGCTTGGCCCGGGTGCTTCCAAGTTTCTATGATTCCCCAGACATATATTATATTTTGTTCTGTCTGATATTTGGCAGGTCTGTCTATCCTAGATTGCCGGAAGTTCGCATGCTAGACTTTCATGCCCTTATGCCAAATGATGGAAGTTATGTGGAACTGAAATTTGTAGAATTGTTGGAATCTGTTATTACTATGGCAAAATCTACGTTTGACAGGTTGAGCATTCAGTCAATGCTTGCTCACCAATCTGGTAATCTTTCCCAGGTTGGTGCTGGCCTTGTGGCAGAACTTGTGAATGGAAATGCAGACATGGCTGGCGAGCTTCAAGGTGAAGCATTGATGCATAAAACATATGCCGCCCGCTTAATGGGTGGGGAGGCATCAGCCCCTTTTGCTGCTACTTCAGTCTTGAGATTTATGGTTGATTTGGCAAAAATGTGCCCCCCTTTCACTTCTGTTTGCAAACGAGCAGAATTTCTTGAAACCTGCATTGACCTATATTTTTCTTGTGTCAGGTTTGTAATGGAACTGAGAATATTCTCTGATATGTTGATATGTTTTGACTTATTTTCCTGAATTTTACATTTTTTTTTTTCAAACCTTTTCTTTTACTCAACTCATTATCCGGTGTCTTGCAGAGCTGCCCATGCTGTAAAGATGGCAAAGGAACTCTCTGTAAAGACAGAAGAGAAGAACTTGAATGATTGTGATGATACCTGTAGTTCACAGAACACATTTTCTAGCCTACCACATGAACAGGATCAGTCTGCCAAAACCTCCGTTAGTGTTGGAAGCTTCCCTCCTGGTCAGGTAAGTACAAGTTCTGAAGACACGGCTGTTCCCCTAAATTCTGGGGCTGATGATAGAGCAGATACCAAGGTTACTACAGCCCAGGAGGAATTACACAAGTCAGTGCAAGGCGATGCACAAGCTGTTCAGAGCTTAGATGGTGACAATGCTGACCAGGTGTCTGCCACCTCCAGCACGAATGAATTTAGCTTCCGTAACATGAAAATCACCCTGGAGCCCATTAAACCAACAGAGTCTCAGAGTTCTGCATCTTTTACCATGCTTGATTCTCCCAATTTATCGGAGAAGTCTAATTATAGACTCCCACTCACACCCTCGCCTTCTCCTGTTCTAGCATTGACATCTTGGCTGGGGAGTGCAAGCCCTAATGACTTCAAATCTCCCATAGTTGCCTCTCCTTCCATTGATTCTGCTGCGACTACTACTGAATTTGATCCATCTTCAGAAATGAAGTCTCCTTCTCAAGGGCCTTCTACTGCAAGTACCTTTTTCCCAGCTAGTCCAAAACTGCTTCTTGAAATGGATGATGCTGGCTATGGAGGTGGTCCTTGTTCTGCTGGAGCTACTGCTGTTTTAGATTTTATTGCAGAAGTTCTTTCCGAGTTTGTGACCGAGCAAATGAAAGTATCACAGATTATAGAGGGCATATTGGAAAGTGTTCCACTATATGTTGATGCAGATTCCATGTTAGTATTTCAGGGCTTGTGCCTTAGCAGACTGATGAACTTTCTAGAGAGACGTCTCTTGCGTGATGATGAAGAAAATGAGAAAAAGCTGGATAAAAGTCGTTGGTCCTCAAATTTGGATTCATTATGCTGGATGATAGTAGATCGTGCCTATATGGGCGCTTTTCCTCAACCCTCTGGTGTACTAAAGACGCTGGAGTTCTTATTATCTATGCTACAATTAGCAAATAAAGATGGGCGGATTGAAGAAGCTACTCCCAGTGGAAAGAGTCTCTTATCTATTGGAAGAGGGAGCAGGCAACTTGATGCTTATGTACATTCAATTCTTAAAAATACAAATCGTATGATACTGTATTGTTTTCTGCCATCATTTTTGTCTACAATAGGAGAAGATGATCTCCTTTTGTGCTTAGGTTTGCTCATCGAACCGAAGAAGAGACTGTCCTCTAACTCTTCATATGATAATTCAGGAATTGATATCTACACAGTGTTACAGTTATTAGTTGCTCACAGGCGAATTCTATTCTGTCCCATCAATATGGATACCGACATAAACTGTTGTCTTTGTGTGAATTTAATATCTCTGCTCCGAGACCAAAGGCAGAATGTACAGAACGTGGCAGTTGATATTGTCAAGTATCTCCTGGTGCATCGCCGGGTAGCTCTAGAAGATTTACTGGTCTCTAAACCAAACCAAGGGCACCAACTGGATGTGCTACATGGGGGATTTGACAAGTTATTGACTGAAAATTTATCTGCTTTCTTTGAGTGGCTTCAGAGTTCTGAACTGATGGTGAATAAAGTACTTGAGCAGTGTGCTGCCATTATGTGGGTACAGTATATTACTGGATCATCAAAATTTCCCGGAGTGAGAATTAAAGCTATGGAAGGTCGTCGCAAGAGAGAAATGGGGAGAAAATCAAAGGATACATCAAAGTCAGATCTAAAGCACTGGGAGCAGGTGAATGAACGGAGATATGCACTGGAATTGGTGCGCGATGCAATGTCCACCGAGCTGAGAGTTGTGCGTCAAGACAAGTATGGGTGGGTTCTGCATGCTGAGAGTGAGTGGCAAACACATCTCCAACAACTTGTTCATGAGCGGGGAATATTCCCAATGCGAAAATCCTCTGTTACTGAAGATCCTGATTGGCAACTTTGCCCAATTGAAGGTCCATACAGGATGCGCAAAAAATTTGAGCGCTGCAAATTGAAAATTGATACTATCCAAAACGTTCTTGATGGACAATTTGAAGTAGGGGCAGCAGAGCTGTCAAAAGAAAAAAATGAGAACGATTTGGATGCTTCGGATAATGATTCTGAATCATTCTTTCAACTTTTGACTGATAGTGCCAAACAGAATGGCCTTGATGGTGAGCTGTATGATGGATCATTTTTTAAAGAACCAGATAATGTCAAAGGTGTTGCTTCTGTTAGGAATGAATGGAATGATGACAGAGCTAGTAGTATCAATGAAGCAAGTCTGCACTCTGCACTTGAGTTTGGTGTCAGGTCTAGTGCAGCGTCCGTGCCTCTTGATGATAGTGTACAAGAAAGATCTGACCTAGGGTCCCCAAGGCAATCTTCTTCTGCAAGAATTGATGATGTCAAAGTTACAGATGATAAATCAGACAAGGAACTTCATGATAATGGTGAATACCTGATCAGACCTTATCTGGAACCTTTTGAAAAGATACGATTTCGATATAACTGTGAACGAGTTGTGGGTCTTGACAAGCATGATGGTATATTTTTAATAGGCGAGCTTTCTCTGTATGTTATTGAAAATTTTTATATTGACGACTCCGGGTGCATTTGTGAAAAGGAATGCGAAGATGAACTCTCTATTATTGATCAGGCTCTGGGTGTAAAGAAAGATGCTACAGGCTGTATGGATTTCCAATCCAAGTCAACTTCGTCTTGGGGAGCAACTGTAAAGTCAGGGGTTGGGGGAAGAGCATGGGCCTATAACGGTGGTGCATGGGGAAAGGAGAAAGTGTGTACTAGTGGTAATCTACCTCATCCTTGGAACATGTGGAAACTCAACAGTGTTCATGAGATTCTGAAGCGTGATTACCAGCTGCGTCCTGTTGCTGTTGAAATTTTTAGCATGGATGGATGTAATGATCTCCTGGTGTTCCACAAAAAAGAAAGGGAAGAAGTTTTCAAAAATCTAGTAGCCATGAATCTTCCCAGGAATAGCATGTAAGAATTTAATGCCCAATTGCCTCTATATTTTCTCATTGTTCTTTTCGCTTTTACATTGTTGCAGCTGTATGTATTTGCATGATTTGTTTTAGTCTACCAAGAATGTGTGTGTGTGTGTGTGTGTGTGGTAGCCATGAATCTTCCCAGGAATAGCATGTAAGAATTTAATGCCCAATTGCCTCTATATTTTCTCATTGTTCTTTTCGCTTTTACATTGTTGCAGCTGTACGTATTTGCATGATTTGTTTTAGTCTACCAAGAATGTGTGTGTGTGTGTGTGTGTGTGTGTGTGTGTGTGTGTGTTAGTTAGGGACTTGAGATGTTGAATCATTGCCAGTGCGTATCATGGAACATTATATGAACTGAAAATTTACCTATATATTGGTTTGGTTTATTATGGATTGTTGTCTGTCCCCAAAAAAAAGAAGTTATTGATGGTTGTCTTGCCTAATAACTTTCGCCTCATCTTCTCGATTAATTTACCTATATATTGGTTTGGTTTATTATGGATTGTTGTCTGTCCCCAAAAAAAAGAAGTTATTGATGGTTGTCTTGCCTAATAACTTTTGCCTCATCTTCTGGATTTTTCGGCCCGTAATTTTCAACTTCATGATTCTATTCCTTGCATTAGGTTGGACACAACCATTTCTGGATCAGCAAAACAAGAAAGCAATGAGGGTAGCCGTCTATTTAAGACAATGGCTAAATCCTTTTCAAAGAGGTGGCAAAATGGAGAAATAAGCAATTTCCAATACCTTATGCATCTCAACACCCTGGCAGGACGTGGATACAGTGATCTTACCCAATACCCAGTGTTTCCATGGGTTCTTGCAGATTATGAGAGTGAAAATCTGGACTTGTCAGATCCAAAAACATTTCGTAGACTTGAGAAACCGATGGGTTGTCAGACATTAGAGGGTGAAGAAGAATTCAGAAAAAGGTCATCCCTCCATCAATTCCACTGATTTATTCTTAATTCACTTTTTGGTTCTGTGTTTTATTTGATTGAAGTTCTTCCTGTTTCACAAAGACACCTGTTTGTTATCAGTACTGTTTGTTTATCCGTCTTATTTCTCCTTTTTCTACTCAGATACGAGAGCTGGGATGATCCAGAGGTTCCCAAATTTCATTATGGTTCTCATTATTCCAGTGCTGGGATTGTCCTCTTTTATCTTCTACGCCTACCTCCTTTCAGTGTAGAGAATCAAAAGCTACAGGGAGGGCAATTTGACCATGCTGATCGTCTTTTTAACAGTGTTAGAGATACTTGGTTCAGTGCGGCTGGAAAGGGCAACACATCAGATGTGAAGGAGTTGATTCCAGAATTTTTCTACATGCCTGAGTTTTTGGAAAATCGTTTCAATCTTGATTTGGGAGAGAAACAATCAGGAGAAAAGGTCAAACTTTTTAACGCCTTAGAAAAATAATTTGTCAGATGTTCAACAGCCACTAACCAACCAAAAGTTTCTTTTAAGTGGCCAAAGTGCGTTTACCATTTTTGTAGATGTGTACAACCTTTTTGTCAGCAAATAGAATTTTGAAACTGCATCCTTGTAAGTGACTGGAACATTTTAGAGGAAAGTTGGTGTTCTGTGTGCAGCCCCTCTAGCCTAATGCTGACCTGCCAGTGCGGATTTTGAATATAGACCATTTACTTCCTTTTCTTTCTTTTTTTCAATTTTCTTTTATTTTGGATTCTAAACACGTGTCTTTATTTTCTATTTTTAGGTTGGTGATGTTGGCTTACCTCCATGGGCTAAAGGCAGCACTAGAGAGTTCATCAGGAAGCATAGGGAGGCACTGGAATCTGATTATGTTTCAGAACATTTGCATCATTGGATAGACCTCATTTTTGGATATAAACAGAGAGGGAAGGTCAGTAACATTTCTGTGTATACTGATCAATTTATTTTTTCGCATTTTATTTTATTTCCAAGATATTGTAGGGAATGAAAATTTGCACCTAACCTAAACCGTTGTACAGTGAAGTCTTATCATTATGTGTGTTTTTGTTTGCAACCAAACAGATATTACATGGTCAATTAAATAAAAAAATTGTTGGTTGAAAATTATGTGAAATACAATACTACCTGAATGGTTTTATTTATTTATAGATTCTGGATCTCATTTTGTGAGCACTTGTGTTCTTATGTTAATTGTAGTTCTGTTCCATGACTTCGTCTTCTACTTTACTTATTCCTTTTTGATATGCTTTTCATTATAAATTTTCTTGATAATTGACAGGCGGCTGAGGAAGCCGTGAATGTTTTTTATCACTACACATATGAGGGGAGTGTGGACATAGACTCAGTGACAGATCCTGCAATGAAAGCCTCAATTCTAGCACAAATTAATCATTTTGGGCAGACACCCAAACAGTTATTCCCCAAACCCCATGTGAAAAGGCAGGTCGACAGAAGGCTTCCTCATCCGCTCAAGTACTCGTATCTTCTTGTTCCGCATGAGATACGTAAGACTCCATCTTCCATAACTCAGATTGTTACTGTCAATGAGAAAATCCTAGTCGTAGGAACAAATTGTTTGCTTAAACCAAGAACGTATACCAAATACGTAGCATGGGGTTTTCCAGATCGTAGCTTAAGATTTATGAGCTATGATCAAGACCGACTCCTCTCCACACACGAGAATCTTCATGGGGGCAACCAGATTCTGTGTACTGGTGTTAGCCATGATGGTCAGATTCTGGTCACTGGGGGTGATGATGGCTTAGTTTCTGTTTGGAGAATCAGTAATTATGGTCCCCGTGTCTTGAGACGCTTGCAGTTGGAGAAAGCCCTTTGTGCCCACGCATCAAAAATTACATGTCTCCATGTTAGCCAGCCTTACATGCTGATTGTGAGTGGATCGGATGACTGCACCGTCGTTATATGGGATCTCAGCTCCTTGGTTTTTGTTAGGCAGCTCCCTGAGTTCCCAGCACCGATTTCTGCAGTTTATGTGAATGACTTGACAGGGGATATTGTGACAGCAGCTGGAATTTTACTTGCAGTTTGGAGCGTTAATGGAGACTGCCTTGCAATGGTTAACACATCTCAACTGCCTTCTGATTCAATTCTGTCTGTGACAAGTAGTTCATTCTCTGATTGGCTGGATACAAACTGGTTTGTAACGGGTCATCAGAGTGGGGCGGTTAAGGTGTGGCAAATGGTTCACCACACCAACCATGAGAGTTCCCAACAGAAGTCAACAAGCAACGGAATGGGGGGTTTAAACCTCAGTGACAAAGCACCAGAGTACAGGTTGGTCCTCCACAAGGTGCTCAAGTCTCATAAGCATCCTGTTACTTCCCTTCACCTTACAAATGACCTCAAGCAGTTACTAAGTGGGGATTCTGGAGGGCATTTGCTGTCATGGACAGTGCCAGATGAGAGCTTGAGAGCTTCAATGAATCAGGGGTGATGATGCAAAATTTTGACTTAAATGTGATAACTTCAGCCGTTGGGGCTGCTATCAAATCTAGATGAGACCCGAAAAAGGATTTTACAAGTCCACCCTCATCAAGAAAAGGATGGTGGTGGTGCTCATGATACATGGAGAAATGCGACAGCAGGGCTGGCCTGGACTGGACTGGAACAGGACAAAACTATACAGGATTGACAGGAAAGATGAAATTTCTCATAAGCTAATGTTAGGTGTTCAAAACCACACATGCATGCGGCCTATCAGGATCTTTGCTACAGCAGGTTAAGCATCTGGTCGAGAAAGGCAAAGACTCAGGGCCATCGTTTAGGATGAATAGGAGGATGCTCTCCATTTCTGCACAAGGAGCATCCAAGTCTACTACAGGTGTTTGTTTCTTTTTTATGTAAATAGATGAACTAACAGTGTGTGATGAAGTTGTATAGCGGAAAAGTGTGTCAAGAATATGGGACGTTTGGGCGAGCGTCCCAGTGTGAATGTGGCACGGTTAATTGGTTTAGTGTGCCTTGTGGCTTGGCTACCATTCTTTTTGAAATAGTGCATTAGGGGCACTTATTGCCCATTTCTTTTTGTGAAATGTATCATCTCTCTCGGATTTTGAGCCTAAACATTTAAAGATTGTACATTCACTCGCATTTTTTTACATCTCGATCATTTTTCTTTAGTCTTGGGTAAGGAGAAAAACATCTACATCCCACTTCCTAATCGATTATAAGACTTTATGATGTGTTTATTAATCATAAATTGGAATTCTCATCAGGAATTGAATTTCACCTATAGAGGATTCCTACGTTTACTTCATATCAATGAATTGAAAAATAAGTGGGGTCTACACAAAATTAGGAATTGAATTCTTGATTTTGGAGGAATTCAATTATTTGGTAGAAGATTGTATTCTAATTCATGGAGAATTAACTCATTAGGAATTCATCTTTTTTACTCATTATATCCTTACACAATTTTCAAATATGCCATCTACTTTAACTCAACAACGAGGACATTTTAATAATTAATATTATTTATATCCCAATTCTATATGATTTAGTAAACAACTTCAATAGGAATCTGGAATTTAACTCCCCTAAATCCATATGGTTTAATAAATAGGGTGATTTTATTGGCACCTCATTAATTACTCTTTACACCCCATACTAATTTTAAATATAAATAACCTATTTTACCCTTGTACACAATTACCGTTAAGGACAAAAAAAATTAAAATTAAAATTAAAATTGCTCACTACACCCCACATATGTTCCTGCAACCCTAGTTTGACTTTTTTCTCAAACTATCATGTTCCTAAACCCTAAACCCAAGAGTTATAAGTTTATACTGGTGAAAAAATATATTGTATTTATTCATGAAGGGTGAGATTGAAGTTAGAGACGCTTCGAATGAGGTACGAGTTTATTTTTTGGCGTTTTGCAAGTTTAATATTTCATAACAGTCGCTGGTTGTGTTCAGCACATCAGTACCGAACGGGACAGATAATTTCGGTGGGATGCCACCGAAACTTTGCATCTTTTTCGGTTGGATTTCACCGGTGAGAAACTTAATATTCGGTGGGGATCCACCGTAAGATGGAACGTAGTTCAGTGGTGTACTACCGAACTTTTACCCCCGTTTCAGTGGCATCCAACCGAAATTTATTTATTTTTTCAGTAACTTATTGCCAACCACAAATTTAATCCAAGCTATTTTGATCTTACTCCCATTGAAGGAACAAAATCAAGGTGACGCCCCTACTGAAGGCAACAATGTGGGAACAGAATGTGTAATGGACTATAGTGATCAATTCACAACTTATTCGGTAATTATTTATCTGAAATCCTTTTTAGTATCATTAACGTGGCATTAATGTTTCAAATTTTGTATTTAAATAATATGAGTTTTATGTGTAGATATTTAATGGTAGAGATGCATTACTTCGATGGGCTCGTGAACAAGGAAAATTGAATAATATTGTCATTGTAATTAAAAGGTCTGATTATGGAGGTGAGGGCAAGAGGAGACCTCGTGTAATACTTGCTTGTGAGAGGAACGGTAACTATAAGTCTTGCAAGTCTAGTGAGACAACTGATATAAGATCGGATGCAAATAGTGATATGAAAAAATGTGCTAGAGACACTGGTACCAAGAAATGTGGATGCCCATTCTTGTTAAAAGGTGTCAATATTGGTGATGGGGATGATTGGAAGTTGGAGGTGGTTTGTGGAGTACACAACCATCCTATTTCAGAGTATCTTCAAGGTCATTCATTTGTGGGGCGACTTACTGAAGAAGAGAATGCCTTGTTGGTGGACATGTCTAAGAGTTTGGTGAAACCCAGAGATATTTTGGTCACCATTAAAGATAGAGATGCAATGAATGTTTCAACTATGAAGACAATATACAATGCTAGGATCCGAAATAGAACCAAAGAATTTGCTGGGAGAACCCAAATGCAACAATTGCTTACTAAGTTATCCGAACAAAATTATATTGAGTGGCATAGGACATCTGGGGATATTGTAACTGACCTGTTTTGGACACACCCCATTAATATTGATATTTTGCGCGCATTTCCACATGTACTTATCATAGATTGCACCTATAAGACTAATAGGTATCGTTTCCCACTATTGCAAATTGTGGGGGTGACATCTACTAATATGACATTCTCTGTTGCGTATATGTATATGAATCCTGAGAAGGAAGACAATTACACATGGGCATTGACTGCGTTGAGGAGTTTGTTGGATGATAATTGTCTTCCTGGTGTTATTGTCACCGATCGAGAGTTAGCACTCTTAAATTCTATTACGTCTATATTTCCGAAAGCACGACATTTGTTATGTAGATGGCATATTAACAAAGGAGTGTTGGCAAACTGCAAGAAGTTATTTGGGACCCTCAAACAATGGAAGCAATTTAATGATGATTGGAATACTTTGGTTGGTTCAGAAACGGAGGAGGAATATTGGCGTTGTTTGCGACAGATTGAGTCTAAGTTCAATGAATTTCAAAAAGCTCTTGAATACATACATGAAAATTGGTTAAATCCATTTAAGGATAGGTTTGTGGCCGCATGGACAGACACTTGTATGCATCTTGGATCGACGACCTCAAATAGGTAAGTATTTTAGTCAACTTTTGATATGTTAATTTGAAAATTTATTTTGCTTCAGGAAAATTTATTATTGTTATCAACAGAGCGGAAAGTGCACATGCAAAGTTGAAGCGACAGCTCCGCTCAAGCCAACTTAACTTTGAGAGATCATGGGTAACTATACACTCATTGTTAGAGCTGGAGCACACAGAGATTAAGGCATCTTTTGAAAAGAGTCGATGTTTTATTCAACATAGGTTCAGGCATCCTGAGTTGAGAGAGTTAGTAGGTTTTGTTTCTCTCAGTAGGCTCGGCATGTACCTCAACATTACTATCCTGAGCAGTAGCTACATCTTCAACCTCTGCGTCAACATTACTATAATCAGTAGGAACTACATCTTCAACCTCTGTAGTATCCTCAATGTGATCTTGGGGAGCCGTTCTCTGTCTCCTCGCTGAGGCCGTGGGACGTTGTGTATTAGGTCGTGATGATGAAGCTTCAGTAGTACCCTTGCGAATCCTCTTCATATCTAAAAATAAAAAATATTAAGTACACACTCAGTAACGTATTCGGTACATAATCACTGAAAAACGGAAATAAATTCGGTGGACAATCACTAAAAAAAGAATACATATTTGGTGGAGTACTACTGAAAAACCAAAAGAAATTCGGTGGGAGTCCCCTGAAAAATAGAAACAGATTCGGTGTACTACCACCGAAACAAGGTAACAATTTCGGTGGTAACCCACCGAAAGTACATGTTCAATTCGGTGGACTACCACTGAAGCAATGTAATAATTTCGGTGGCAATCCACCGAAACTAGAATCTAATTTCGTAAAACCAGGTTCGAACTACCCAGAACCTTGAAATCAAAATCAAAATCAGTATAAGATTTTGGCTTTTCAAAAGTGAAATCAAATGTAGGCTTAATCAACACTTAGAAACATAAATATATAAATCAAATTTGAAATCAAACCTTGAATAAGGATTTATGAGAACTTGACCTTCAATGGCTTTTGGGTTTGCAGAGATGGAGATGGCTGTGATGGTTCTGTTTCAGAGATGGTTTAGGTTTGCTGGAGGCGATGGCAAAGGGCTTCTTCGATGGTGAGCAAAGATCTGCGATGGCAAGGGATGAGTTCTTCGATGTTCTGCGATGCAGGCAACGGCAAAGGGATTCTTCAATGGTTCTGCGATGGAGGTTGGTGTAAATGGGATGGGGTGTGCGATGGGGTGTGTCTGCAAGAGGAGAGAATTTTCGGAGGGGTGTGGCTGGATATCAGATGGGGTGGGGTTTGATTTCAGATGGGGTGTGGCTAAAAGGGAAGGGGGTTTTCGGTGGGTAGTTAGGGAATGGGGTTTATGAGGGCAATTTAGGGAAAAAAAAGGGGTTTAATGAGTAATTTGAAATTTTATTAAAATTTAGTGGGGTGTAAAAAATTATGGGGTGTAAAGAGTAATTTATGGGGTTCATATAGAATTACCCTAATAAATAACTTCATTAGGAATTCGGAATCTAATTCTTCTCAATATAACTCCTCCTCAATTCAATTAATTCTCAATTCAACTCCTCTTAATTCAATTACGGATTAATAAACATGCCATTAATGTAAAATTTATTACCGAACGGAGAATAATGAAGCAAAATATGAGTGGTTTCCATTTGTTCACTCTCGTTGAATTTATGGAGAGAGAGTTCATCGTTCTAAAACGCGCATGGTGCTGGCACAGCCTTTACGCTCCTTATGTGCTTACAATATTGTACCACGCAGCGCTTGCGTTTTCCATGCACGTCCTCTGTGATGGCTGCTTCAGCCCAACACTGTTACTTCACTTCTTCGGCCGTACAAGTCCACCCCGTCCCTATGTTGAAGAAATCTCAGGCAAACCCAGCTCTCCAATTCTTCAAAGTTTCTCAAAACCCCATTAAATTACCTTCCTTGAAGGAAGTTTGCGACCAAGGAAGCCTCAAGGAAGCTTTTCAGTCACTGGGCAGTTTGCTCAAACTTCAAAATTCATCACTTAAGCTTTCTCTAGATGGGGCTTATTCTCCTGTCCTTGAGCTCTGTGCGAACAAGAAAGCTCTGTCAGAAGGGCAACAAGTTCATGCCCATTTGATAAAATCTTGTGATTTATATGATTCTGTGTTTCTCAGTACTAAGCTTGTATTTATGTACGGGAAATGTGGCTCCCTTTTGAACGCGGAGAACGTGTTTGGTAGAATGTGCCATAGAACCATTTTTACTTGGAACGCAATGATTGGTGCTTATGCTTCAAATGGCAAACCTTTAAAAGCTCTTGAGCTGTATAGGGACATGCGGGTTTTGGAGGTTTCTCTTGATTCTTGTACTTTCCCTTGTATACTGAAAGCATGTGTTGCGCTTAATAATGTCTGCGCCGGGACAGAAATTCATGGTGTGGCTATCAAATACGGGTATAATAAGGTAACATTTGTTGCCAACTCACTAGCTTCTATGTATGCAAGCTGCAATGATCTTGATGGGGCGAGGAAGTTATTTGATGGCATGAAAGAAAAAGAGGATATTGTGTCCTGGAATTCTATTATTTCAGCATATTCAGCGAATGGGCAATCTGTTGAAGCATTGGAACTATTTCGAGAAATGCAAAGGATGCGTCTTACGCCAAACACATATACTTTTGTTGCTGCTCTTCAAGCCTGTGAGGACTCGTTTTCTGATAAACTTGGTATGGAGATCCATGCTGCTGTTATGAAATCGGGTCACTGCTTAGATATTTACGTGGCAAATTCTTTGCTTGCTATGTACTTAAGATGCGGTAAAACGGACAAGGCTGCCATAATCTTTAATGACCTGGATGCCAAGGATATTGTCTCATGGAATACCATGCTCTCTGGTTTTGCCCAAAATGGTCTATATAATGAAACTCTGCAGTTGTTCTATGATATGCAGAGTACTGATGAAAAACCTGACCTGGTTTCACTAATAAATATCCTTGCAGCATCTGGTCGATTAGGATATCTATTGTCTGGAATGGAAGTTCATGCTTATGCGATAAAAAATGGATTCGATTCTGATTTGCAGCTTGGGAACACACTGATAGATATGTATGCTAGGTGTGGTTGTGTGAACTTCATGGGCCATGCTTTTGAAAAGATGCCAAACATAGACTTCGTTTCTTGGACAACTATTATTGCTGGCTACGCTCAGAACAATTGTCACACGTGGGCCTTAGAATTGTGCCGGAAGGTGCAGGCGGTAGGGCTGGATGCTGATGCAATGATGGTGGAAAGTATTTTACTGGCTTGTGGTGCATTGAAATGTGTTTCTTTGGTAAAAGAAATACATGCTTACACTATGAGGAGAGGTTTATTCGATCTTGTCTTACAAAATGCAGTTGTCAACCTATATGGAGAGTGTGGATACATAGAATATGCAACCCGGATGTTCGAATTGATTGAATCCAAAGATGTTGTGTCTTGGACGAGCATGATATCTTGCAATGTTCATAGTGGGCTTGCAAATGAGGCCCTTGAGCTCTGTCACCTCATGAAAGAAACAAACGTTGAACCTGATTCTATAGCACTTGTTAGCATACTATCAGCTGTTGCTGCCTTATCTGCTTTGAAGAAAGGGAAAGAAATTCATGGTCTTCTTCTTAGGAAGGGCTTCATCTTAGAAGGATCTCTTGGTAGCTCTCTAGTGGATATGTATGCCCGCTCTGGAACTTTGGAGAATGCTTACAAGGTATATAACTATATTAGAAATAAAAGTCTAATTTTACGGACCACCATGATTAATGCGTATGGCATGCATGGTAATGGAAAGGCAGCTATTGATTTATTCAAGAAGATGGAAGGTGAAAGAATTGTTCCTGATCATATTACATTTCTGGCTCTTCTATATGCCTGCAGTCATTCGGGCTTGATTGATGAGGGTAAAAGATTATATGAAATCATGAGATCTGAATATCAATTAGAGCCATGGGCAGAACATTCTGCCTGCATGGTTGATCTTCTTAGTCGTGCTAATCGCTTGGAAGAGGCATACCATTTTGTGAATGGCATGCAGAGCGAACCTACTGCTGAAGTATGGTGTGCTCTCCTTGGTGCTTGCCGGGTTCATTCTAACAAAGAATTAGGAGAAATTGCAGCAAAGAAGATCTTAGAGTTGGGCACGGAGAATCCAGGAAATTATGTGCTTGTATCAAATATGTTTGCTGCTAGCAGAAGATGGAAAGATGTAGAAGAAGTGAGGATGAGAATGAAGGGAATTGGGTTGAAGAAAAATCCGGGATGTAGTTGGATTGAGATTGGAAACAAGGTTCATACATTCACAGCGAGGGATAAATCTCATCCTCAGTCCAATGAGATTTACCAAAAATTAGCTCAAATGACTGAGAAGTTGGAGAGAGAAGTAGACTATGTGGCTCAAACCAAATATGTTTTGCACAATGTGGAGGAAGAAGAGAAAGTTCAGATGCTTTATGGACATAGTGAAAGGCTGGCCATTGCATATGGTCTGCTTAAATCTCCTCAGGGAACCCCTATCCGAATCACAAAGAACCTTCGGGTTTGTGGTGATTGCCATCATTTCATTAAACTAGTTTCAAAAGTTTTTAGGCAAGTGCTTGTTGTGAGGGATGCCAATAGATTTCATCATTTTGAGGATGGGATTTGTTCTTGTGGCGATTTCTGGTGACGGTTAAACATTGTATTGAAATTGAACTGTCTTGGAAAGTATGGACGTCTTTGAATTACCACTGCTGTGGTGATCATTGAAATATTGATCAGCAGGGGCTTTGGTTTCACCTGAGAGTTCTCTGCTTTCCGTCTGCGCAGAGAGAATGAGCAACGTAGTTGAAAGATGAAACTTAAAAGTTCGACTTGCATTAAGAACTTCTCCAAAACCATATTTGAGTCCAACCTTGCATCCCAAGAAAGAGCTGTTGGAGTTGGTTATGTTGCTTTTAAGCAGCCATCGAAGGAGACATTACAATGGGACAACATAGTGAGATTGGGTTTCGATGTAAATTCAGAAACCTTATACTTTCAAATAGTAGGAAAATGCCAGAGTTCATGAAACTGTACAGGTAGGTTCTCATATTCATCAAAATCAACCATATTTCTAGTTGATTTATTAGAGCAGCTCCAGCGCTGCCAGTAACCCGGGCAAAACGCCCCCCGACCAAGCCCAAGGGCAGGTTTTGCCTAGGCTTCAGCCCGAGGGCGGTGACGTCATCACGCGGTAATTCAAATTTTTTTTACTGTTGGCGCTTGAATTACACACGCCAACGGTAAAAAAATTTGACTTCCGCGCGCTGACGTCAGCGCTGACAGACTCCAACGGGCATTTGACACGTGTCACAACTGAGACTCTCCGATCGGTTTTTTTTTCCAAAAATCCGACGGTCCTCGTTTTTTTCGCAAAAAAAAAATCAAAAAAATTCTGAATTTTTTAAAAAAAATTACCAAAAAATTCTGAATTTTTTCCCTATAAATACCTAACCATTTTATTTACTTTCCACACCAAATCTTCATACAATTTCTTCTCCATCCAATTTTTTTTTAATGAACATCCGAAAATTTTATCTAGAATAAGACATGTGGCAACCGAGATTCTCATCCGAAAATCTTTTTTGAAAAATAATGGACACGTGACAACCAAAAATCTTATTTGAAAATTTAATTACAAAAAATTATCAAAATTAATGGTTTAAAGTATAAAAAAATAGGAAATAAAGTGCAATGAATAGTATTTACCATAAACTTAGTCCTCATAGGTGGAACCACAAATAGCAAGGCTGACACTATTCACGTGAATAGTGGCAGCTTTGCCCTAGACTTAGCCCTTAGGTGGAGATGCTCTTAAAGGGTGGGGAGTGGGGTGGCAATGTCACTATTTGTAATGTTTGATTGCTTGTTATGCAGATGGGATAATCTTATGAGAAACAGAAATAATTGTGGATTATTTTCCTCAAAAGTGGCAAATCCATAAACATGTGAAACCAATTGCTGTAGCTAACTATATTGGCCCTGCTGTTGGCTTAATGAGCGCAGATCTTGTGCAGCCAAAATAAATGTAATTTTAGCATACCAAGAGAAATAAAAGGTTTCTCTATCTTCTTCTTTTTCCCTCACTAAATATGCAGCAGGCTAACAGGGCAAGCAATGGGGCCCACCACCCTACCCTATATGCAGCAGATCCAGACTGGATCCTTACAGCCAACCCAACTCATGCATTTACTCCCATTTCAGATGTAAACACCAGGAACTAGGAGAAATTTATGTTCTTTTCGTTTGTTTATTGATTGATCAGTAAAGTTGAAATTATTTTGACCAGAGAGGACATATTAAAAACCAATCCAAATTAATTGGGATCAGACTAGTCAATTCGTATCAAACCCAAATTGTATTTTTCATTTGGGGGGCTTAAAAAAAGAAAAAAGAAAAAAGGAGGATGGCAAAATTTTGTAATTTTCGAAGCCTGCATATCTACTACAAGCCCTAGCCTTCATAGGTTTTCAGGGCAGCTTTGATCTCCATTTCCATCGAAACACGCACTGATGAATCAGATCAACGGCTTTAATTCGCATTATTTTTGTTGTTGTTTGTTGTCTTATTCACATTCACCAGCCTCCTCCACCCAACCCTCGTCAGAAAATAAGACCAATGTCAAATCTTTGGCAGTCACAGCTCACAGCCTCATTATTCAGCGTCGGATCTGTTGACCATGGTGCTATGATCCTCCTCACGTTATTGGATTTCTTTAGTTTTTAATTGGAGGTAACTGGTAAGTGTTCTATTACTAAAACTATTCGGTTATTGCTACTGTAAAACGTACAATTTTTATTATTTTTCAAATATCACAAACAAGACCATGATATCAATTTGATTGTGAATTCCTTTTGTTTACAAGAATTTCAACTTCAAGATTTCTACCATTTACCTTAACATGTCAATTTACAGTTTTTTTCATAGATGTCTAATCAAAATCAATAATGCTTTTAACGTTTTATATGAGAAAGAAAGAAAAAACTCAGATGCAGCAGCAGTGACCTGTAATATCAAAACATAACGGAAAATTTAGCATGATCAATTGACAACTGACTACTCAGTGCCATCCAATGGAGAGGCATGTGTAAATTATTGCGATGGCCCTGCAAATCCAAAACAAATAAATACAATGAAAAAAAATAGTTGTATTGAAATTTTAAATCAAAATTCTGTTGTCAACCCAATAATTGCAGTATAACAGTGTCTTTGAATCGTGTTTTGGACTTTTTAGTATAACCCTTCTAGCCAACAGTCTACTTTTTTGTTTTTTTTTTTTTTTTTTTAGAGAGAGAGAGAGAGAGAGAGAGAGAGAGAGAGAGAGACACTCAGGGCTCAGAGTCCTTCTCTGCCCCTGCACTGCCGCCCTATATTTCTTCCACCTGTGACCCTAGAACACTGCCTTAGCTGTTATAAATCACATCTAGCTAGCTAGCTACTGCCTACATAGCTCTGCAATAGTTTGCTTCTTAGCTGTATATCTCTTTCAGTCTTTTTCTCTTTGGCCCTGTCCACATGATAATGCCTCTTTAATTCACTGTTTCACGAGGGGGGGGGGGGGGGGGGGGGGGTGGTTTTGTGGACCTCTTTGTGCGTCTCTTTAACATCTGTCTCATTTCCCCCACTATATATATTAACACATGCCCTCCTCCAGTTTACCAGTCTCCTCCCAGACATACATCTCCTTGCCTAAGCTCTATGCTGTTCTTCCCCTCTCCTCTTTGTTTTGATCATGTAGAGAAGGGTTATGTTTTTGTTTCTTTTTTCTTTGATTTTGTTTAGCATTTGCAAAGATTAGTTTTTTAAATAGAGAAGGGTTCATGCAATATTTCATAAACTTGTACTTTCTCTTTCCTCTCTCTCTTCTATGCTCTACCTCTTGCTGTAGATTCATTCTCTTTTTGTTCATCCTCAGTCATGAGAACAGGAGTTGACCTAGTCTCTGCGCAAAGAAAGAAAGTCACAAGGGAAAAAGTGAAGCTGCCAGCATGATCTAGCTTTGGTTACAGTTATCATACATATATCTATATAGATAGTTCATTGGTAACCCTAGCTAGGTCATGCTCTGACAGCCTCACTCCTTCCCATTTGGGACCCAAAATACATAGTAGCCAACAACTCCAACTTTGAAAGAAGAAAGCAGCATAAAGCAGGCATGAGAAATCACTGTAAGTATAGTATATTCCCCTGCTCTAAGATTCATTTTGTCATTCTTAGCATGCGTTCTAACTTTCTCTTTTTGCGCCCAGCTTTTCTCTTTGCTTTCCCTTTTTTTAAACTTAATAAACTGCTCATTAACCCAATCCCAAGTAGTGCAAATGACCCTCCTTGAAAGGTATGTTAATATCCCTCAACCAGATCCTAAATCAATCTTCTTTTTTTAAAATAATTCTAAACTGATGCTTGTAATTCAGATCCTAAACTGGTTAGATGATAAGATTTGTAATTTGGAACATACAATTTTGAATGGGATGACCATGTATTGTTGTGTGATTGGAAATAGGGAACCGACTGCCTAACAGTAAAAGGAAGGACAGCAAGAGAAAATTATGCTGAACAAGGATGTGAAGGCAACCGCAGGAAATTTATTAATGCACAGACACTGTAAATATTTTTATATACATTCATTTCTATTTTTTGCACAAACATTGTAAAAATTTGGAGTAGGTTTTGGCCCAGTCAATTCCCAATGAAGTTACCCTGATTCGACTTTTGATATTTTTTTAATACAAATGATAATCTAAATTAAGGAGAATGAGATTTCTCGAACACGCATATCTGAACTTGAACTTGATGAGATATGAGATTGAAAAAAGTGATGAGAGTGGGGTTTGATATATGAGTATCATATATAACCAGAAAGATCCTTATACCAACTACAACATCCATCTAGCTTTAACTGAACCAGTAAATAAATTAAAGTTCCAAGTTGCTCTTTCGACAAAGCCAACAAATATTTATAAATTTTGAGACCAATGAAAAGCTGCTTCCTTGCAATTAAGATATATTTTTTTAAAAGAGAATGCATAGTTAATCATGAGTTCTTGTAAGTGTATCCGAATCAAGCCAATATGTTGGGAACTTTTTCTTTAGAATATTTTGTTTTTCCACTTTTCGATACTTTCTCACTTGGATGACTCTGCATGCATCTATTGGTTCCATCTGCCCCTAAACCTACCAAGGGGATCAAAACAAATTCAAAGCAACAGAATGTCAATGTCATACCCAACTTTATCAGATCATATAAATACAAATCGTTTTCCTATTTGCTGGTCTCAGATTGTTCACTTTACACATTGGACTCCCAAACATTACCTAATTCATGGCATTGTCATTTTTCTACCGTGCTTTTAATGTGCAGCTGACACCAATTATGTTCTCAAGGTTCAAGCATTTCCACAAATCACATTCCATTTTAATAAAGTAAGCTCCATTTTCTATTTTAGGGAAAATCTCACTATTTACTTACTTTATCATCCATTGTTAGTATGTGTAATCACTCGCAAATTGCATCACTGTATACATTTATATCATGTTGATACTTTTGTGCTTGTAAGTTTTGAACTAAAATATATATGAATTTACAACTCATCTCATACTCTTACTCATCTTTTATTATTAAACCGTTCGTGTGGGATTAGAATGTCTAAGTTCACCCTAATTAACAAAGGTAAGATCACTTAAAATGCATGAAACCAAGTTGGAGAGAGAGAGAGAGAGAGAGAGAGAGAGAGAGAGAGAGAGAGAGAGGGAGAGGGTGGTCACATGCACTTGTTTTGGTTGAGATGCTTCCTTTCCTTTTCTCCTAAATTTGCTAAGAAGCGTGCCAATGGTCCCCATTAAACTCATTGTGTTTTTAACTCTTTTTTGGTTCATGTATGTTGTGAAGGAGATACCCACTTAAAGTGGATAAAAGCTCAAGGTGAAAATTACAAGAGGTCACTGCCTTGTCTGCATGGTGGTGGCATAAGCCTGATAATATTCAATTTGTCTTACTTTGGACCACTGCCATCTGTTCTGATCATAATTAAATTGATCACAATACTAATTCTCTTTTCTAGTCCCCTAATAATTACAAAATCACCACAAGACTCAACACAGGAATTCTTTGGCCTCTATTTATATCACTCTCTTCTCCTCTTCTCTAAACACATCCCAGACCTAAAGAAAAACCAGAGACCTCTGCCTCCCTCCTCCCTCCTCCCCCCTCTCCCTCTCTCTCTCTCTTCCTCACATGGATATGGTTTTGCTTGCTTCTCGTGGACCACTAGCAGTTGAAGCTGCCAGCATGATCTAAACTTCCCTCTTTGCCAGTCAAGGAAAGATCAGATCATGTGGTAGCTTCACCTGTTGACGGGATCACGAAAACGAACTTTACTTTCACAATTCTAGCCCCTACACTATCAGGCTAGTCTCTTTATGTGTTTTTTCTCATTTGGGTAGTCCTTTATTTTGCTCTAATTTACTTTTCATTTGAGTACCATGGTACTGTTCCATCGTTTTTTTTTTCCTCTTCCCCTGTCCTTTTTCTTTTTCCTCAGTATTATTTGGCTTCCTGTTGAGCCTCCACTTGTAGGATCTAACTTTGTGGTAAGTTTAATTTTAAACAAGCATTTGTTTTTGTTCATCTTTTGGTTGGAATAGTTAGTCTAAGTCTAATCCACATGTTCTTTTGTTGGCCAATTTCAGCAGAACTTTATTTTGCAAAAGAAAGTCTTGACTTGACCAATGAGAATGATCTTGAGCTATGGAAGTATGAGGGCATGCTGGGGAATCTTTCCTACCCAAAATTGTTAGGGTTTTGAGTGACAGAATTTCTGCAACCCAAAAATGTCTGGTGCTTTTGAGATTCCAATCTTATCTTTATAAGTCCTTGTTCTGCATAATAAAGCCTTTGATTGCATTGCCTTTTTAATTTAGTTTAATGTATTGGTTTTGTTCAAGAACAATTTAAATGGTGACATCTGTAAAAGAATGCATAACAAGGGGGGGAAAAAGCACTTGAATCTCTGTGCATGGCTGGCTGCAACTGCAAGTACTATTATAAAGCTTCTGCTGTTCCATCATGTATATACTTTTAGTAAGTCTCTTTGATATCTTTGTTTAATCTTTTCAAGAATTAAAATGCTTGTGAAATTTCTGCCCTACATGTATGTACTTAGTGTCAAACTTTGCCTGGGTTGCCAACAAGGTATAATCCAACGGAAAATAAGCTTGACTTGCAGATTAATTGTCTCAAATTTGAACCCTCTATCGCTTGTATCATTGGAAATGTATATTTCTATTATGAATTTTTGCATATGGCAGTCATTATTCTATCACAATATTTCTTTTACTATGTGCAGAGAATGTGTAGCTAAAGTCTCTACCAAAAAATATATATATGAAAAAAAAAATTAACATAAAAGATGGGCCTAGAATTAAAGAAGAAATATGATGAAGATGAAGAAGGAAAAAAAAAGTGGGTCATGAAAGTGGACGTTGTTAGTGACGGGCCCATAAGGTAACGGGCGGGGCAAGAAATACCCATATACAGATACAGTACCGTGTGTACGTGGCAGCATCTACATGCATTTACAAAATCAAATATTTGTCCTCAACTGAAAAGGTCCAAACGGCAAATAATTTTCAATAAGACAACAATATACCATGGGGCCAATTCTTGAATAATGCAAAATAGACAATGTCGTTGTTGCCCTTCTACATGACCAAAGCGGAATGGGTATTATTGACTTTTCGGATTGCAGTTGTGCTTCAAACAATCACTCAAGGGGTTTTGCCACGTCAGCATATTTAGCCTTTGATACAATACAACACCACGACGGCTTCTTTATCCTTGTCGCCGGTGCTTTCCTAATACAATCTGTTTATTTGGCGCCCAATCTCTCTCTCTCTCTCTCTCTCTCTCTCTCTCTCTCTCTCCTGTATTGAAAGAAGGCCATGGCAGTATGAAAATGAAGCTGTGCAGTTAGTTTTCATTTCCCTTCTTATGTTTTTGCATTTGCCTTTTCTATTTTTTTTCCTTTTCAGTTTGGTAATTAATCTGATACAATAATAAGTAAAGTTTACTCCTTTGAAATGTTAATACAATGAGAACTAGATTTTACAGAATGGAAATTGTTCTATACTTGATGGGTTTTTGTTTATCTGCAAATTGAAAAAAAACCATCCAAATAAAAAAAAAGGGGGTTGCTTTATTATACTTGAGTGGAAATTCTATATGTATAACCAAGAAGCTAATTTTTTTTTAGGGAGGTTTAGTTTTAAAACACAATATAGTTTACTAATTTGGAAGATAGGAATACAATTTCATCTAATTAGCATAAGGCCAATACCAAAATTTGGTACCTAATTTTACAAAAATATTATTCAAAAATATCAAAATTACACACAATACCACTCATTCTAAGGCAAGCATACTATGCCACATGTCCATATCTAGTCAATCACCACCACCGGCCAACCACCCGTCGCCGACCACCACCAAATTTCCCAGACTTGCAGATTGAATGGATAAGCCCTAGCCTTCTTCTCCAAATTTCCCATTCTCATCCAAATACCCCCTTTCCCCTTTTCTGAAGCTGAAAAACCTTTATTCTTCAATGTTAAGGATTGAAACAAAGTGGGCCCCAAAAGCACATAACAGAACGTCTATAATACTGACGGAATGGATAATGTGAGACCGTTTTTAAAAGTATGGGGGTATTTTGAGACGTTTCAAAGTCCAAGTAGTAATCTGAGACAAGTTTAAAAACACATGAGGCATGTACATGAATAAGCCATATTTAAAAGTGGTATTTGCATGTACTTGTCATTTTCAACCAGTGTCATTATTGTAAATGTCTCGAATATGGTAGCTACAAGGTTTGCTTACCTGGCCATACAATTGATTGGGATGGCTACAATTGAAGAGAGTCCAATTAGTGTCCTATATCTATTGTATCTAAATGAAAATGGATCCGTATTTAAGAAGCCGTTAAATTTATCCTGTCCAGTCCAGCCCACCAAAAATGACCTAAAAGCCCCAAGCATTGGCTCTGGGCCTCAAACCTTAAACACTCGATCCAGACCCGGGATTCAAATTTCGAGCTCTGGATGTAGGACATGAACCTCGAGCGCCGAGCTCCAAATCTAGAGCCTAGGAGCTCTATATGTTGGACCTGTAGCCCTAAGTTCACGGCCAGAGCTCCACGCTCGAATACCAGACGTCTTGTCCTGGTCTCCAGGCTATGCTCGCATATTTCTTTTGAATGTGACTATTGACCTCCTGATAATTTCGAAGACTGGTTCTTCCGGCACAGGTATACACTTCACAATCCAACCAATTGGCCATGACACAGCTGCAATTAAAATACAAGTCACCCATTGAAACAAGTTCAACTTCTCTGTATCTGCGAACTTTTGAGGAACTCCACCATCACAACTTGAAGAAGAATAGTTACCCCCACAATCCCAATAAACAGTCTGTTCCTGTGAATGCCTTTGAACACATTCTGCTTCTCCATGCTCCTCGAATTGAACTCGTTGAAAACTTGACAGAGCACAAACGTATTGAAAATCAAAGTATCGTTCACCTGATGAAGATAGACTCTCCCCGGAACTGCAAGATCAAGAGGACAGCTATTTGGTACAGAGCTTGAAATAAAAGGTTTCTCCACATAATGTTGGTTATGAGCGGCGCGGTTCGGCCAACAGGCTGCTTCTGCATGAGCTCATTGGTAGGCCGCTCGGTTGCAAGAGCCAGAGCACCAAGAGTGTCCATGATGAGATTCACCCATAATAGTTGAACTGCTGTTAAGGGAACATCTCCAGCTGAAACTGCTGCAATGAAGTTGATAACCAGAGCTGCCACATTGACAGTAAGCTGAAATTGTATGAATTTCTGTATGTTGTTGTAAACGCATCTGCCCCACCTCAAAACTGTGGCCACAGAGTTGAAGTTGTCGTCCAAGATGATGATGTCCGAGCTCTCTTTCGCCACCTCGGTGCCCTGGATCCCCATGGAGAGTCCTATGTCAGCTTCTTTCAATGCGGGTGCGTCGTTGGTGCCGTCTCCTGTGACTGCAACCACATGATTTTTCTGCTTCAAGCATTGCACCATCAGAAGCTTGTCGAACGGGGAAGATCTGGCCATCACGAGGATGTTATCAACCTTTTCCATTCTCTCTTCGTGTGTATAGTTTCGAAACTCGACTCCTTCTATCACTTGTTCACCATAATTTGCTTCGTCCCCAATCTGCAGTATTCCGCATTCTGTAGCTATGGCTTTTGCTGTGAAAACATTGTCTCCCGTTATCATTTTGATTTGCACTCCTGCAGACTTGCAGATCTTCACGGCATTGAGGACCCCTGGTCGACATGGATCTTTGAGACCAACTACTCCTAGCAAGATCAGTTCATCTTCTTTGAGCCTTGGGTGAGTCTTCTCATCATTGCTGTATTCAATTTCTTCCTCTAAAATTTGTGTGTGAGCAAAAGCAATGCACCGGAGGCTGCTAGCTGCCATGCCTTGGATTATTTTCTCAATGTTAGACCTACTTTCTTCATCCAACGACTTTATAGCTCCGTCGGTTTCATAATAACTTGAGCACATGGCAACTATCATCTCAGCAGCTCCTTTCCAGTGCACATGGATGGATTTATCTTCCTTTTTCTTTATAAGAACTCCGCTTCGTTTCTTATCTGAGTTAAATGTTTCAACTTGAAGAATATCATAACTAAGCTTCATTTTTTCCATGTCCATGCCCAAATCTGAAACAGCCCAATACAGAATAGCTTTTTCTGTTGGACTGCCAGAGATGTTAGGTTTGGATCCTGAGAGAGGTATGTAAACACTCCCAGTTGTGTTCAAACCAACTCCTTGATGGAATAATTCAGAGACATTTTGTTTGATTGAATTATGTTTTTCAATAGGTTCTTGGCCAAGCCAAAACTTAGTGACTTCCATTTCATTTTTTGTCAAAGTACCTGTTTTGTCTGTACAAATAACGGTTGCTGATCCCATTGTCTCACAAGCTTGTAGTTTTCTGACCATAGCCTGATCTTTCATCATTCTTTTCATTGAGTAAGCTAGCGTTAGTGTGACCGCCAACGGCAAACCCTCTGGGATTGCCACCACCACAATAGTGACTGCAGCAGAAACAATTCGAACCACTCCGTTCAACACATTATCTATGTTTTTGTTGCTACCACTATACTCCTTATTTCCGTACTCATCTTTTGTGTTACCGGTGAAATAACGAATCAACAAGACTACCAGAACTAGGAAAGCAACTATAAGGCCTACTTTTCCAATAGAAGAGGTTAGTTTGTCAAGCCTTGCTTGTAATGGTGTTCGTTGGTTTGTGTCCTGCGATATTGAGCTCATCATTTCGCCCCACGCCGTGTTCATCCCAACTGATGTGACGAGCATTTGGGCATAGCCGTCTACCACCTTTGCACCAGACAACAGGAAGGGGTTCTTGGCAGAATCAACTTCTACATGGTCACTCTCTCCCGTCATGCTCGATTCATCCACTTGTAAGGAACGGCCGTCTAGGAACAATCCGTCTGCAGGTATTTGATCTCCCAACTTCAGAAACACAACATCTCCAACTACAATATCGAAAATGGAGACTTCTTGTCTCTGTCTGTCTCTAAGTACCTCAACTTTGATGTTGCTACTTATTTTCGACAACTTGTCGAATTGCAATTCTTGTCTAAAGTTACTCAGAGCTGAGACAATAATGACAATAAATACAGCAACAAAGATACTCCCTCCCTCGTACCAGCCTTCCTTCGCCCCATGCTCTTTGATTCCAAATCCAAGAGAAAGTGCTGCGCAGACACATAGAATCAGAATGGTTGTGTCTTTTAAAGCGTCCATCACAAAATAGAGCAACCCTTTTGGAGGCTGCTTGTGGTAGGTGTTTGATCCATAAACTTCGCGCCGCTTGTTGATATGTAAATCGTTTCCATAGATTCCGTTTTCAGGGTTTGTCCCGAGAGAAGCAGCAATGCCTATAACTCCTCCAGACTCGTTTACAGCACCCAAGTCTCTTTCCTTAACCATTGTTGTGAGCCCTGCATGGTCAAAGTCAGGGTTGGGGACAAAACCGTAGGCATCAGTTTGAGATTTTGTTCTTGGTTTCAAGTCCAAGGCGGTGCTTAGTTCGATGTCCGGTGCAGTGTGAGAAAAAGAGTGGAAGATCTCGGAGTGATGTTTGTAGTTGTTTCTCTTGGCTACAATCTCTTTGGGAAGCGAAAGCATTGCCCTGACAGCGTATATGGCTGCAAAGGCCATGCGCCATCTCTTCTTGGCTCTGGTGAAGGTGATTGTGGTGATGTCATGGAGCAATTTTCCATAATCATAATGGCTGCTTAACATGGTTTTTCACTAGTTAGAATTTTGAAGAGTTCACAGTTAGGAAAATAAAGTCAAGAAGAGGATCCTAGTTCAGAGAAACTAAGAACTTAAATCTAAATATGCATCTTGCTATGCTTTCAATTTTATAGCCAAATTCAGTCGGTGTTCTCCATTCTCATTTTGCCTATTTGGTCAATGAGATATGCTTGCAAGCAAAATTCTTTGGTCAATAAATAACAAAGTATTGCGAAAAGACAAAATTATGACAAGAGTTTCTTGGTGGAGGGGAAAGGCTACCTTCCAAAGTCTAGCTCGGTGGGAAATTTTAAGTTCCATCAATTGCGTGGTCAGTTGGTCATCCAACCAAATCAAAGGTTTCTTGAACTACCTCATGTGCCGAAGGGGAAATGTAATGGAAACCATTTCCTCAATATGGTGGTTCTATTCTGTGTACTTAATGAGACGTTTTAGCTAAGGATTCACTAGCATTGGGGTTGAGTTCTAGCATTCGTATAGTGTGTGTGAGTTTAGTATATTATTGCTTCTCTCAATAGGAAATGTCTTCCATGGTAAAATAGAGAGATGGTTTAATGAAATGACATATTTCTTACCTTAAGCTATTTTCATTCATGGTAAAAATGGGGTTGGGGCGGGTCGGATTTGCCCTTCCAATCCTCGTCCATGTAAAAATTCTTCCATTTGCGGTCGAAAAACAAATTCCATTGAGAAACAAAATAGCCTTCTTGTTAATTAAAATTTAAGTTTTATTTAAAAGAAGCCTGTTTGAGTAGTAAAATTGCACGATTACCCGTTCCATCACCAAAGAGATTATCAAAAAGGGAGGATGAACATGAGGTTATACACAAATTGATTATTGGTGGCTCATGTGTCCACTTTCAAACCCCAATCTTCACAAGTCTGGCAAAATCTAAGATTAGGATTCCTAACCTAATGTGAGGCCCACATTACTTTTGATGCACTAAGTGTGGTCTACATGACTTTGGATCCCTTTTAGTGAGGTCATGATGACTTCTATTTGGGTCAACAGGTAAAGCGTGTTGAAAACTCTGCTTAGATCATGTTCCCAAGCTTGCAAAAATGGCTCTATTTCCTTCTTCTTCTACTTACGCCATTGCAGTTCTTGTTATGCATTTTTTACGGTCCGAAATTATACTCAATACGAACACATGAAAATACCACATCTCGCTTATCTTATGGTATTATTTTTATCTGTATAACAAATTCTTCCTAGGATACAGTAAAGTTGAACAAAATTGTTTTAACAGCCTACATCTGCAAGAGTAAAAATTTAACCAGGAAGCATATGTAGTACCTTTTGGTATAATCAGAAGTTGCAAGGCCTGCTGTAAATAATCCTCCATGATCACTTAGAGCAGTAGCCAACTCTTTTTCCTTGGCCATTTCTTTGAGGCCTGCATCTTCATCATGCTCACTGTTGGACACAAAACTGTAGTGAACAGTCTCATCGTCGCCTTCATAGTTGCTTGCCCTGGATATAATCTCTTTAGGAAGCTCTAGCATGACCCGAACAACACGTAAAGCCAGATACGCCATGCGCCATCTCCTCTTTGCTCTGAGGTTGATGTCAAGGTCGTCAAGCAGCGATGTGCTACAATCACTGCTGCTGCTTAACATGCTTCTTTTTGGGTTCTTGTTTTTTAAGTAGAAGGGTTTTACGGAGCAAAAAGATAAAAGTCAGTAAAATGAGCAGTTTATAGAAAGAACTTCATTCTGATGTATGTATTGGGTTGTATTTATAGATAACTACAATCCTTCATGACAAGTGCCTGTCGGCAAATTCTTCTTACTGCTATTATTTTGGTCAATAACAATGCCTGTGCAGCTTGTTTTTATTGGTCATTTTGCTTGGGGGGATTTTGGAAAAATACAAAGGAGAGAGAAATTTTGTAAATGAAGCTAAAATAGACAAAATTGCCCTTATTTATTTTTGGATTTCCTAAGGAATCTTTTACATTTGCATGTCTTTGATTTAAAAGTTAAGATATTTTTTTTATCTTTTTTGAAAAAGCCTTAGTTTTTTTCAGAAAGTGAAAAAAATTTTTGACTAAAACCTAAATTTAGTTTTTGCTTTTGTCGTGTGAAATTGGACGAGCCAGAAAGCACTCAAGTCTTTTTAAACATTCAATTTTAATTTTTTTTGGTTGCATTGGGGTGCGAACTGTGACGGGAGAGCACCGCCACTGTGGTGGGAACCATTGACTAAAAACAAAACAAAAACCGTGTAGTGGAAATTGAAGCAAAAGAGCTATATAAAACAATGACTAGGGTTGGGGTCTATTAAAAATATCGACCAAGTTATTCCAGCTCGATTGAAACGAAATGCTTAAGATTTACTCTAAAGGATTCTGTCGAATTGAAAGTAAGAGAAGTTCCAAAAATGTACCGAGAAGAGAGCAGCTGGCATTGATGTTATGGGACAAAAATTTGTTCCTTTCCACTTTTGTGATAAATCAAATATTTTGTGCGGAATCGGTGCAATAGAAAAGCATTTTAGAAAAGTCCGTGATGAATGGTAATTTGAACTTAAGACCTCTTAAATCAAGCAAACGATGTGTTATCCAAAAAAGACAATTCTTTAAACAGCAATTTAAACACGAATTTGAACTTTTTAGGTGCATTTTTCTTCAAACTTAAGCATTTTTAATAAAGCGAAAACGATATGTTATCAAATTAAATCATCGTAACATACGATGTTTTTTTCACTATTTTATTAAATGCTTACTCGACCCCATAAAATGGGAAACGTGTTATTGACCTTTCCCATTTTAATTGTTTACATTGCTGGTGCTTGTTTTAAAGTTTTACACGAAGCCTCAGCATTCATAGTTTCTAACTATACCTTTCCTTCATTCGCCAAATGCACCTAAAAAGTTCCAACATTTTTAATAAGATTAACGTTTCTTCCTTCTTCTTTTTCTCGTGTTTCTTGGCTAGGTTGGAAATTGAATACGGAGGGGTGCTTAGGTTTGAAGCCTCCAGCTCCCAGCTCGAGGAAAAATACTTGTCTATCTCTGTTTCATTGTCTCCATCTCCGCCTAATATGCCCAAGCTTATCGAATTTTTTAATGTCCTAACTACCATTATAACACATTTATTTCCGTATCATTTACAACTTTGAATTCAAACTATAACACCCAAAAAATAAAAAACATTCAACTTCAATATAAATAAATTTCAAGTAGCCGTTGGACCCAATGATATTCGTCCGCTTTTGTCCTTGCATGTTTAACAGTTCGAGGAAAAAGAATTGCCGCCAAGCCGGACTAAAGTTCATCTCTCTTTTTTATGAACAAAAATTGCAACGATGTTTCCTCAACAACTAAAGCACTCAAAAATCTAAAGACTTAAAACTACGGCCATTGTTTCTTGTTTAATTTTTTAATTTTCTTTAGTAATAGAATCTTCTTCTTAAAATCTAAAGTGCTAAGTCGGCTGATTACGATTGGTTTTGGACTTGGGAAAATGGCCTAAAAAGATCGTATTTTGCGATATCTTTCACATCTTTCCTGCAACAAATTCTATTTTTTTGGTTTTTTTTGTCCAATCTGAAAGCTAAAAAGCACAAAAGCAGCAACCAGTAAATTTCTGCAACAAATTCCGTCCATCAAATTCCACTTGCTTTCCACATTGGATCCCTATCTTACGTCCTTTCAGTTGGTCCAGAAAAACTTTTCTTTTTGCAGAAAAAAAGTACCGACTTTACAAAAATACAATTGACAACTAGCAAGAAACGCAATTTCCTGGTGATTTCCTCGTTAAAGTGATGAGGACACAAAGCCAAACAAAATGGTCTACCTCATAAATCACGAGATTGACCGAAAACCAAGTTGTACACTTTATCTCCTCCCGTGTGGCCGTCTTTGCAACTTCCTAGCAACTTCCAGTTAATGCTTGAAAACTCAATGCTAGATATTTTAAGCATCTTTCCTTGCGCGGCTGACCCGTGTTTGCTTTGTTTACAACGATAACAGCGGCAGCCATGATGTTAATGGTAGGTAGACTGATCATCAATCAGCATTTCATCGGTTTAAAATGTGACCTAGCATCTCCAATCGATATGTCAAATGTGCCACATAGACATTTAACAGCTATAATTAATATCTCACATCACTCCAACCGATGTGTCAAAGCTGATGTGGAATGAAAACTAGAGGTTGAGATGTTATTTTTGACATTCCAAAAGCAAGATGTCAAATGAATATTTTATTATTTTTTCTTTTCTTTTCTTATTAATTAAAAATGAATCAACACTAAAATGTAATAAAATAATAATTTAATTTGACATATTGGGTGGAGTGTAAAGCTGTATAAGATGTCAAATTGCCACATCAGCCATCAAATAATTTGATATTTGGTATTTAACATCTCCCTTGGAGATGCTCTAAGGCATAAGTTTGAGTTTTATACATATAATATTCCACACACAACGGTCGGTGTATCTAATCCTATACGTATTGTAAGGGAAACGCCATTCTCGCTTTCGGTCACCCTCAAAACTCCAGTGTTATTCGTTGTGTGGGAGCGAATAGCGCTCCCATAACTATAAATGTGAACCACAAGATAAGATATCCATCAGGATAGAACAGATATACTTTTCCACATTGTTTCTGTATATGAAATTGTGTGAAGACTCTACTGCATTTTTTTCCATTGTTTCATGTCAGCAGACCATAATGCAATCCAGCTTGGTACTGTGTCAGCAGCTAAATGACGCAGAAATTTCCTAGTTGAATAGCTTGTAAGAATTTCCAAGTTTCATGTGAATCCATAAACCTAGTGGTGGAGCCTAAAAGTAAGGAAAGAACTATTCAAGATCACAAAACCAAATCAGTTTCCGAAAGTAATACATAGCTAATTTTTATTTTAAAACAATGAAAATAATCCCCTCAAGATAACTGTTTGCATATATTAAAGGAAGAAGCATAGATATTTAGAAAGTCTTTGTAGCTCATTTGTTTTATAAATGAAAATGATGCTTTCAAGAAACTATTTGCGTACAAAAGCATACGTAAACAAAAAAAAGTCTACACAGATAACCTATAAAAAAATAAATGAATCCTTTCAAGATTAGCTACCTGCATATGTAATATGTTCAAGATAAAGCACCCACAAACAGAACGTCTATGAGGAATGACTTCACACCAGGATAGGCCAAAATCGTATGTCCCCTAAGAACATGTGGATGCACGTGAGGTACAAGATACCATAAACTTTTGGATGTTTTGGGCCTAAAGATTTTGTTTTGTGTGGATGTTCAACCTTTTTTTGGTCATAAATGGGCTCTTTCAGCCCAACGAGCACCAAACAAAATACAGCAACAGAAACATTGAGGATTCAAACTCCATTAACTCAATTTCAAGGTATCCGGAAAGTTATAAAGGAAGTCATCAAAAGAGAAGGACAAGATATATTAGATCCAACAAAAAACTTGTTCAGCTCTACATGCATTAGTCTCAGAGATTCCTAAATAGAACCCAATCTGTGCAAAATTCCTATCCAATTGCAAAAGCATACGAAGCTCATCCAATACTATAACACAATAAGTTCGATATACTCAGAAAATTTCTAATACTAAATTCAAAAAAGCTTTGCATCTTTTCTACTATTTTCATGGTAAATCAAAGAATCAGAGTTCAAACAAACATACCTTTGCAAATGCCCACTTCATCAGCAACACTTTCTTCAGCAACTTTAAACACCATTCTCCAAATTCACACCTTCAATATCCCGTTGCTACTACCCAAAACAAGATCAAAGTCACAATCAGAACCAAATAACTCACTAGCCCTATAATTTGTTGCTCCAAATCCATAATTACCCGAACCCAAATAACCCAATTTGTCCAATCCAATCAAACTGAGCCACGTGCTCCGATCCATTACAGTTGCCCAGCAAACCAACCTCTCAGCCTGCTTTACATGAAGGCCAGCAATTCTCGCGTCTCTAAAGGGCTTCAAGCACTTCTCCTTCGCGAACCCGACGCACTTATCTTTCGCCGCAGACAAACACCCCTCCATTTCTCTCTCTTCGCACTGCTCCCTCTCCTTCAAGTCCGGTGCTTTCGGACCAATCAGAGCTCGCCACCACGGGGGCTTACACTTGTCCGATGCGCTGATGGCGCACCCGATCCTGGCACCGGCCTCACACTGCTCGATGATCTTGGACTCGCAGGCTCTGTACGCGTTTGCCCATGTCCCGGGGTCTCGAAACGCCAGGACGTACGGACCGGAGGATGGGTCATCGGGTGGGCCAGCCCGAACTGGTCCTCGGAGCAACGGGATCGGTCGGTCGAATGTTATGGTTGTTGAGGTGGCTGAATGCTCGTCGATATAGTTCGATTCCGAATCTGCCATTTCTAGGGTTGAGAGAGAGAGAAGAAGAAGAAACGCGGTTTTTCTCGAGCAGAGGGTAAGGTTTGGCGCAAACTGTTGTAGTTTCAAACACGTGTGGAATTTTGTTTTTTGAGAAACCACACATGAGAACGTTACAAATGAAGTTGCGTTAGTGTGTTTTCATTGCATTGCAATATGTTGCAAAATTGAGTGATTGAAAGCGCAAATGAAAAGGGTTTTAATTGGATTCGTTTAGGTTTTTCGTGCGCTTCCAAGTGCTCTTATGTCGAAGCTTTTATGATATTCGTGTGCGAGTTTTTTTCAGTTCTCTTCCTAACTTCGAGAAAGAAAGAAAAAATGTGCAAATGAAACCTGAATAGTCAACAATGTCCTTAACGTTATTGGCAAATTATTGCCAATTGGTCCTTTTGCAGTTGAGGACATAACTCAAAGTTCGGGCTGAGCTTTGAATGATTAGGCCTTAGAGGATAGATAGGGCTGCATGTTCTTCAAGCGCCATTGGGCTTGAATTCTGGGCCCAATTTTTATTATTAGCGTTGTAGTTATACAATGCTTTAAAATGTGAACACCTTTTCTCATATAGTGTTTCTTTGTTGTCCTATTTTAGAATCGAAGTTTTAAAAATGACCATTTTAACCAATTTCACTTCTTTTTTTTTAACGCAAACAATTATGTAATAATTTTACACACCTACAAAAATCCTGTGCAAATATGAGAATTTGCTTCATTATGTTGTGAAGAATGAAACTAAAGGAGCACTTTCTATATATTACAACCATAATTGCAGAATGTGCGTTAATGGATTCCTAAATGATGGGTTTAAATTAAACACATGATTAAATTTGACCAAAATTTCTATTTCTATGACTCCAGTAAAAAGATCAACTGAGCATCATTATCCTTGCAAATTCTTCATAGCTAACAAGACCATCACCATCTACATCAGCCTCTCTGATCATTTGCTCAGCCTCCTCATCACTCAATCTTTCTCCCAAGTTTATCATAACTTGCCTCAACTACCAAATAAAAATAATTTATAATATTGACAATGAGGCCATAAAAAATATTTAAAAACTCAAATCAGTATGTTTACCTCATAGGCTGAAATATAGCCATCTTGGTCTCTGTCAAATACTTTGAAGGCTTCTTTCAGCTCCTCAGCAACATTTTCCTGTGATGAGATTTACAGATTGATTAAACCGGTTCCGAAAGCTTAATTAGGAAAAAAAAACATGTTTTGTTTATATTATGATGATTAATTTACCTTCATCTTTCTTGCCATAATATTCAAGAACTCTTCACAATCTATTGTCCCATTTCCCTCAGCACCAACCTCATTGATCATGTCTTGGATTTCTTCTTTTGTGGGATGCTCGTCCAGTGATTGGATCACCGTCGCTAGTTCTTCCAAGGAAATTAGGCCTGCATATGCCAGTTAATCACTTTTCAGAAAATGAAATATATAGAAAAACTACCTCAGATAATAGTGCTTCTGCGAGCAGTGCTTCTCAATACAGAAATTGATGTCTGCTTAAGTTATCGTCTCATAATCAACTCAACTCATCGCAGTGCACAACAGGAGAATGCGATGGATAATTGTGAGAGGAATGATGTATACAATACGATGACAGGAACTTGAAAACATAACTCACCATCTGAATCCTTGTCAATTAGACAAAAGGCTTCCTGGAACTCAGAAATCTGAGCTTCTGTTAATGCCTCTGCCATTTTCTTGGATCAAAAATTGAGGGAACAAGGAATCTTAATGAAACACTTAAAAACTGAGTTTGTGAGGGATTATGATTATTGTGTAAACACTTTATAAGTCGGCAAGAAAAGAGGCTTAAATTATTAATTGAAATTCCAATGAAATAGTCAAAAACACGCATGAGATATTTTTCCATTCAAAAGCCGCAAATTTTCTAGAAGTGAGGCTTGTTGAATCAAACCAACCCTCTTGGTCTATTTTCAGCTCTCTCTCTCTCTCTCTCTCTCTCTCTCTCTCTCTCTCTTTCTCTCTCTCCCTCCCTGGTCAATAAGGCAATGACTGCGTTGGAGTTAAGGCAGAGGGTCCCCTCTGACTTTGACGAACACTTTTTAGCGTAGTTTTTACTTGGCGTTCTTGACATTTGCAACCCAAAATATAACCAATCGACTTGAAGTCTTCCAAAGACAGCTATATCATTTAACATAATGTATTTTTAGGCGACTCTAATAGCCTAACAATATAATGTTGCTTTGCTCCACTAAGATTTAGTGTCGTCATCGGAAAAATTGTCTCCTATTGAATAACATAACATGAATAATCAACAAGCCTTGAGAATCAGATTTCAGCTTTATTTGTTAGGATGTTATGTCATCTACCACTGTGGTTTGCATTGGAAGATGTTTTTTTTAAATAAAAAATATTAAATAGCGGGCGAACGGATTCAAGTGATTAAAATCAATTATTCTACAACTGAGGTGGTGTGCTATTGAATCTCACTTTCATTGCAATGGGCTTGTAGCTTATATTAAACTGCTATGACTGAATCTCGCTTTCCTTACAAGCGGCTTGTAACTCAGGAAGTTAAGAATATTAACCCTTACACTCAAAAGTTCTAGGTTCGATTTTCCTCACCCAATATGGCTTGTATAAAAATTAAAAAAAAAAATCCTTTACTCTTTCATTTTCCCCACCCAAAAAGATATTAAGAGAGAATAAAATTAAGGAATTTTTCTTTTCATTTTGTACTTTTTTTGTTGGTCAAGATTTTAATTTATACTGAGGGCAAAGTGTAACGAGAGAAGGGAAGAAAGCAAAAAACTTTGACCCATCGTGCGAGTCGGTGAGTACAGCAAAGGATCACCACTCATCAACCAAATGTTAAAACGTGGCGAACAAAGGACGTAAAAGTGTACAGATGGAGAGCAAGGATGTTGCGCGTAGTAGGAGATTTTTCCTCAGCCCAAAATAGGTATCTCACGGAGGCACTCTGCGAAGTGAAGCCAGCAACAGCAAACAGAAGCAAGACTTCCGTCTCTTCACTCTCTTCTAGCTCGCCGCCGCCGTCGTCGTCTTTTTCTTGGTTTCCGAATTCGAAACCGAGTTCACTGAGCCCGAGTCACACTCAACCCAGGTAATCTTGAATTCCTATGCTACCCTTCACGTAAAGATTCAGGAACCAAAAGCACAACTAAGACACTGCATCATTATATTCTACTACTGCAACACCTTGTTTTATGGTAGCTGGTGGAATTAGGGTTTTCAGGAATCGTACTCGGACTATTAGGGTTTCGGCTTGCGCGTCGTGTTGAGGGTCTGTAAATTTGGTGACGATTAGCTTAAAGAACAGAGTTTTGAGTCTCAGTCAATATTGGGGCACATTTGGCATTCGAATTGTAATGCCAGTGTGAAGCCCTGTGACCGAATCCAAATTATGGGTTCGGCGTAGGAAGGGTCAATGTCTAGATCGTTGCCAAACCCGTGGAAGCAAACAGGAGCTGGCATTTCTTTTTCTGATTTCTAGGGTTCTAAGCCTCAGTGTTCGTTTTTGTTTTATTAGGTTTATTATGTCTTTGTCTTTTCAAAAACTTTTTCTTCAATTTGTGGGTTTTCGCTTAATTTTATAAAGACAATTTCTTGAGCTGAAACTGAGCCATAAGGAGAAATTAAGGTTTAGGGTGTTTTGGTCACTGGTTCGTTTTTCGTTTTTGTGTTTGTTATTGCTTTAGTTTTCATAAACTTTGGCTACAATTTATTTTGTTTTGCTGAATTTCACGTGAAGATAATTTCTTGAGCTGAAACTAATCATCAAGGAGAAATTAAGGTTTAGTTTGTTTGCGGGAATTGGTCCATTTATTTTGTTAGTTACATTAGATTTTTCTTTGCTTAACTGAAGTTTGAATAATTTGTTTGGATATTAGGGTTTTAAGGGTTATGCTCTAATGCACTAGGGAGATACATGGATCAATAATGGAAACTTACACATCCATTTTGGTTGGATGTATGTAATGGATCTTAAGTTATGTGATTTTGATTTAATTTTGAGAGATGATATGAATTATTGTTACGTAGGTTTACACTGTAATTGCATGTGTTTATTTACTTCTTTTCCTTTGATGTCCTTGAAACAGGAAGATATGAACAGGAAAAAGAACCCTTGTGTCTTCTTAGATGTATCAACTGATGGGGACCCAATGGAAAGAGTTGTTATAGAGGTACGTAAAATCAGTCACCCCTCTTGTTTGTTTGAATTTTTAGCTTGCTTTACCTTTTATAAAAGCAAACTTTTAGCTTGCATATAAAGATAAGGATGCATTTGTTTCCCCTGAAATGTGCAGCTTTTTGCTGATGTTGTTCCTAAGACAGCAGAGAATTTTAGGGCCCTCTGTACAGGTAATTTTTTTTAAAAAAAATTACTATTGCGCTCATCAGTAATGAATTAAATGTTATGTATGTTGGGAAAAGTGTTCAGTTTTGATTTCTAAAAAGTTTGAGGAGGCAGATTTGGTTTTTTTTATTTTATGGATATATTCGGTAGAATTACAAAGACTGTAGGATTTGTCAGCATAAGAGCTACATTGGTGTGGCTGAAGTAAATTAGTTTTGTAAACCTCTGTACTGGTTCTTTTATCGGATTTGTAATTCTAGTAAGCAAATCCATGATTATAATGTTTGGTTCCTAACTTTTTAATCTTCTTGTTATGAGTTATCTGTTACCTACATTTTTCATCGATTAAATGATATATACTGTGACATTTTTGTGTTATCTTCTGTTATAGGTGATAAGGGCATTGGAAAGTCTACAGGCAAACCTCTCCATTACAAAGGATCACAATTTCATCGAATTATAAAAGGATTTATGGCCCAAGTATGTTGTTTTGTTTTTTGTTGAACCATTTGCATTATCGAATTTTACTTATCTTCCTGAAAGGACAAACCACTCTTGTGCCTGGCACAAATGTGTTATGGACTTTTTATTTCCTGACTGTCCATTTCCTTCCTTTATATGGCTGGTAATTGTGTTTTATGTACAGACTTTGCTATGCCAATACTTAATCCTCTATCACAAAGCTTGTATTAAAAATGCCTAAAAACCAGTTTTATCATTTGATGCTTTGAGTGATATAGTTTTCAATTATCTAGATGTGGAGGATGATGATGTTATAAGTGGAGATGGCGAGTTTTTCTCTTATTTCCTCTATGATTCCAGCAAGTTATTTATTTACCTTGTAAGTACTAACATAGACATGATTGTTCGTCTCTCTCTCTCTCTCTCTCTACACAGGGTGGTGATTTTTCAAATGGAAATGGTATGACTTTCTTCATGTAAATAAATTATTTTGTTTGATGAATGCAAATTCTCTGTTTGACTTCTTAATTCATGCCCAGAGTAAGGATCGACCTTTGATTGGTTTGCAGGCACTGGTGGAGAAAGTATTTATGGAGGGAAGTTTGCAGGTAGATTTTGTGCGTATGAATTTACACACTTGCATGTGTCATAAATATTTAATTGTTCTTATGGTTTTCATTTCCCTTGCAGATGAAAATTTTAAATTGAAGCATGATGGACCTGGTCTTCTGTCTATGGCAAATGCTGGTCCAAACACAAATGGGTCCCAGTTCTTTATAATCTTCAGGCGCCAGCCTCATCTAGATGGGTAATTTATATTGCTTCTTTTATTTGTAGTTTGAGGTTAGATGCTAGATTTGCTCATTACCCTCAGCCATAAATCTTTTGTAATTTCCATTGTTCACCATCTTTGAAAAGAATATTTTATGAGGGTCATTTTAGATATATTTGAATGATGTATAGTCATTAACTCCGTTTTTAATTTATCTTCTTTGTCAGGAAACATGTTGTTTTTGGAAAGGTTGTGAAAGGAATGGATGTAGTTGAGAAAGTTGAGCGAATGGGATCAGCGGATGGAAAACCTTTCCAAACTGTGAAAATTGTAGATTGTGGTGAAGTCTCTGAGAGTAAAGTCCATGGTGCAACAGAGAAAGAGAGAGGTAATGTGTGCATATATAAGTGCTCATGCAAGAATTTTTTTATTTCTTATAAATACTGTATGTAGTAGTAGCACAATGCATCTGACATGTGATCGGTCTTTCTTTCAGTTAAAAAGAGGAAATCAGGAAAGGTTTCATCATCTGAGGATAGTTCTGATGGGGAAGCAAGAGGAAGGCGTAAAAAATCCTTGAAGGGAAAAACAAAGAGAAGGAGATACTCTTCGTCTGAATCCAGCTCAGACATGTCTGAGTCTAATTCCTCAGATTCAGATTCAGATTCCTCTCTATCTGACTCAAGTCCGCCTAGTGGTGGAAGGCGCAGGAGGAGGTCTGTTAAAAAAGGTAAGCACCAGCGTTCAAGGAAAAGAAGAGATGGAAAAAAAGAGAGGAAGAGAGGCCGGCATGCCAAACGATCAAGGCGCAAGACAAAACGGTCTGATTTCTAGTTTCTTCAAACAATACTTTTTTTTATTTCTGTTTTTCTGCATTAGTCTCCTTAATTCTGATTATGATCTTTTGTTTTCTTTTTCAGGAGATTGGAAAGTTCAAGTGATACAGAAAGTGAGAGTACTAGAAGCAGCACAAGCAGTTCTGATGATGATAAAGATGGTCCTCATGTTACTTCTCGTAAAACCAGTAACATAAAGCGTGCAGAAAAAAATCTTTCAACAAATCTTGGTATGTCACCTATTTCATTACAAGATACCTCTATTACCTGCTAATGGTTAATTTGATTTATTTTTTGTTAGCATTTACCATATGTACATATATATATTGTGTGTATGCACACGTGCAAGACAGCAAGGGTTTTAAGTAGATTTGTTTGAATTCTTTCCTTCATTTTATAGTCTAGTGTGAACTTATGGTTTGTCATGATGATACAGATGTGGAAAAGGAACCCCCTCCTCTAGTTAAAAGAACTGTTGTTCAACAGAGGAACAATCATGATAGGGAGAAAAGTGAGGACAACTCATCCCAAGAAGAAGGTGAATTGTCTCCGAAGAATGATGCCCGTATAAATAACGGGCATAATGCAGAAGCCAAAACAGCTAATCGGAATTCCTACTCAGATGACTCCAGGTTTCTACTGTTAACTTGCTTCCCTTTTATATATTTTTAATGTATATATGGGTTCAGTTGGGCAGATCGTGCATAATTGGTATTTAATACTTCTTTGATTGCTTGAAATTTCTGTGCATATTTAATCAGCAGAAGTCCGACTCGCAAAAGGAGGTCAAGAAGCAGTCCAAGCATAAGTCCTAAAAGAATTTCAAGTGGAAGTTCGCCAGGGAATTCTGGTGAGCAAAACAGAGGAAGGCCTTCTAGGAGTCCATTGGGCAGCCCTGTCTACAAAGGCCCTGAACCTTCTACCCATGACCGGGGTTTGTCAAGAAGCACTACTCCAAATGGCACTCCAAAGCGTGTTAGAAAAGGACGTGGCTTCACTGAGCGCTATGCCTTTGCCCGTCGCTACCGCACTCCATCCCCAGAGCGGTCACTTCGTAACTCCTATCGCTATGGTGGAAGAGACGTGTATAGAAATAACCGTGATAGGTAATTTCAGGATCATGCGATTGAATTATGAGTAAGAATGCATGAGCTCAAAATAATTCATCTTTGGTGTTTTTTGAAGGTACTCAAACTACAGAAATTATTCTGAGCGCTCACCACGTAGACGTTTCCGGAGCCCACCAAGAGGTGGGAGCCCTCCCAGGTTCTCTCTCTCTCTCTCTCTCTCTCTCAACCTGCCTGAAGAAATGCTGAGCCATTGTATAAATTAAATATCAACTGTATGCTGGTTTGCATCAACTATGGACTTGTAGGTCTCATCAAAAGATGAGGAAAAGTCACAGCTAGAATGATCCTTCTGTTTAGAGGGAAGAAGTAAAACCATTGTGATTTTGTTTGAAACCCATTAATTGGAGTATGCCATAAGGAAAAATCTGTGGCATCATCCCCAAGTCCTCTCAAAGAATAAAGAGAAATTGTTACAATGCTTATAATTCAGAAGCATTTATCCTATCCGTCAATAAATGAGTCACACTGGATGAAATTGAACTTGTTGAACTTTTGAGTCTTTATATGTGATGACTTGGGAACTATGGCCGTCGCTGATAGTGGCTTTTGTATGGATGTGTGTACTTAATGTCACATGTTTATAGAAAGTGCGGGAAGAAAACATTTGACTTGATGACTGGATTATATACCTGGTGATTTCAACTACTGGGAAGAGGATCTTGGCTCCTTTAGTATTTTAGTCAGAACTGTAGTTTTACTGCATTATGATCCTGCAATTAATTGGATTTGTTGGTTTTTTCTTGATATTGATTGGTTTTTCTGTTTATATAGATACAGAAGCAGGAGAAGTCGAAGTAGGAGCAATTCCCGCAGCCCTGGTGTTTATCGTGGCCGTAATAGGGACCGTAGCCGCAGTCGCAGCCGTAGTCCTAGTCTAGCAGATCGACCTCCTGTTAGTGAGAGACTAAAATCCCGCCTTGGACCCCGAATTGGTGATCAGCACTCTCCAGACAGAGGTAGGGCCAAGTCCAGGTCAAGGAGCCGAGGGCCCTCTCATTCCAGATCTCCAGATGCTACACCAAAGCATCGTAATAGAACTCCTAGGTCTCCCAGCAGGTCAAGATCAAGCTCCCCATCTGGACAAAGGGGTTTGGTTTCATATGAAGATATCAGTCCTTAATCTTTATTCCTGATACTGGGACAAGGGTATGCCATCTTGAGCAAGGAGAGAAGCAAATGATTTCTTGCACCGGGACAAAAGGTAGTGGCATCGTGAGTTCATGTATCTGTATGCAGACAGAATGGATCAGTAGGAATTCTAGGTTTATCTGTCTCATTGGATCTTTGCTTTCACATGGCGATGTAATTTGAATGTAATAATATACTTTTTTTTAGGATTTTGAGTGGGGTTTTTTCCCCCTTTTTTCGTGCCATGGTGCAAGATACCGAGGGATTTAATTCCGAGACAAACAGCGATGCTGATTTTGAGCCCCAAAAAAAATAAAAATACAAAATTGTAGGGGCGTGTGATGCCCCAGATTCTTACGAATTATGTGTCCATTTTCATTTCTTAGAAGGATAAAAGTGGAATAAATCAATTCGTCAGTGAAAAGAAACCTACACATGGAAGCATCACACAAATGTAATTTTATTGGAGATCATCAAACGGTTGATAAAGAAAAATTAAAAATGTGATTGGAACTTTATTAGCGATCATCAACAATTCAGTCTCATCCTGCATACGCACACTACGACGACTATGCCTGCCTACTAAGAGTGAAACCAACCAAAAGCACACGAAAAGATGCTGAAATATAATGTTTTCTGAGGCTCTCTCTCTCTCTCTCTCTCTCTCTCTCTCTCTCAGATTGGTTGACCTTTGGGTACAATTTGATCCTTGAGCCACATGTATATAGGCAACAGAGCAAAGTATGTTGCTGCCATGACACCCAAGATGAACCGCACAAAGAACGACCACGGATTTACGGGCTTTGTCACATCCTCTTCTTTTGGACCAAGCTGCATCCAAACACAAAGACAGATGAAGAGCAAATAAGATAGAACATAGAATGAAGGAACCACACATTACAAAACAAGATCGATATCGTTTTTGAGTTGACAGGAACTTCCAGTTCAAGTAATCATTATAGTGCAAGTATAACCAAACTACTACACAATTAGAATCCACTAGTTTCATCAAAGTGATTGGCTATAAACCGATAAGAAATCGAACCCAGAAGAGTAGTAATCATCAAGACATAGGTCAAACAGAGTTCTCCATGAGAAATTACCTGTAAAGGAGAATCCCCGGATGCTGGTTTAACGCCTGTTACAGAACATCCCATTATCAATCCATGTCGGCGAACCCCACGATACCATTTTGGGCCAATTCTTTTCAGTTGGACATCTTTAAACCCTGCCTTTTGGAACCATTCAATGTACTCTTCCTCCTTTGGGAAAAGCATCCACACATCTGCAAAGAAGCGAGATAACCAAAATGTTGGGTACACAGGACCAATTAAGCATGCTTTTCCTCCAAGTTTTAAGACCCTGTATGCTTCCTTGATGCCACGCTGTGGGTCTGGCCAGTACTCAATGCTGAGAATATGCAATCATTAGAAAGATTCTAAGAAAGTTAGAGTGTATGTGTAAACTCAGGACGAATTAAAACTGAATATCATCCTGCAGATTATTACCACATATTTGAGTTCAATCATTCAAATGAAGTGTGCATTTGAAAACCAAAAAAACACTTGCATGTAGATGCTCCTATCAGCCATAATGAAAAGGGAGTTTAGGAAACACAATTCAGACTGACACTTTCTTCTTAATTTCACAGTAATGTTTAACTCTTCCTTCAATAACACTCAAATTGACAGACGTGGACACTGATAGCATTCTAAATAGGCGAAGACTACTTTCTAGCCTTTAAATTGACATACAATCAACAGATTACATGACAACTTGCAATTTCAAGATTAAGAAAAGCTAGAAAATACACCAAATGAAAGAAGTATGAGCAACGTACCTTCCAGCAGATACATATCTATCAGCGTAATCAGTTCGAAAAGGGAGGTCCTCAGCATCACCCTCAATAATCTTGCAATCCTTCAAGGGCTCCTTCTGCTTTGCCTTGGCGAGCTGATGAGGGGACTGGTCAAGAATGGTGACATTCTTGGCATCCACATGCTTAACTATACCCAAAGTGGTGAAGCCAGTACCACCACCAACATCTACAACAATCATATTCCTGTTGCTGAGATCAGCTGGTTCAAGTGCCTCATCCCTCATGTCCTCAGTCCAATGCCCAGGGTTTATGACATGATCATACACAATTGAGAGGAACCTATAGAACCAAAAAGCCTCTTTCTTGTGCTGAATGAACCTAGGCTGGGATGCTGGCCTAGAAGCTGAGAAGCTGCACTTGGGCACAATGGTTCTGGAGCAAGACTTGGAAATTCTTGTACTTGAAACCAAACCCATCTTCAGAAATTGCTTCCCATGAAGATCTGACCCCATGAAACCCAACCCGTTTGGGGTTATGCCTCTGATGAGTGAGAGGTTCTCAGCCCCATTGAGCATTGCAGAGACCATGGTTTGATCAATGATCAATCAGAATAAACCCACAAAGAAAAGCTAGTAAATTTCACTTGGGTTCAGTAATCTGATGACTGCAATGAAAACCCACATGCAAATTTAGCAGCTTTTGGGTTATTTCTTGCCACTCTCAGTGGATCAATGTGCTTTCTGTGTTCATTTTTATCTCTCTTGAACTGGAGCAACAGACAAAAAATGTACAGTGGAGCTTACCAGTTGAGTGAGCTTGAAAGGGAGAACCTTGTCAGCGTTGAACACACACCACAAGTTTTGGCCTAGAGGTATATACAAACAAAAAGCTTGTGATTGAACTGTGACTAAGCGTTCTTGTGGTGGTACTTGCAGTTACGAAACAAGATTAAATGTTTATTTTTTCCTACTTTTTATGGTTTAATTCCTATTTTTTTAAGGCCAGAATATTCCAAAAAACTAGAAGCAGAAAAAAGCTTTTAACTCATCAAGAATGTATTCTATAAATTAAGGCATATCCGTCCAAAAACAATATAAACAAAGGCAAGTACTAATTACTAACAACTGAATTCTAATTTTTCAGAAATTTTATTTGCATTTTAAAAAAAGAATCTAACCTCACTTTTCCATTTTTGTTTGATTAATTGGAGATGATAAAAATAAAAAATTTTAAAGTGGAAAAGGAGAAGATAGGTGATACCAGAGAAAAAAAGGAGAAAATATAATCTAAACAGAGTTCACAAGAGTTCATTTTTTTCAGTTTTAGTTTTATATATTTTCTCTTATTAGTTCCTTCCTCATCTCTTATACATCTCCTCCCTCCCTACATAAAATTTCCTCTCCATATCGTTCTGAAAACTAAGCAAAAGCAAAAATCTTACTCAACCACATTAAAGACTTGACAAAGTAAATTATACTGTTTTTCATGATAAAACTGATGTCTTTTCAATAACACTGATGTCTTTAGTGATAAAATCCCCTGCATGTCATATCAATTGACAGTAGTATGTATGGTCCCGTTTGGTAATTGATGCCTAGTTCCTTTTCTTATTAGCGCATTGACTTTACACTTGCATGGAATTAGGAATAAGTTGAAATTCAGATATGCACATAGATTACTTTTTGGGCCATGCACAAGAGTACAAACACTACTCAAGATTTTTTATTTTTTTTAATCAAATATAAATTACATTAGATAAACTTCAACGATACAATCAAAGATATCAATAAGACATCTAAAATACCAATTCCAAAAGGACAACCAACTAACATGCTAAAAGCAAAACTAACGCGAACAAAAGTCGCACTAAAACTACTAGCACACATCACCACAATTAATCATAAGCCCATATAAAGCTCACAAACCCAATATAATCAAACCTTAAAACAATTCATGAGCCCAGACGAACCCTATCACCACCACCTGAAGAAATGTCGACTCGACCACACCCACCACCGCATCTATAACAGATCTGGAGAAAATATGATTTCCAGCGATCTACCTGTGTATAAAAACAAACAAATAAATGAAAACAACAACCTTGCTATAGAACAATTGGGTAATTTGCATCAATTTCTCAAAGACGATGTATATTCAAATTTAGAGAACATAAACGCATTGGGAAGAGAGTTTTGAGAGCAATATTTGATTGAGAACATACTAAAATGGGTGATAGGAAACTTCAATCTAACAATAGTTCAGAAGAAACCACCACAATGGGCTTTCTATTCAAAATGCCCCAGTGAACTTATTCACTGACCTAAAAGGAAAAGATGAGAAGAGAAGAGGGGTAGAAGGGCCGTGACGCTTCTTACTCAAGATTCAAGAATAGATTAACTAGTTAATTAATTACTTTAATTTAAATACTATATTCCTTCTTAGGAACCATCAATCATTGGCCAGAGGATTTCGGCGGGAATTCCTGTGCCCTAACTTGTAGCCGTTGGATTCCCCGTCATTATAAGAAGACGAGACATCAAACATCTTAGAATCTTTTTCTAACCATGCTCATGAATCTCATCTTCATAATTTTAAATTTAATAGCTGCCGAATTTACAATTAACCATCGGCATATGTAGCAGTCAAGCTGAAAATTACAAATATACCAGGGACGTATCAGTAATTACACAGCAAGACGGCTTTTTCAGATCCATTAATCACAACAAATCACGTAGTCCAGACATATTACAGCAAAGCTCCGAATTTTCAAAGCCACAATACAATACACACAAATTATATATAAATGCAGCTTGCCATCCCATTCAAAACTCAAGCTTCACTTCACTTTCTATCATCCCACGCTAAACTCTGAACTCTAAACTCTAAACTCGTTAGTTCATCATGATAGAGCTTCCTGATAACCTCCGCCCTGACGAGGCAAGCCCCGATTGGTTGAGCAAGGGCGACAACGCTTGGCAGCTCACGGCCGCCACACTTGTCGGCATGCAAAGCGTGCCGGGCCTCGTCATCCTCTACGGAAGCATAGTAAAAAAGAAGTGGGCCGTGAACTCGGCCTTCATGGCCCTCTATGCCTTCGCAGCGGTCTTGGTCTGTTGGGTCGGTTGGGGATACCAAATGTCATTCGGGGTTAAGCTCTTCAATTTTCTGGGCCGGCCCCACGTCTCCATGGAACAAGACTACCTCCTGCAACGAACATTCGTTGGGTATTTGCCAAACGCGACCATGGTTTATTTTCAGTTCGTGTTTGCGGCGATCACGTTGATTTTGATTGCTGGGGCATTGTTGGGGAGGATGAACTTTCATGCGTGGATGCTATTTGTTCCCCTTTGGTTGACATTTTCTTATACAATTACTTGTTACAGTATTTGGAACCCCAATGGGTGGTTGGCTAAGATGGGCGTTATTGATTACTCTGGTGGCTTTGTCATCCACCTCTCCTCCGGTGTCGCCGGTTTCACAGCAGCTTACTGGGTATGTAACATAATATATCCATGTTATACTGCCGTCAGTTGTTCATGCACACATGATTTTTTATGTCTCGCCATAAAAAAGGCAGGCTTAGTGTAACACTAAAAGTTTTATTAATTAATCAGGTGACTTGAGTTGGTTTTATAAAAGAATTACAGGTGTTGTCTTTTATGGGTGCAGGTGGGGCCAAGGGCAACCAATGACAGGGAGAGGTTCCCGCCAAACAACATCCTGCTTATGCTGGCAGGGGCAGGCCTACTGTGGATGGGGTGGACTGGATTCAACGGTGGAGATCCTTACATGGTGAGCACAGACGCATCTCTGGCCGTCCTCAACACCCACGTGTGCACTGCCACTAGCTTGCTAACGTGGCTCTTGCTTGACATTGTCTTCTTTGGGAAGCCCTCTGTGATTGGTGCCACTCAGGGTATGATCACCGGCTTAGTTTGCATCACCCCGGCTGCAGGTATATATATTTGTCACTTCACATTTTATATATCCTTTTGCTATAATTTGAAAGTATGATTAAATATCATGTGTACTTACTTAAACATAAAGGTGTATAGTTAGTAGTATGAAATTAATTCTGTTAATCTGGTTTGCGTTAGCATATAGAGCCGGTCCTAAAATTCTGGGGTCCAAAACGAATGACATTTAGATAAACTTTTTCAATAATTACTCACAAAAATCTATTGTTATAGGTGTGGTGCAAGGGTGGGCAGCAATGATCATGGGAGTAATGTCCGGAAGCATCCCATGGTACACCATGATGGTCCTCCACAAGAAAATCAGTATCCTAAAGCATGTGGATGACACAATGGCTGTGTTCCACACCCACGCCGTGGCCGGAAGCCTAGGGGGCATCCTCACCGGCTTCTTTTCCAATCCGAAGCTATGCCGAATCTTCTATTTGGTAGAGGATTGGCAACACTATATTGGCCTAGCCTATGGATTGAAAAATGGCCAGTTTAGGGCAGGGTTTAAGCAAATGGGAATTCAAATCCTTGGCATATTGTTTGTCATTGTTGTGAATGTGATCACCACTAGCTTAATTTGCTTCCTCTTGGGGCGCTTTATCCCGCTGAGGCTCAACGAAGATGAGTTGCAGATCGGAGATGATGCAATTCATGGAGAGGAGGCTTATGCATTGTGGGGAGATGGAGAGAAGTATGATGGTTCAAAGCACAATTCAGTTTATGGCTTGGAAGAGTTTCCTCCAGTGCCGCCTAAAGCTGAGGCCTGAAGTTGAAAATGCCTTTCTTTTTATTTTTATCTTTATTTTGGTTGTGTTGTGTGTTTTCTCTGAAGAAAAATATAATGTATTATGTACTCAGCGTCTAATGTAATAAGAAGTTAACCATATGGGCAACAAACAGGTTGGTCATTCGATAGAAATGAACCTCTCTTGCCTTGTTTGTGTGAAAACTCTCTTGCATTTATTTCAAACATGGATCCCTAAAAGAATCATGTGCAACTTCATCCAAGACAGTAGGCACATGCTCTAGCCCTATGACCTAGAGCACAACTAATGTTTCCTGAAAGGCAAGTTTCGTCATAGATTTAAGATTTGGTTTTAGTGACAATATTGCACCTATATTAATACTAACACTTTAAAAATGGAAAACCTTAGTGATATCATGCACTCAAATTATAACACGTTGAAAGATTATATCATGTGACCGTATTTCAATACTAAACAATAATTTTTCGGACGATTTTGTTGATCAAAAGTCTTCACAATTGGCATTTAGCAAGTACAATCTTGGTCGTCAAAAACCCATTTTGCATCCCAAGCTCATTATCCATGGCAAAGTCCAAATCTACATTTGGAAATTCATTTTAAAACACTTGATGTTTATTTATTTTAATTTATTTTAAGGTTTTTTATATTGAGAGGAGCAATAATGTACTAAATTTACATATATTACATAAATTCTAAGACTCGAACTCATAATCTTTTATAAGAAAAACAATTACTCCAAACTATTATACTAATGAATCCTTTGCCAAGTGTTACGTATGAAAGAAGAAAGAAACATAGAAGATGTCAATGGGTAACAGAAAGAGACAGACACCAAAAAGGCAGGCACTTTTCCAAGTGGGAAGTAGCTAGCTGCTGTCTCTGTTCCACTAGAATACACATCATCAAATGTACATTAAAATAGAGATCAATGAATATTAATAAACCGAAACACTCTTTCCGCAAGGCTTCAAATTATTTTATTAAAGTATGAAATGAAATGAAAACAATGAAGATTGGTTAAAACTTAAAAGAAATATGCAGAAAATGTTTCGTTGTCAAAGGAAAAATCCGAAGGACAAACTGGGAAGTGAGAGAGCAAAATTAAGTTAGAAGTCCAGATATTATATATTTTTTTTTTTTTTTTTTTTTTTTTTTTTTTTTTTTTTGGGTTAGGGTTGTTAAGCTTGGAATATAGGGACGAGAGAGAGAGAAAGTCGAACTTGTACGAAAATTCTTTCTCGCCCAACTCTCTGAAAGACCACCCCTCAGATCTGTGTGCTGATTCTGAACATGGGTTTGTAATGTGTGTGAGTCGACAGTGAAGAATGGCGTCCGATACGGCGTCGTCTGTGGACGAACAGGCACAGCTGGTTGCTTCAGTTGGTTCACTTGCAGGAGGAGGAGGCTCCACGGATAACAGAGGAAGGCATCGGATTCTCGCTGAACTCAACCGTCTTGAACAAGAACTCAAATTCTTGCAGGTTTCTTATTTTCCTTTCTCTCTCTCTTTCTCTTTTCTTGGGTTCTTATTGCCACTTGCTTGTTTTCTCTGAATGTTGTTTGTTTCCCGGGAAAATTCTTCCTTGGAAAACATTTCCCTCTTCTTTCTTTTCTTTATTTGAGGTTCCAATTCTAAGGGTAAATACAAAAGTTCTCTGCTTGGCTGTTAAAAGTAATGAAAGGAACTTTCTTTCTGAAAAAGAAAAGTCATATGGTTTATATTTGCCAAGACATTGCTTCTTTAAGCTTTCTAGAAATCAGAGTTTTACGGAAAAATTTCTTGGGTTGGAAAATGGGTCTGACTACATATTGAAATTGGGGCTTAGAGTGGTCAACCTTGAGGGCTTGTGATGCAGTTTACTCTGACTTTATAAGGTGTCAATTAACGAAATTTGATAATAGGGAGGTAGCAGAGGGCTGAAGAACTGTAAACTCATTGTTCTACGTGGAAACTATATGTGACTAGAAAACTAAAGAATGTACCTTTAATTCTTCAATAGTAAATAGAAAGTTGGCCTTTTTCGCATTGGATTTATTAACAGCTGTTTTAGGGGTAAAATCATACTGCTTGAGTTTACTGTATATAACTTGTTGCAAATCAACGACCGACAAGTTCTTTGTTGATTTGAACGGATAATCATTTGGCCCTTGATGACCTTTGCCTGCATTTTGTGTTATCATGTTGTATCATAGTCGAGCTATAAAACGAACGACTTCACAGCTCAGGTCTTAGAAGGTGTTATCCAGACCTCTTGTATTTAGGTTTCCAAGTGAAACGTATAGTTTTTTTTTGCCTGTTCCAAGGCATTGATCCTGTAGGGACTTTCCAGTCTTAGAACTTGTACCAAAGACTTTTGGGATTGCTTGTGTAGGAACTTTAAATTGCCAGCTTTGCTTGGTTTCTTTATCTTCTGAGGATGTTTATATTTCATACTCCTTGCAGAACTCTAGGTCTTGTTCTAATAATTTGGGGATTTCTTCAGAAATTTCTATGTATGTAGCTACATTCTGTGGTCTTCATAAATAACTAGCAAACAGCCTTCTGGTGCATAACTACACCCTTTTAGACAGAATAAGCTCTTGCAAGTTGCATGCTATTAATCAGTTAAATGTATCGTTTCATTCATGGCATTACCCTTTTAGGCGAATGGTAATTTGATCAATGATGACGGGGGATTCAAAGACCTCTTCCAACCTTGGGAAGAGAAATACCACTAGATTAAGAGCTAATTGGTCCAATTGTCAAAATGTTCATGGCGGGTAACAGGAAGAGGGCCAACGTTCTATGGGGTTGTCTTGTTCATGCTGTATTCTGAACATTTGGTTAGAACGTAACTGGAGAATTTTTAAGGAAACCGTGGGGGTGGCCTCAGACAAACTTTGGGATAGAGTGAAGTTTGGGGCTTCTCTTTGGGCGTCTGTTTCTGCTGAGTTTAGGCACTATCATTATTCTACCATTCTGCGAGACTTTAGCACTGTCTTAGTTTGATTATGTCCTTCTCTTAGGATTGTTCGCTAAATCTCTTGCTGGGGTTTATTTTCTTACAGTCCTGTCCTCTTTCTCTTTGTTTCTTGTGTAGTCCTGTCTTTTGTTCTGTTCTGTTTGAGGAGGATTTATTATCCCCTCTTTATCAATACAACGTTTCTATTAAAAAATAATAATAAAATAGGTCAAATTGTAACTTTTTTTGTACATTCACATTTATGCCAAGAGACATTATTTTATCTCTATCGTTGTCATATAAAAAGTGCTGCAGAAAAGTCACTGTTGTGTTTGTACACACTCAGTTTACATTCTTATGTTACTTTCTTGCTTTGCATATCAGGAAGAGTTGGGAGAGCTCGAAAGGACTGAGAACGTTTCGACCATATGTTCAGAGTAAGTATAAGCAACGATTCTTTAATTATGAGCAAAGACCTAAAGGATAATCATAATTCTCAAAAGTTTTAGTATATCCTGTCCAAACATGGTAAATCTAATAAACTCAATGATAAGTGATGATCTCTTTTTCATTAATGCTGCTTAGATTGCTGCCCTACGCCGAAGGCACGGCGGATCCTCTACTTCCAGTGTAAGTTGTATAACCAATCTCCTCACTTTGAAACAACCAAAATTGCTTATATTTATAATGCTCTATCCTCTGATTTATTCTGATTGCAGAACAAATGGACCTGTAAATCTATTATGGGATCGATGGTTCGAAGGACCTCAGGATTCACAACGTTGCAGTTGTCGGATACTCTGATTTAATGCAATCTAACATTGCTAGCACCATTCTTAATTTTTCGTCTTATGTTCAAAATTTTGTACCAGGTCTGGTACAAATGGTCTTTAGGTTGACAGTATTGAATGTAGAATTTACCAATGACTTCGTATGAAGTTTGTACATTAAATTCACCATATGTAATTTGTTGCTCATTTCCACTTCATTTTGAACTGGCGCACATGTACTGACCATAAAGCAAAAAAAAAGAAGCAAATGTGGGTTAGGTCAAGATATTGTGCTCCCCTTTGCATCCCCTTTGCACCGGGGTTCAATCTCCCTACCCTACCCGTACATTGAAATATTTTAGACTATCATTTGTCCCAAAAAAATAACCAAATCTCTGTCTGGGCCTTTAGTGTCTGCTGTTGGTAAGGGGTTAGTCAAATTGAAGCCACCTTGAACTTAATCCCAATCAAAGTCGTGAAATTTGTTGTAAGATTGTAGACATGGGCTTGGGTGAAAATCCTGCATCTGTAATCATATGGGGTTGCGGGTGTTGAGACTTTTTAATCAACCCAAAATTCCAGGGCCGACTTTTGGACAATCTAAAAGACTTGAAACTGTTTGTCCCACACAATGTTAGGCTACCCAAGAAAAGATTTTGTAACCCAAAATTCCAGGCTTGAGTGTTCCGGTCAGATTCAGATCAATCGGATGGAGGCCCTTTTCTATTTTTTATTTTTCAGGAGATGGGGAAAACTCGCACACACGGGTATTATAGGGGTTTGAACCCACGACCAATTGAGAGAACACCAACGACCTTGAACCAATCCAACTAACACTCCATTGCTAACAAATAAATACAGCAAGAAGTTGGGTAAATTGGTAAAAAGGAACAGCAATCAACATCACAAGACAACTGCATCAACAATACCTGGCAATTAATTCAGAAGGGGCTGTTGTTGTCGAACTTGATGAAACCTTGTTTCAAAGTTCGCAATTTGCAGATTCAATTCAAGTACTGGCCCAGCTCATAATTGACCATATTTAACATAATCATGATTAAAGAAGCAGTTAACCTTCCAAGTGTAACATATTAATGTGATTAGAAAGTATTAATCGATCATGTGCTGTTTAATCAATGTATTATAATATACACACATGGTCTTAGTCAAGTTAATTCTGGTCGCATTAGGGGATAAGATTTTATAAACAGAGAGAGAATATAATTTGCTATCAACTAATTAGACCCCATTTTAATAACCTAGTCCAAATCACATTCCTATACATTGCATCATCATTACATTACATATAACTTATAAGAAAGATGCATTGGTGTTTGAACTTAAAATAAAAATTAACTTTCATAGGAATGCTAAACAACATTATGAAACCCTTAATACTTGATTATGTTAAGGATTCTCTTAACACCTTATCTCACCATTTGCTTGCTTCAATGGAATTCCCTCTCCTCCCTGTACTTTTGAGGAGAGAGAGAGAGAGAGAGAGAGAGAGACCAAGAGAGAGAGAGAGAGGGATGAGGGGGCCATGTGAGGGCACAAGGCATCATCCATCGAAATGAGAAAAGCCCATTACTTTAGGCAGATTGGCTACGCTTCCCAAGCGAAGTGGGAAGTGAGACCCAACCAATAGCAATCAATCTTCACTTAGTTTTTTTAACATTTCATTTTGTGAAGTGAGAAAGAACCTAAAAAAAGACCGTTAATTATAAGCATCTCTAGCTTTTACCGTCACTTTCACTTTGTCCTCCTGTTTGGAGCCATTAGTGCATAATTAGCCGTTTTAATTATAATCCAAATATGTCTCGGGAAGATCCTGCAATGCAACTTATACCCACCAATATTTTAATCCCTAATTAAAAACATTATCTTTCATCTCAATTTAGCAAAGTAAATTGACCTATAGAGCCAGTAACTTAGCTGCTTTATTCATCTGCCATCACATGCTTAAGATTTGCCAGCACAAAAGACTTTAAAAACAACTAGCTATATGCAACTTTGTGGCCAGGCACATGAGAAAGATAAATGGGTGTAGTACTATTTTGCTATTCTCGATCAATAACGTTATGACACGTATAATAACATTTTCACATTACAAAAATTTCTCATTATTGAGACTTTTTAGCCCTAACTCAAATAAAACATGAAAAATAATGAAGCAATAATACTACAAATTAATGAATTTTGAATAAAATGCAACTTGTTAGTATTAATTAATGTGGATATATATTGCTTTTAATTCAGACTACTTGACCTTGACATTTAATCCGAATGTTTATGAATGATTTAGGAGAGATAAGAGGCAAGATCTAGCACAAAAACATGCAAATGTAACGTAGATGTCATTGTCATGTGCATGGCTTTATCTCTCTCCTTTTTTTTTTCCTTAATTAAAATCTAAACCTCTGAAAAGAGAAGGATAAATATGTCATCTGCATGCACATGTCGGGAATTTATTTTTTTTAGTACAAGCGATAGTCTAAACTATAGGGGAGAGAGTTTCTCACACACACGCAACCAAGATATCATGAGAAACCCGAGACTTCTTATTTACAGTAAAAGGTTTTTTCCACTGGACAAGACCAATTGGCCTTGGAAAAACTTTGTGCCTTCGCTTTTGGATATTTGTGAAATTTTTGGGTCGTCTTCTTTCTTAAATGACAGAAACTTGGGAGGAGACTGACAATAGAATTTACAATACAAAGAAGAAGAAGGATTGGCGATTAAAGCTAATAAGCCTTCCCTGCTAAGTGCCAAATATGCCAACCCTATAATCACATGTATTAACACATGAGGACTGAGGATTCTCCCATTCAAAACTTGCACTGAAATATCTCATTCTCATGTTTGAATTTGACCCACGAGGAGAATCCTGCGAAATACCCAAAAAAGAGAGATTAATCAAAACCATAATGGAGCCAAAATATATGCAATGATTGCAAATTTAGTTTGATTTTTACCAAATAAAGTTAACAATTTGTAGAGTCAGGTCCATGAATGATCCCCACCCCCCTCATCAATCGCTTCAATTGCGGGTGCAAAAATACAAAAACTGGGTGTGTAGATGCAGTAAATTTGGTGCAGAAAATGCCCCTATTCATTTTAAGCATACAAATTCGATCCCTCTCTTCGTACATTAGTTTAGAGTATCGCTTTTTTAATAGAAATGGAAATAAAATAAAATAACATTTGTCACCATGTGGGTAAGCTTTAGGAGGTCACAGTATGATTCTCAGAGGTCCGTCCAACTAGTACCATGGCTGGAGGGAGGAGGAGAGTCAGGAGTTCAGAAATGCCATCTCTTTTCATGATTGATTCAGCATTCCCAAGTACCCATTTCCTCCAATCAACTCATATGCAGACTAAAATATATGTCAGGAAGCATATTAAATTAATAGATACAAGGGTATGTTCAATTATTGGGGTGGGGATCAGCTTTGAATATTCAATCTTATTAGCTACCGGCAAACCTAGTTGGGCAGCTCTCATATTCCTCACCTAAAGAAAACAAACAAACCCTCATGGATTTTAAGATTAAAATGGTCTACAATAAAGTAATTGAAATTTGCTTATAGCAGAAGGCGGACCGGTATTTGTTTTCTTATGAGATGCATTGCTAGCTATCTTCTTTGCATGGAAAGGGGTGGATAGAGGCTAAAGTTATTAAGATATAAGGCTATGAGGAATGTGTGCAGAAGAGGAGGGTCGGTGAGAGAACATGGGATTTTCAGGTTGGGGAACTGTGCTATCTTACCACATTCATATAACCAGAACATGGGAACTTGAAAGGGGAAGCTATGGGGGCCCCACTGTAAACTAATAATCACATGAGGTGGGTTAGTAAAAAATATTTATCTGTCTCGATTCATTGCCGACCTCTCTCTGTTTCTCTCATTGTTTTGATAAGATAGATGAATAGAGGGAGATAATGAAACGGGAATATGGAAGTTTTTCTCGTTAGTCAAACTGTTTCTTTTTAGAAAGAACAAAAACAAGTTTGTAACTTCTGTTTTTCACATAGCAAAAATCTCTTTAATTATGTTGTGTGGTATAATTTTGTGTGTGTTTTTATGAAGGAAAAAAAAACACTAGTGGAACTGTGGAAGAAGGGATTTGCAGATCTGGATGCATGTGGATTAAATGGAAAGAGAAAGATAAAAGTAAAAAATAGGGTCTGCAGTATGCTTATCTTTAATATGATATATAATAATTGGTGAGAGAGAGAGAGAGAGAGAGAGAGAGAGAGAGAGAGAGAGAGAGAGAGAGATGTTAGGTTGAAGAGAAGAGATATGAAATACATAACAGGTGGAAATGCTCAGAAGCAGCATGTACAGAGAGTAATAGGGTCACATGGAGCAACCAGATAGGCCATGGGGTCTTTTGCCTAAAGACAATACACATGGGGTTGGCAGCCTGACCCCAATTTGTTCATGATTGAAACCCCACTTATCATTATCATGAGCTCTCTCTCTTATGCAACTGATTATACATAGTGCAACTCCCAAAAACCCTCTGTTTGGCAATCAGGGAAGTGATTTTTCTGGTCAAGGGGTTATTGTGCAGTCCAATAATGAAGGGATATGTTATCCACATACACAAATTGCCACCAATTTGGATAAATTCGTTTCAAAAGGCACATATACACCATAAGACCGT